GCGTTAGTGCTACACAGCTGACGTGGTTAAATTTCAGCAAAACAACTCAAAGTTCATTCCTAATTTGGTGTAGAACGTGCTGACGTGTTCGGTATCCACACCTAACAATGTCGCCATCGCCTATTTTCCCTTCAGTACAAACGAGCAGTGCCGCTGATGTTTTGAAAGACTTGATGTCTTGATAGAGATGAAGTACTGAATACGTAAAGATACCATTAAGGTGCGAAAGTAGAGTAACTCACCTTTCACAACGAGAAAAGTGAAAATCGTCCTAACAATTGGCCGTTGTGTTGGTTCTCCAATGTTTGAGCCAACATGTTTTTGTAGGGATATACATTTGAATGTAGGTAACTGTTATTGGGAGAAGAGTTTGCTTAAAGCGATTAGCTTGCTAGGTATCGTTTTATAAAGATTTCTCATTCATGAGCATTTGCGTAGCTGATCTCTGAAAACGGTAATGCCAAACTGTTATAAATGCTTTCTACTGAAATCAAATGCGTAACTGTGCTGTGTGGTTCAATACTATTGCTGTATAACATACGTGTTTCCCGATTAGCTGCCCTTACATCGAGTAAACTGCTTACTTATAGTTTGAAAGACATAGCAGAGCAGAGAAAAAGGTTATTTCTAATCTTTATATATAGTATTTTCATCAAATGGTGAGCAGCACTACTGTAAGTCTAAATATTTTCGCATTTAACGTACTGTTTTGCAAAGGACTTGTGCGTTGGCACTATAGACATCTAGACAACATGCAGGGCCAGCGTGCCCTCCACGATTGTGGCTTTATAATTTGCTGACATTCCTATATTTTTGTCATATTTTCAACAATTAACACTACTTCTGCCCCGACCCAACAAGCTTATCACCTCGAAGAGGCCAAATCGGCGTTATAGCTGGAACAAGGAATTGATTATGAACTATGAAAGTAGTGAAAACCCTAAAGTTTAGCACAAGCAAACTGATCTGCCGACATAAGTAAAAGCTGTGCTTCAGAAGTTTGAACATGTTGACAATTCGCTCAGTAAAATTCTCTCTCGATTGCTGTTTCCAGAAGCTTATCATAATCTTGCTATTGCCGTGAAATTTCGATTCTCTCTGTAAAAGTTCTGCCCCTGAAGAAAGTTCAAAGCGTATTACTTACACGGATATCACCTGACAAAGTTTTAAACGAAATGAAAGCAAAAATTAACGAGCAAGCCTTCTCATCTTGTGGATTTGGGCAAATGAGTTGAACGACAGAGAAAGTAAACTACATGTAACTGAAGCTTCTAGGCACGAAATTGTGCCCTTAATCAGCAAAGAAAAGCAATCTAAATGTATTGGAGAACTTTTATCAACCCTATTGCCTTCATATGTAAACTAAAAAAGAAACAGTCCGAACGAAGACGTGCCGAAAAAAAAAATGTTTATCCCATTACAACTTGCTTTGTGCAAAAGCCCGTCGTTTATTCGATCGTTTTACCTTCGTCATATCTATAACACTTCAACAACGTATCACACAAGCGACAACAACATATTACGGACAAAATATGTATAATGATAATTTCAGGTACGAAAGGCAATAGTTAAAGTTGTGTTTTTTTCACCATTAACATGATTCAGCTTACCCCACGTTGAAGAACCTTGCCGAATGCCAGCTCGGCTAACTCTCGTTATTCCTTTCTACAACCATATCTCACTATGCCCCCTTTTTAGATAGGTCGTCCGGTCCCACAGTTTCAATGACTTGGTTCGTGGTGGTCGTACTTCCTTTAATTTTCAGCAACTTGAATGGTGAACCAGTAGACCTAGAAGCTTTCGCTTGCGTTCAAGGTTTTCTTTTCATGAGGGAAGAACAATGAATGAACACGCGCTCAAAGTTCTGCTAGTGTTTGTTCTTCATTGTGTACTTGTGTTGAATGTGACTTCCCACAACAGTACATTCGTATTGATAAATTTTATTTTAAAACACGATACAACCCTTGTTTTCTCACTAAGAGCAGCACTTGAGTAGACGTTTGTATGACACGCGAAATATTGAAACTGGATCGTTTTCAATAAGCGACCACCATGTGGTGTAAGCTTGCGCGGACCATTCTCTTGAAAATAGCATTGACTGCTATTTGTCATAAGTTGACAATCAGTAGAGTCTATGTTGCCAATAGATTCCTTACGAGACCACCGGAATGTCGGGCTTGTGTTGGTAAATGTTTTGAAGAAGTGGGCGTATGGTTTAGCTGTCTTGGGAAGAATATATTTTAGTGTGACACTTTTTTTATAAATGTTCGCCTTGGATTTTCTGTAATTATCCTACAGCTCCGTGTTATATTTCTTTTCCCATTGCAGCGGGCAGTAAATAAATCTTACGTCATGAACTTATGTCATAAGCTGACAATCTTGCAAAAAGTCTAATCTTTTTATATACATCAACAAACTTACCCCACGTAGATATAACAGGTCATGGGCAATTTATATTTTTGCAAGGGATTTTAAAAGGATAATAAGGATCCTAGTAAGATTGTAAGCTTCTTCCAGATATGGTAAGATAAGAGGTAATATGCCCACTAAAGAACAATACAAAATATCTTTAAGAATTTTCCATAGAGTTTAGTAACTATAAGTACATAATTTCTGAGGGAAACTAAAAGCGTTAAGAGCTTCACTTATGTACTTATAACACATGACGATCATTGTGAAAGCTTTGGAGAAAATAGGCGACAGGTCAAGATTGTCTTTTCCAACCATCTCCGTGAATCTAAAAGCGCTTGCCTTTCGCTGCTTTTGCCAGGGTTTGATTCCCAAGCTTGTTGTAAGAAATTTTGAGGCCCAAATCTTCAAATTCCAGTTTACCCTTGTATCAGTGAATGTAGATCCACACATAGGTAATCCCATTTCCTAATGAGGTCAATTTATTTGTTAACGCAAACACCTCATCAAGGGCAACGGTCGGAAGATTTTCTTTCGTAGAAGATTTTATAGGCTATTGTGTACTTAGACACTGTTTAATAGCTTTGCAACTTTCCATAATTTCAATTTGTTTCTTTATCCAATGAAATATTGAGTGGTTACTAAGGTCGAAAACGTTCTTTATTGTAAAAATTTTTAAGGTTTTGGACTTTGGCCTTGAACAAGTTTTGACAGCTTTCAAAACCCGGCCGTCGACAAGCTAATCAATGAAAACATTGGCCAGTACCGCATGCAGTTTTTCGGCCGCCGTGTAATTAACTAAGAAAAGAAGGCGATTAGAACAAAAAGCTAGTGACGGATTTCCTTCTCATGCAATTCGATGGAAATTCGAGTGCTGCCGCTTCGTAAAAAATCAACTCATTTACCCAATCAACCAAAATATTCGTCAGATTTGAAAATCACTCATATCTGTACGAGCTTTTGATGTCCAAAAGAATTGTCAAGGAGGAAGGATTCTAAACGGGAAGATAAATCACGGCTTCCTTGTTACAAATTCTTAGCCAAAATGGTAATTTCACTTGCATCAGGGCGACAACTCATATTTTATGATTGGTGTGTATGAGCGCTCGCTTCGATCAAAAGACCAAATTTAGTTCAGAAATTAATTGAATTATCGACTAGGTAATATTCGTGCTTAGATTATCGCTTGAACGCTTGTTGTTTGTTGGTAACAAACACTTTTCATCCTAAAGAACAATATTCAGTGGAACAACAATCGAAACGCCTTTCCATTATCTTTCGCTTTGGTTGACGCGCGATCTTTTCGTCTCCCTTCAGTTGGCTTTTAAGACAGTTGAGTGACATACATAAAGCGGTCTTACACAATTGGAAGTTTACGTCACAGCAAACTGAGTGCCAAAAAAAAATCTTTACTTATAGGGCTATTTTTAAATTGTTTCCCATCCATTCCTAAAAACATCCTGTTTTCATACTTCAGTTACAGAATAAAGCGGCAATGTGTGAAGTGCATAACATAACTTTGCGCGGCCAAGGATCTCCAAACATAAACTACAGTATTGTAATTTCGCATTATGGGGCCTTTCACAAAATTCTCTTTAACCAAGATCTATACAAGTTGGACCCTTGTTTCACTAACCCTAACCCTAGGCCTCACTGAACTTAGCTCTTTAATACTTTCTCATGACTAAGAAGCACCTCGCCACAGAGAAAAGTGTGATGTTAGGAAAATATAATTAGGTGATTTGTCACTAAATCTCTTCCCAAATGTTATTATTTAGTAAGGCGGAGTGGAAACGGCTATACGAAAACACGAAATCAATACCAGCCTATTGGAGCTTTAATTACTTTAACAATATTCTGTTTCGTGACAGACTCCAAATGGGGGGAAAGAATGCATTACAATGATCTAGCAGCTGGTCACGTGAATATGCTACAAGTACGTAATTGCAATAATTACTCGGCACCCAAATTACGTCAGTAGGTAAACTATTTGTTCAAAGCGGCGACTCAAAAGTAAGTTTATCCTCAGAATTTATGGTTTTCGTTGCTAAAATCGGGGCCATGCCTTTATCGTCACGTTTGTTAACTTTAACCTTTTCGGAAAAATTACGATCTCAAATCTTATGCAGACTTGTGTGTACCTCGGGTGTGGCTATTAACTAGAAGTAAACCTAAGCATACAAACATGTGGAACTTTTTTTAAAATTCGAAACCACATTTTGTAGATTGTCAACAGAAAGGGAAGTTGCCCATTTCAGTCCTGAGCAGTTTAATACTTACAATCTTCAACTTTCATCCACTAGAAGGGTCTCTTATTTAATCATATCTCAAATTTTCTCAAACGAAGGTACTATTTATATCTTTGAATCAAGGTCCATTACTATCGTCACGTTTGTTTGTCATTGTTCATCGTTTTTTTCGTCATGTCATTCTCCATTATTTTCAGCTTTCATCTGCTAAAAGGGTCTCTTATTTAATCAAATCTCCCTGAGGCTAAAAACTACTCAAACGAAGATACTACTTACATCTTTGAATCATGTTTTATTATAACTAATAGGATGCAAGTCGTTAAAAAACGATGAATTAATCATGATTCAAGGTGTGAGCTTGGGAGTTGAGCTGAGGTTACAATAGTCTAGCTATATGTTGGTCATAGCCTGCATAGTTTCATCTCTAGTTGTAATTATGCTGTTCGTATAAATACTGTGTTGACTTTGATTCATCCACCCACACTCTGTCGTGATTTCTCAAGAGGGTGGCAACGTGTTAATACCTGACACGCAAATTTTCCACAAAGACAAGGTAAGACGAGATTTGAAGTTTTTTTCTCAAAAATTTGCGACGCACGAATTACTGCTTAGAGTACACGCAACGCGTGAATCTTTCTAAAAGCTGTACGTGAAACGGGATCAGGTTCCCTCCCTTCCTTTCTGCTCGCTTGCTACTCGCTACTCTCTTGCAAGACAGTTACCATGGTGGTACCTTTCGCGTATACCACGTCTTGTGTTCCTCCGAAAATAGAAAAACACGCATTTCTTCGTAGTCTAATGGAACGCAGAAGTAGACATCTGTCATTAGGACATTAAGAGTTCCTTAATAACCTCTTCCGAACGATCCTAATACGCACTCATTATTTCGAGCGGACAAGCATATTGGTTGCACCGCCAATGGCCTTATAAATGCTACAGAAGTGGAATATTCTTGGTTGGATTCAAAAGGTTACAACACACCTTATTTGTTTGATTTCGCACTCTGAATGTAATGATGGTAGTTGGGAGTGATTCTAAAACCTGTGAGACGTTGATCAACGTTTTGCTTTGTATTGTCGTTTCTCAGACAATATAATTGTTACGATATTGACTTTGAAGTTTTCATGGCGGTTGCCAAGGTGACCGTTACGTACAAAACGTGTAGTCAACACTAAACTAAAAGAGTTATGGGGGAAAACTTGTTAGATCTATCCTTATGTGGGAACAAAATGCACAAAATTTTAAGTCATTTCTATTTTAGGCCAGAAGGATACCATCCTCACCGTATTGCCTTTAGTGAAGCGAAGGAAGCTAAACTTGTTAAACCCAGACGACAGAGACTACACTTGCGATAAAGTATCAAAGTTACAGACTAATTAGGTCAGGAAAGATCATTTGACAGGTTAGTTGAGACTAGTGATAAACAAACACCTCATTTAAAATTTCCTCCACTCGAATCGTTGTCTTGTAAGACCTTCTACAACGCCTCTTGCTAAGTTTGATCTTTATTCTTGACCAACTGTGCATAACTTGTAAACTTAGTTCTAAAAGCTTTCGAGGTCCGGTCAACGTCACAATTGCTTCAGGCAAGTCGTCGCATTAAATAAAACCTAAACCTTCAGCCGGCCGGTAAATGAGGTTTAGTTAGGTTTGATATAGAGGTTCGCTCATTCGGTAGCAAAGTCCTGAAGGGCAGTCAAAAAGGACTCTATGACCTTAGAGTAAGAGGTCTTTCCGAAAAAGACTAAAACTCTTAAGAGTTTAGTTCGATTTTCTTTCCAAAGCCGGCACTCACTTGGACAAAACCACAGCTTGTTAAAAAAATTTCTTACTCTTTAGTCAGCACTTTACTTCGTCTTGCCCTTTTCCTGGCCGGAATGATCTCATTAAAACTAAGTGAAGTGGCTATTTGCGTTTTCGGGCAGCTGTTGTCGTCTGTTTTCTTGCACGGAAGTCTTGTAGTTTCCAATAGTTGTTGTTTTGGAGGTATGCCTCTGATCTAATGGGATCTTAGCCCTTGTTGGATTGTGATCAGTGATGTTATGTGATGTCTGTGACGTCAATGGCCTGAAATGCCCGCAGCTACGAGCGGAGCCTTTAGCTCATGGGATTAGAACATCTTTTTTTTAATTTTGCGCCACATCTTTCAAGTCGTCATACATTTTTAAAAACTGTCGCAATCAGGAAATATGCATATGTAGGAAAGTGCGATTTCCTCGAACGATCATAAAGTGTTGAGAATGTGGCAGCGAATGCATTTTAGTCTTCGTTTGATAGTTTGTTCTAGATTTTTCTTTATCATCATAAATGTTAATCAGATAAAGTTTTGAACATGAGTGTGAGATAACTCTCACGAAAGCTTAAACGTAGTTCTTCTATGAAAACTAAATCAAGTTAGAGAACCATAATCATTATTTCATGTAGTTGTGAGCAGGAACAAGAAGCCATGAATAATCATCAAGAACAAATTAAATGCTGCTACTAAGTTTAGTTTAGGTTTTGGTAAATCGATAATCATCATATTGCGTATATCTCCTGTGGTCATATCCTCGACCCTCAGTTTGGGGTAGCCAATTTGTTTTTTCCTCTTGCAATTTGAGTATGTTTATATGTGACTGGACGTACAATCGCTTTTGTCGAGTTTGTCAATTAAAGGTCTTCAGAACAGGTTTTCCGGTATCCATAATTTGGCTTATTTCAAATCCGTGATTTGTGGAAGAGATGAGCGAAATTCGGGATTGTAACTTTGAACACAACACAAGTTTGGGCACTGTTCAACTAAGGAAGTTTGAAATAAGATATTGGAAATACAAAGATTTAGGAGGTTCAATCAAAATTCATTCTGAGACAAAACTGTCGTCTTGAAAAGTCGGATTAGTCGATATGGGAAACAAAATGCTTGACTCAGGCTTTAATAAGCTTGTCGAGTCAAGAAAGCTTTTCAACTCAGGCTAGGCTTCTTCTTTGGGATGGGGATTGTGACTGGGATCGGGTTTCGTTGATGAAAACCGTCTGGAAACGGAGGTGAAGGAATATTCGGTCAAGGTGACGTTATCGAGGAGCTTCTTCGTTATTATTATCATTATTATTATTATTATTATTATTATTATTATTATTATTATTATTATTTGTTATGTAAGAATTATAGCGTGGCGCAAGGGCCGTGTATCGTGACTAGATTATTGTCCAGCATGTTCCTTAACACTCACTCGGGGTCCAGTGCAATGTAGTTTGGTCATAAATAAATTCGACAGATCCCTGATGACAGCAAGTTAGGAAATTGTACCAGCAAGTAATTGATCGTATAGGATTTGAAAGGGTGGGATGTAACCGAGTTGATGAAACAAAATCCTGTACCGCAAGTGTGCCAATTAATGTATAATTTCAAAGACGTTTAAGAATTTTAAGAATTTACCCGATAGTAAGCGTCCGCTCCATGAAGGAACAAATTTTTGATGCGAAAAGTTTATTTCTCTTGACTCACCGCCTAAGAACTAATTTTTCAATTGTGATTGAATCCGGTTTTCAACACATTAAATGTAAGCGAATGAACAAAAAAAACTACTTGCGTCTAATTGGGTTCACAATTATTTTAGGAAAATAATTACCGGGTAAGGGTATTAAAGCATGTTTATTCCTCTTTCCGATTTTTGAATCCTCTAGAACAGCTTCACACTCTTGAATCAAATTACCCTCTTTACTTAAAAAGAAGGCTGCTTTGAAGACTTAAGGCAAGAATAGACAGTTAACAACCTCTTAAGAACTAGAAAATTCGACTACTTATCCCTAACTAACTGGCGGGAGAATTTCCGTTCCATTTTAATATTGGAACCTATTTTTAAATAATTCCTAGCATTTCTCACTTGAAAGGGGGCAATCACCAAGCAACTCGAAACGTCTAGGCGCATATAAGTCTAGAGTACCGTGCATCTTATTTCGCACTTATTGTTTTGAGCAGGAGAAAAACACGCCATTTGGAATTTTATCCCTCAATTTTGATAGAATCGTCTAAGCTCAGCCTGAACACAATAAATACATCCAGCCAGCTAAAGTTACAGAGTAAGGTAAGAAAACTGAAAAATAGTTAATTATTTTGGTGATGAAGGTAAAATTTGAGGGCCAGCTTGCTCGATTCGGGAAAAAAGTGGTACTCTATCAAAGTTTCCGAAAAATTGAGTCATAGCGTATCATGCTGAACTGTTAGAACTTGAAGCTGATGTTAACCGCAGATTAGTTGCACATTGTTAGATTCTAGAGAGTTAGCATCCTGTTTGGATCCAGATCTCTAGATCTATGGGGATTTGGCTAAACTCTTCCTTCACGTGCCATTTCAGTGTCATTGAAAAGCGAAACTATGTAGCCTGATATTGCACTGAAGAGTCTGGAGCGAAGGACTGTACTGGAGTTGGTCCTGTAAATATTTTCCCTCTGGATTCCTTCCATTGATCGGCATTTTTATCCCTTCGCTGTTTTGCACTCTGCTCTTTTTTATTCCCCAATAACGATGTGGGAAAGGTATGTTCGAAAGTTCATCTGAGACATTTTAAAGACACTAAGTTTTTCCAGAAATATTCTCACAATCAGCAAGTTAGTCATACCGGCCTTCAAGTTCTCGTTCTATTGTAGAAGCTGCAGTCCTGTAATGCTTTTTAGATTTTGGTGTAATGGAAAGTAAAATCCCAGTGGATACTTACGATAAGGGTTTCTTTCACTTTTGTCCTATCGCAATAACAGTTTGGCATGTTTGCGTTTGGTTGCTTTAGCATGACTCTTTCGCCACTGTGTTTTAGAGACTGCAAAACAAGGAGTTAGAAAGAAAATTAACGCTAATTTTCCTCAAACTTGCATGCTATAACTCAGTGAAAATCAGGCCATAATCGAAATTTTTATGAAACAATAATATTAAAGCGTAATATGATCTTGAGTGAAGAATGCACTAGGTAATTAATAGAAATGTTTTGTTATTATGCAGTAGTGATGTTTAGTGACCGCTGATTGCAGGGCCTCTGCAGGCACATTCTTGTACAGTAGCAGTATGTTTCTTATTGTAAAGGCGAAGGGGCAAAATTCGCTCTAATTTCGGCTAGACATGACCCGGCAGGGTTGTTCACCTTTCGTACTTATTGTTTTTTCTTTTGCACGGTTTGTCGATCAGCCAATCGCATCTTTGTGTGTGTTAAAGTTGCCCATAATAAATATTTATAGCTTAACAGAGCACGTAGCCAGACACAGCTATTGGTGACTTAATCTTCTATTTTCTTTCCCTCGTTTGGGTACGGTGAATCCTTGTACTCTTCCTGTGCAAAGAAGCGATTAGTTATTGTCAATTAGTCTAAAACGATCTCTCAGTACATTATTGTGCAACCAGATTGCATAACAGACGCGCCAGCTGACCTCTACGATATTTTGCGGGTAATTTGGAAACATCACACCAACGAAAAACTAGAGCGTTTATATTTTTGAAACAGGCCTGTGCAAATTGCCATCCCAGGGCTAAAACGGAGTCAAAATGCTTTTTCCTGAACTGTCACGTCGTATGCATGCATTTTCCCAATTGGGTGACTACTTAAGATTTTTTAATCGTTCAAAGGTTCGTTTATCAGTTAATGACTCTTAACACTTTCAGTCCTTATAAAAGATCACAGAGCCAATTGCACCCACTTGAGTATCCTGCCAGACAAAGATGCATGCATCTCGGTATGTTTTTAGCAGAGTGAAACAATAGCTCATTTTTTGATGCTTTCTTTTGATCATTTCGCTATCAACCGATGTAGGAAGCATAAGCGTTTTCCGAGCACCAATTAAAGGTGCTGACGATGTTTGTAAAAATTCGTGGAGGAAAAATCATTTTGTGTGCGTTTCCAAAACTGCCTCTTCTTAAACTCTCTATCTTCATTACCAGATGGTTTAAACAGATATATATAGAGAGAGTTTAAAAATATGTTAAGAGGTAATTATTGAAAATAATTATAGCAAGTAAGGTGATCAACTCCCTTTTTAAGAGAGTTTTTTACAAGCAAATCTCTCCATGAACAGAAGGATTAAAAGTCATATCTAATCAGTCTTACGACCATGGTTAAACAGAAAGCAATCGAATAACACTCTGGTCTTGAAGATATCGCAGAATCATCAAAGATGATAATTCATCTATCCATTAAGTTTGAACTTTTTGGTGGAGAACTTTTAACTGTTCATGTAGTAAATCCATGTAAACCTCACCCAGTAATGCTTATTTTTATTTGGCACCATGGAACAAAGCGTCTTGTTTGTTTTCTCGTCTGATAGACCATTGAGTGCTCTTGTCTGAATTCTATGGCCTGAGTATCAGGTTTTGCGGGGTAGATAATCAAACAGAAAGTAGCGCGAAGAAACGGAGGGTTTTATATTCGTGTCTTTGATCAATGGCTATTAAGTGAAAGGTACTATTTAATTAGACAATCTTAGTAGTGTTCAATGTGAATACCTTACTTGTAGGTGATAGCACTTCGGTATCCTTTAAATTAGTGGATTGTCAGCAACCAATGACCTGTAAAAGATTAATCAATTAAATGTAAGTGGTTATGAATAACCCTTTAACCACACAATGGCTTTACTTGAGGAAAGGTTACATGTGGCAAACAGCCCAAGGAAGAGTCACGCATAAAGCTGATTAAAATAGAATAAGAGTTTTTTTACTGAATCGAATGAAAAGATAAGTTGAAGCTTCGCTGGCTGTTTCTTGCATAGAGCTGAAAGCTAAATTAGCTCCCAGCGCAGTCACGGGGGGGCTAAAATCGCATTTTGGCTCGTAGAACATCTCTGTTTTTTTACCCATTGAAGCCATTCCTAACCAAAATAGGCGGGATTTTATCTCCTTTCTATACTAATTTTTCGGCATGCATTTTAAGGCGTGCCACTTAATTCCTTTTTATTGTGATATTTTTCTTCATTTCAAAGTCTGCTGATGTTCTGATGCACGAGATAATGAGTTATTCCAAACTTCTAAGGAATTTGGTTGAGAGATTGAGGAAAAGTATATTACAGTGAACCATTGCAGTGTCAGACAGGTCTTTTCAATTGTCTCCTCGTAATTAAGAAACACACGATGCCAATCAAGTTTCCATCGATCTTACCTTATTGATGTCCTATCAGATTGACACAAGAGCAAAAGTTGATAGATAACGATCGTATTAACAAAGACCTTGACAGGCTCCCAATTGTGTTCTTTGCTTGTCCCCTGGCACCAAGTAAATTTATAAAATGCTTTCACGTGCTCCTCATGCAGGTATGCAAGTAAAGTATGAGTCGCTAGTGATAGAACTTAATCGTTAGTGCCAGCAATATCGTAATTGCAATCGATTTAGTTGCCAATCCGAAACAATAAATCGTTGGTGTTGAACCTCAATCGCTTGTGTTAATGTTGTTGCATCAAACGCCGTTGCAAGACTCTAGTTGGAAGCGCTAATTATAAATCGCCTAAGTTCTGAAATAGATCGATAGCGTCAAATATCAATCGTAGTTTTTAGTATCAGCCGAGTGTGTTTAGTCTTTGACGCTTTTGTTAATTTTAAATACAGCAATCGTTTGTGTTATGTCAAGCAATGTCAATCGCCAAAGTTACGATCGATTGTTTGTGATAGATAGAAATCGCCCCCGCAAAACGGTAATCGTAATTGCAAGTATCGATTTGTTATTGGTCCTACTGTCGATTGCATCTACCCTTCCACACAGAAGCCGATGAGGGACGCTTTTGATATCCGAACAAAAATATTTTGAGTTTAATTTTTAATATAAACTCGTATTGAAAAGTTTTATTTCCTCAGATCTAAAGAGTAATTGCAAATCCTGATTAAATCATTGTTCCCACAAACAAATTTTTCAAAATCCCCAAAATGATATGTTAATTTTTTTTTAAATGGCGAAAATGACCTAAGTGATAGTGTTGTTTAGATTTTTTGAGACGGACAACTAGACGGCATCTTAAAATAGACTCATCTATTAAGTAAAACCCCATGATGTGTTTCTAGGAAGAGACGCAGAAAGAATAAGGAGCGTGCTTAAGTATCCAATCTGCTGAAGGAAATTAGCTTATACAAGCAATCGACGTCGGAAGACTCAACTGCATTGTGTGAATAATCGTAAGGATTAAAAGATTTCCCTGGGTGGGAAAACTGAAGTAAGTCAAAGTCTAGGTCAAGATTAGAAAACAGGATGATAGTTATTAACGGCGGATTGTTTCCTCGATAAACAATCTATGTAAGCAATCCTCAGTCGATTTGAAAAGTTTCGCAAGATTCCCTTTGTAAATAGAATATCCTGCCTGATAATGAAAGTGACAAGAGTTTATGAAAGGCTATTTCATTAGTAAGGCCTGACGAGGCAAGTCTAGCCCCAAGGTCAGGTAGTTCAAGTGATTCTGTGATGAGGATCTTTGGACGACTTAGATAAAGCAGGAAAAGTTCCATCAGGTGTGCGAAGAATCCTTGGCGGTATAAAAGAATAGTGAGATCATACTCACTATTAAATACGGTACATAGCCCTTTTCCGCCTCATGTCCTCATAGTAAGGAGGATACATCCGCTGTTAAAGAGCTCTCTACGTTGTCAAAAGATTTGAATACTCTGATGACAGGAGCTTATACTCCATCTTTCAAAGATTCTGCGTCAATAGTATCCCGTTTTGAACCCTTAAATTCTCACACATGCTATTCTAGATAAATAACTCTACCACATAACAAGGTGAAAATGTGGCGAGGCCTGTCAGACAGAGACACCTTTTATTTCTAGTTTACGAGGGTGGTAAAGGGTTTTTGCGTGAAGCACAACAATTCGTGCATGAAACGGGATCACGGCCCTCGTTTGCTACCGTCATTTATCCCCTGACTATCCTAGATTATCCTAATGATAATTTGAGGTTTTCATTTGAGTGCAGGTCTAATGTGTCGATCAAAGGGTAAAATCCAATCTTTTTTCATTTCACCTTGCTGACGACGAATTCATAAGTTTTTCTATAACCGTTACTTTTCCGTTTGCTTCTTCTAAACGCGTCACAGACGCGCTGCCACAAGGCTACACTTTTTTGGTGAAATTTGTGAAGGGAATGGTCGCTGAAAACCAAAACCTTGCGGCATAATGCAAAGGTCAACTCTTATAACATGCAAAAATTCCCTATCACATTAACTTTAAGCGAAAGCTCAAGACTTAAAGTGGCTCAGTAATCGATACCTTCATCTACATTTTATTTTAGGGTTAAGAATCTTGTTCTCCAGGTATTTAATCTCAAAATAAACGAAAGAAAATCAAACGAAAACACACGAAAAAACACGTCTGCAAAAAATTATTTGACCTTTCCCCTCTGGGACTATGATGCACGTGTACAAATCCTTTTTTAAGGTTTGCTCTCTTCTCTGAAGTACTACACTTTACACGCAGGCTTTGAGACATTTTCTGCGTGCATTTGTTCATGATGTATTGTTTTTATGCGCTTTCAAGGTGATGTGGTAATCATCTTGACGGAGGCTCTCAAAGCTAATCTTTCTTGATTAATCAGATCTATTTTAATTTAAAATGCGTGTCTATTTATGGCTTAGTCCAAAAAGATGAGGGAAGTCAGGTTACACTTGACAAGCTGGAAAGCAAGCCTCAAATGAATTCCTCCTGATTGAGTTAATGCAAAGACCCACCTATCTTCAATCGTTACTTTTGGTGGCAATGCCATGGCCTATTCCAACTCTTGTTAAGCCCAAGTGTATTTGCTTTCAAATGGTATCCGAAGAACGTGTCAGGTGAGGGTGGCTGGGAACCTAAGAACACAGAGATTAATCGCTTTTAGTAGAATGTAATCTTAAAGTTTTGAAATGAGGACACTCTGGGTGAAGCTCACGAATATGCTACGCATTGTAAGTCGAGGTTTTGCTCTACAGTATTGAAAACAATTTTTTACGAGTACTGCGTGAGGAAGATGGTATTAGCTGTGAGAGACTTAAGAGACGTCATTTCTGCGGCCAATTATCCCTGTGTACGTACTTGTGCCTCTTAAGAATTATTGGCAGTACATCCAGCCAGTAAAACCATTAAAAAAATTGCTAAACATGGTTTTTGCATGTATTACTTTTGTGTTGAAGTCGCGTACCATTTTCAAACTAAAACGGTGGGTAGACAGGCAGGTGTGCGGTAATTACTTAATCCTATTTCCTGATCAAAATTATCGTACACCCAATTTCAATGCCTACTGTTCTGGCGAAAACAAACAAGTCTGGTGGCTAAAAACGCTGCAGTTTACATAGGTGTAATTACATATGCAAAGTAGCTGAGAAAAGGCGGCACGAAAAAATCATCCAGTATCTCCAAAAAGATTTGAGACAATTCTTTGGTTAGGTATTCGACTTGAAGCAAAGTTTAACTGGGAAACAAGTGCAGGCGACGTCAAGAATTGTCAAAATACAACAAGGCTGAGCAAACTAGTCATCCGCCTGATTACTGACGTTAGCACCAGCAGGTAAGACCATCCTTCCACTAGCTAGATTATGGTAGCCTAAGATTGTAGCAGTTATTCTGGTAACTGAGAAACTACACCGAAAAATTATGTCGCGGAAATTTCTTTATTTTTCTATGCAAAGAACACACGACATTAATCAACAGGGCCCAGTTTCCAACACCAGGGTAGTGAACTGAACGAAGAACGGATAGTGGACAAACTTCCTCTTAGGATGTGAGTAGGTTAATCGTGAGTTCCTACTGACATCGTCTCGCAGTTTAAACTGCATTCTTTCTTTTAACTCTCGCAATTAGGATACATTATCCAGCATCCATTTTCCCAACAGGCTACCGCCGGCGTTCTTGTCTTTTCGCTTATTCCAAATCGCTCTTTTATGGCGCTAAAGGTATCGTCGGTTTGGTGATATTTTTCATAGTAAGACTAGGAGGCAGCTTAATGAAGTGTTCTAGATCCTTGCGATCTGGTCTGGGTTCGTTGCCCTCGGGTCAATTTCCTTCTGCTTGATCCTAGTCCACCTTCTTGCATACCTTATGCCACTTTAATCTTTTGATACATGGGCCCAGGTTTTAATGACGGGAGGAGTTCGTAACTAGTTCCCTGGCGAGATAGCTTTGAGTTTTACAGAATAACGTTAGAAGAGTGGGACATTTGACAATAAACTTAGGGGTCGCGGCCAGCTTCGATGTAATTTATGTTCAAGTTGCTTTGTTTGTATCATTATTTGTATAATGACACTTTCCAATTGGAAGTACTTCTCACCTAGTATTATGGCAACTCACTTCAGTTTTTAGACGTCCTTTGTTAGGAATTGTCGACAAATCCTGTCGACCTCAACACAACAAAATCGCGAAGCAGTTTTCAAACACTTAGAATGAGGTTGCCTAAAAGGTCATCAAACGAACCCGGAGGTCTGGAAGGTTTCTTTAGAGCCGTAAGCTCGAGACATTTGTACTCAGAGTCGGCCAACAATCATTCTTCTTACCTCTTGTAACTCTCGCTTTCTCTGTGGTATCAAGACTTCAAAAACTGAGACGTAGAGTGCTAAGATTCTGGGACATCACAATTTTATCTCCAAGAGAAAAAGATAAAAAAAATAGGTTTGATTGCTGGACAAGCACATGTCTAGGAATTTGAGTCAGCCTAAGCATTTTAGGTGTGTGCTATTGTTTCATCAGAGTGGACAAGATAGAGTCTAATTGTTCAGAAATATTTCATGAATAAAATATATAGATTAAATGTAGTTGCTTACATCGAAAATTTGAATAAATGTTAATAAGGTTGATTCCTATCTTGCTATTTTGTCAAAATATATTTGAGTTTTATTTTGGGCACAATTCAGATTCACAGGCATTTCTATTTCTGTTACACGTAAATGTTTCATTAAAAAACCAAACATGGCGATTTGCCATGAAGATAAGTTTGTCTGTCACCACACACTACCCTTTGTCTAAACTTTAATTAAGTTGTTTGTGCCTAGCCTCGCTGTCTTTGTTCTATGGCCTTCTGAGCGCGAGAACTTTAAAAGCGTTATTCTCCCCAAGCGTGGGTGAATTCACGAAAGGAAATAGTGTAGGTTGTGCCGGACTCTGGCACGAAAACGTGAGTTGCTGTTGCAACAAGGATTTGATCGTCGTCATCGATGAGGAAAATAAGATAAATTGCCCATAGCGAAAACTCTGTTCTTTCGTCTCTATTTTCCTGGTTTTGAAAGCACCTTTTGTTTGCCATACGAATGGTTTCCTTCTATTCTCAATCCCGGCAAAAATACACTAAATGACACGATATTGAGCGACAGAAAGGAAAGTGAGAAAGTTTTCTTCAGAAGCACGTGTTAGCTATGTGAGTCTTCTTCTCCTGTTGACCTTATTACTGGAACGAACCTTTGCTAGTAAAGTGATTTCTGTTAACGAGATTGATCTGCTTTAGTTCTTGGTTTGACCACTTGTTTGGTCTTTGTAAAGGAAAACTGGCACGTCCATGCCTTCTGCTTAGGCATTGGTTATTTTAGTGTTTTAACTTCCTAGCAGTTCAAAGCGAGGATGTTATAGACACACAGTCTTGTTGTAGGATCTCCGCAGTCTCAAGGTGCAAAAAATTATATCTAATCTGATGATCACGAAAAGCTAAGTAAATAGCACATGTGAAAAATAATCAGATATGTCTCTATTTGTTCCCATTTGTCCATGATTGCGAAATTTTGTTTTTCGAATGAGATTACTGGAAAACAAGCGGAATAACAGATAGAACCATGCGAAGAGGTAAATGACCACGTTCTCTAAGAGTGCAAATAAGAATTAACTCCTGATGGATCAATTCCTCAGAAACGGTTGATAAAATTCAGCAAAAAAGCCGTGAGAACTATTGTTTTTTCTCTCAAGCTTTATGAAAGCATTTTTGGGTTGGCTGATCGTTACACTTTCCTTGCATGTTGGCCAAGGAAAAGAACCATTCAAGATATGAATGGAGGTGTCAAGAACCTCGAGTCAATACTCCTCGTCATAGTGCTCTCAGTCCAGTCTGCCTTTTTTGGTGGGATAGTCAATTTAGTCATCAGAGATAATCTTAAAAAACATCCTGCATTCAAGTGCGATGCGGTGTTTAAAAACACCTATTAAAGATAAGACAACTGCGCATCAGCAGAAAAATTTCTTTAGAAGATTGATAACGTCTCGTTTTGTCACAGACCGGATGTTTGTTTAGAAATGCCGCCAGAGAAGATCGAATGTTGCCATTAATATCATCGATGTTGTTTTATCGTTTGAGCGGTTAATAACTTGACGTTGTGGCGAAGTTCTCTACCGCTAAATAAGGGAGATCTTTCTCGAATCTGAAAGTTTCTGACATGAGTCGAGAAAGACTGGCCGTCTTCTGTTTCACTCGCATGTCACCCACATTTCGTGATTGGAAATGTCTCGGTTGTTTTTATTCCTATTTTACTTAAAGAAGTATCCTTGTGTTGTTGCACTCGAAGGCGGTTTGTGGAAGGGTTGTAATGCTATTGGTGTTAATTCCAAGCCCCTTACTAGAGATTTTGGGAAACTCACACACAACCATACCTCGGTTAGCTTTTTGAATGTGCCTCTTGTACTTAGATCCTTTTTCCTTATAAAGTGCTTCTCAAAATTTTTGTTGTCATCAACCAGTGGAGCGCAGCATTTGAGGTGTACACTCAGTTCAAAAGTGTACTTAACTGTTTTTAATGGTTGTCCCGTTTAGTCGAAACGTGGCCTTAAAATCTGGGAAAGGCTGAGAAACGCATAACTGCTATGTGAACTGTTAAATAGCTACTTTTCTTCGGAAGAGATTGAATATATGGGCTTCCGTCACTTCGGTTTTTTTTCTCGTTTTTTAGACTTTAGGATTGTCTTAACCTGCCCGGCCGTCCTCCATGTGTTGAGTGTTGTACTTGTGAGTTCTTATAAATCTGGATCATTTTCTTCAGTTCTCACTGTTCGTTTGGGGTATCACAAGTAACACCTCAAAGAAATTCATCAAGGTGCAAATTTGTCGGGAAAAATGTCTATGTTCAATCAGTGTAAATCTGGCTCTTAATTTCAATTTTGTTTCCTTTAAGGTTTACTCAGACTTCTGTAGAGTTTTTCCCATTCAACAAACTGTTTGTAAATTTGAAGACTTTATTTTTTGTTTGTATACACTTATGATTCCTCTTTCTATAAACTCGATTCGCATTTGCTGATAAGTCGTCATATGGACTTGTATAATCCTTTGGAAATACATTTCATGACAGACAGTTCAGAATAAAGAAGGGTAGGTTTCTTAAAGAAAACTGTGGTGCTGCGTCGGTGAAAGAGAATAACAATGTAATTTCGTGTTACCAAATCAGTTGATAATGTAAATTGGCCACCGTAAAGAAATTCATACTCTTTGAAATTCTTTAAGGTGGCCAATTTACGTAATCAACTCAGTTGATAATACTAAATTACACAGTTAAGAAAAAGTACGTAATCAGAGACTGAGAAAACCGACAGCATGATCAATTTGTGAAAAAAAAAAAAAAATTAAAATTTGAGGCATCAGATTAAACACTAGATTGAGCCATACAGTAGAAAGATATGTCTTTAACTAATGAATGCAAATAGCTCGAGCGAGTTTGTTTAATTGGTGTTGTGCTCCGACAGCTCGTCCAAGTTCTCTCTCGACTGTGAGTGGGGCATTTAATGGATGACTAGGCCACAAACACCCTTGTTTGAGACACTAACATAAGATTTTCTCGAGGTAATGCTCCATAAACCCTCTAAGTCACATCGCGTTATACAACATGGCACTCAGTCCAATTTGGAGGTCACGGTTTGTGAACATCGCCAAAAATTTAGACTAAAAATATTCAGTATTTTCTCTTGCAATCCGTCGTGTTCTTTCGCATCCTTAAATGTAGCTTTCATTTATCCAGCTTCCATGTCGCCTATTTGCTTCTCTGTCTCACCCTAGTCGAAGATAATTTTGCATTGTTTTAAGACAGCTCGAAATTTGTTTTTGTTTTTGCATTTTGCTCCACAAAATCTGCGGAAAGAAGAATGATGTAAGAACCAACGATCCTCGTGGAACCATTAACTTTTGATAGTTCAGTTAGTGTTGAACACACATCACAACGAGAATTGTTTTGATGAGATGAGCTATTGAATAGCTTGCAATCTATTTTTAACCAAGTACACGTGCCAGAGACAGAACGTATAAAAAGCCGATGTAAGGATTTAAAAATCAACTAAACTTTGCACCAATATTAAGAGTAGGCCCTTATGATGGTGAATCAGCTATATTGACTAGTACTAGCTACGATTGTAGGACAGGAAGTTCTTTATTTCAGAAATTCATGCTTCGTTTCCTACGCGGGTTCATCAAGGAAAGTAGAGATTTAAAAGCAATAAAACGCATGGGTCGCTCCTTTATGTCCTGTTGTGTGAAATTATTAGAGAGGAATGTAATTAAAATTAATTGACGTATTTATTCTCTGATTGACTTTGCCATAACCAAAACAGTGGGGCGATCAAGAGGAACAGAAAAATAACACGAACAATATTTTATTGAATCTAGAATGTAACTTTTCCAACGGAATAAAATATATCCTTCTTTAGTCGTAGGCGCTTTTGTTTGGCTTTTTCTTCTCAAATAGACTAGAGTTAAGAAAAACAGCGCTAATTTAAAATAGGTCACCAATACCCTCCTCTAAGTCTCTGCAGAGGCCAAACATGGACTCCTACTGCAAAACAAAACATTCCTTGAAGACGTAGCTTTAAATTCCTTTTTACATGTCTGATTGTTTTTAGAAATTTTCAGGTGTTTTTTGTAGCAACTGTTAAGGTCCTTTGGCAGCCTTTAACCCTTCACTGTTTCGGACTAATCTCCCAAGTTTCTTACAAGTAGCTGCCGGCCAAGACTTAACTTAGGAAAAGCAACTAGTTAATAGGGATTGAAAACAGCTCTTTGAAACCACGAGGAATTTTGGAAAGTTCATTTTAATCGGCACCCTGCAATCTTCTCGCCTTTAAGTTCTTTGAGGAGGTTTAACTTTATTATTATCAGTTTTAAGGAAGCAATTGATGCATACTACTCACAAAAGGTTTGCGACAGGAGTTAAACAGTACCGGAAAGTATCGAGATCATACGAGATAGTTTAACTAAGGAGTAAGGTAAAGGCTCCCCTATCTCAAAGGATGCAGGGTTCTTCAAATCGATTAGATACAATTCTTTCTTGTATGATAGACTGGATAAGGAAGCAGGATAATTCATTAGCTTTCGGCACACTCAGCTTGATGACTACGATCAGATGCTCTCAATATTGATACCAACATTACATATGGAACTGCTTTTACATAAACGCTTCTCCTTTTCTTTCCAGATCCGTTGTACGATGTATTTTTCCCTTCGAAAGCCTGAAGTCCATTTATAGAAGTTTGCGCATGACTGCTTGGACGACAAACAACAAGATGCTGAGAGATAACAGCGCTTTGACTTTTATGTCCACCAAAAACTTTTGGTAAGTTTTTTTCCCTTCCATTTTCTTCTTGTCAGACGGCTAATAGCCATGCGGTCTTAAAAAGATTCGCACTGGTGTTTGGTTCACTAGCGACATCACATCGAATATTGTTAATTATTGAAAAAGATCGATTTTGAAACGTCTCGTTCGAACAAAAGTTACGTGTTCTTGCGTCACACACGAAATATCAATGTCTAGACAAAGATTACATCACTGATATCTATCTGTCGTGCTTTGGCTCGACAACACATACTGTGTTGTCAGCTACGAAACATTCCCGAAAACTGGGCGTGGATTATGTTGGAAATTTTAAACTCGTCGCTTCCTTTTACTGGAATTAAACAATCAGTTCAGTTATGCATGAGAACGTCACTCTAATTTCAAAATAAAACACCTGATGCAAATTTCATTGCATGTAATTTGAGCCAGAGATAATAAATCGATCGACGACAATTTTAATGTCTCGTAACATTTCTAGTATTAAGACCAAACCAGTTCAACTTGAAAAAATTTTCGGCATGATTGGTTGGGAAAAATAAACAATTTTTTTTTAAATTGTTAATGTGGCTCTATGTAGGATCGACGTTAATCTTCAACCTCATGCGTAGTTTCTTAAACACTTGTCACCGAGTCATGGTAATTGTTTCCTGAGTATAAATTCAAATAAATTTTTAGGTTGTTTTCTCATGCTTGACTGACTGCTGATTGTGTCAATACAAAGCTTTATTTGAACATTTTGAATGACCTATTTGGAGGCTGGATTACCTGTTAATTCTCGTTCTTTATTAAGTATTGAGATAGAATTTACAAGCAGGTTGTAGTTTAATTTTCTGTTCAACCATTGTAGTAGAAGTTGAAAAAATTCACTGAAATGAGCAAACGTTCATGCAGAAGATTCATAATGGTATTTCAAGCTACTCTTTTAGATTTTCAGTAATATGCCTCTTCCATAAATAACATCCTTTACGTCCATGCAAATAAGCCTTGCTGGCCTCGCGTTTGACTGAAATTTTTTTCTATTTATTGTCGGGGTAATAGAGACTAACTTCCATGCATGATTATAAAAGAAAGATAATGAGACCCGCTATTTATGAAAGAGATCTAAGCAAGCTGACTTTTTCCGAAGAAAACTTGCTTTGAGTTATGGCAATTGAGCTTGGAAAAATTGTTTGAGAAAAGCATTAGCTCGATTATCAAACTAAACAAACAAACGCTTTAATTTAAGATTATGATAAAGATGTGCGAGTCAGTTGTGAAAAAATTTTTTACAGAAAAATGTACGGAATTAACACTGGGGGCACGGAAAGATCTTTGGTTGCCTCTGCTTTTGATTAGAGTTCTTTTCGCGCTATAGAGGTAACTGCGTCAGGAGACAGTTTATAAAGAGTAAATTAATTTATATTACAGTGATTGTATATTCTTTTAAACAAGAGCAGCTTCAAGCAATGCTGAAGCTTCTGTCAAATCAATTTTTTGCATCTGCTGTTTGATTGCATTTTAACTTCAGCGTTTTGCATTTGCTTGTTTTACTTGATATGGCCTGAAATAATTCCTTTGTCGACCCCTGGTCAACACTCTAATGGGCGATGGTTCTCAATCAATGAAAAAGATAGACGCTTCTATTAAACTTTAAATCCGAAAATTTCATTACAATCTCTTAACTTCATAGCCTCTTCCTAATAACTTTTCTTTTATCTTTCTCTAATTATCTGGATTCTCTAATTATCTGGATTATTCGATGAATAAGAAAACAATGGAATTGACCAAACCGACCCATAAAAAGAAAGCTGAATGCACTTTCCTTCATGTCAAGTTCAGCGTGCTATGAAGCAAGCCAGCGAGGATTCATTGTCTGTCTCATCTTACAGACGGTTTGCTTTCGACGGACACGCGAAAACCGTCAAAACTCAAGTGGCGCAAAGAAAAGTTAGATTTCATTAAAGCTTCGGAAAGCAAATATCATTTTGGCGTCCATAGTTCTAAAATCTGATTTTCTGTTGCTATGACTCGGTAATGCCTGATAAAGACTCGTGTGACGTCGACTGTCTGCGCTACTGAAGAGACTTTTTTTAACGTCACTTTTTTGAAACCAAAACTTTGTAATTCCCGAAATGTGAATTCTGTTTCCTTCTAACGCTCATTTTGACAACGTCGGAAAATTCCAGTCGATGAGAATAAAAATGTTCACAAATCCGATTTGACGGGTGGAACTGTTGTATGCCACTCTGCGCCGGATCACGCCGCTAGCTGCTCAAGCTGACAAACAAAGACGGACGGTTCTGGTGCGATGCATGACATTCAACGGAAGTTCAGCAAAATTGGGCGTTTCGAATGAAAGATGTGGTTTTTTGTCTTTGGAAGAATTTCTTTTCAAATCTTTGAACGCAAAAATAAACGGTAAAGGGCAAGGTCAAAAATTTATACCCATGCCATCTGGCTTTAGCCCTTGACCGCCATAATGGAATGGGGAGGTTGACGTGAGCCGGTCTAGAAAAAAACCGTCAAGCTCCTCACTCACATGGTGCGGCGAGACCAATTAATTTACAATTTAGTTTTCTGTTCCAAGAGTAAGCAGACTATTGATCATTTCACGACGGTTTTCGTTTATCGTAGCGCGGCTGATTAATGTATGTAGTTTTAAACAAGATGTGTTGAGCAACTGTTATCTTCGTTCGTTCTTTTTTTTTGTACGTTCTCCTTTACGTCAACCGTCGTGGTTTCCTTATTAAAAAAGTGACTGGAATCTAAAGTTATTTTTACAGGTTAATCTCACGCCCTTATTCCCAAGCGACGCCATTGTTATTTGACTGCAAACTTCAAGTGTTCATCAAACATTTTTTAATGTATTATTGAGTTTCTTAGACTTTGAGACTTCACGTGATCAATTCCCTTGGCAATGTCTCCAGGAAGACGTTTATAATGACGTGTTTTCAGCGACAGTCAGTACATTTTTCTGTATAAAAATTTCCCACGACTGACTCGCACTTCTTTATCGCAATCTGAGATGAAAGGGTTTGTTTGGTAAGTTTAATACTCGAGCCAATGCGTTTTTCAAACAATTCTTTCCAAGCTCAACTACCATAACTAAAAGCAGGGTTTCAGCTGAAAAAGTAAACTTGCCTAGATCTCTTTCATAAATAGCGGGCCTCATTATCTTTCTTTTTAATTCATGAAGGCTGTCCTCTTTTTCCTCGAAAGCATGTAGGAAAACAATTTCAGTCAAAAGCGAGGCCAGCAATGCTTATTTGCATGGACGTAGAAGGATTTTAATAATGGAAGAGTTATATTACTGAAAACCTACAAGAGTATCTTGAAATACCATCAATCTTCTGCATGAACGGTTGCTCATTTCATTGATTTTTTTTTTCAACTTACATTCCGATCGTTGAACAGAAACCTACAACCCTCTGGCTTGTAACCGTCGGTATATGCCGGGGAGCTCATTCACATAAATACTTTACTTAAATTAACTTATTTCTTCTCTTTCAGCATAGCTGTCTTTGGCATTGTCCTTTTCATAGGTTCTTGTGAAAGCATAAAAAAAGGTAAGTTTCATTACACTATAAGTTTTGCCAAGAAATTCGCATAGATAGATAACGTTTATTCCCGGACCAGCGTAGGTGAAAAAGTGAGCACGTGTCTTTGGGCCAGTGCAAAACCGAAGTTAGGTGAAAATCGCAGGATACCTTGTAGGTTACAATACACTGAAAGAGGTCCAAGAGAAATCTACTCACGCTTGGTAGTGTGAGTTCACATTGATTGAACTGAGGTGAGAAGTCGTGTATTCCAACGCACTTTGACTCATTTTCTCATCTTTGTACGACAGGTAAAAATTTCCTTTTCCTCAGCACATAGCAAAAAAAAACTTGTCGATGTATTTGTAGAGAGCCACTAAGGTGGATTTTGATGTTAGAACTGAGGGATTTTCGTTTGGTGTTTTATGGTTTCAGCCCAAAAAAAAATTCGGCGAGATATTCAGAACGTTTAAGGTTATCGTTTTATTTTTTCCTGTTAGAAATTTGGCTGTTAGCTATCAGTCCCTTAAGTTGACATATTCACGGATTACCGCCTTCTGCCCTTCCGCTGTCGTTAAAAAACACCCTGTTCATATTTATTTGCGGCGAAATTCTACACTAGTCGTCTGAGCAACTGGTTCTTAAGAACAGCAACTGTTTCAGCTTTGGAGACAAAAAAAACAATAGGGAAAGATAAGAGAATTGTAGAGTAAAAGCTCTTTTGTTTGTGGCTGAATAACGAAATTAAAAGGAAAATTGCAGTTTTTTAAAGCTAGTGAGATGAAAACAAGCTTTAATTATCCAACCATTTAAACGTACCTTTATTCACAGAAGCTATCTGTGCTATCGTGAATCTTTGTCGGGAAAGAGTAGCATTGTCCTCAATGTTGGAATCATTTCCTAATTACTTAGTCCCAAGTTAAAAATTGCGACTAAATTGCTTTATGTTTCAGAGACGGTTTTATATTCGTGTTGAAATTTTATACAATGGCCTTTCTAAATAGTTTTCCCTACCGTTGATTTATCTAGTCAGTCGCTGAAAATATTGTATTGTCTGTCGTAAACTTTTCAAATAGATTATCTGTTAACTTCCCCCGCCTCGTTATCTCCCCTTTGTGTGACTAATAATGCTAAGTACTCAGTAGGCGTAAATTTTTTGGGCTTATCTCATGAGGTATGATTAGCGAGTGAGCAACTAATGATAGATCACTGATTTAAATAGTCGTATGCTTGACCTTACGTAAGTTACCGCAAAAGCCCTTAACAAGGCTCGTACCTTACATCGCATGCACGCTTCTTTTAGTTCGATAGATATCATTACCTCCATTTTGGAAAAGATACTAACCGAAAATAAACTGAGAAAAAGGTAGTGGAGGTAAAGTAACCTATGACTACTTAAGTTTATCCCAGATGTCTGTAACACGCAGTGATACGTGGTATGTCTATCTACCCCCCTGGATGGGATGATAGTTCATTGCAAGTCAACCCCTCGCATTTCGTTAGGTTTTTGTGTCAGTTTGCAGGTACTCATTTGTAATCCTTGCTGGAGAGAGGTCAACTGAAAATATGATGATTCGCCCGAGAACACAACACATCAACCCGGAGAGGTCATGAACTGAGACCCCTCGAACGTAATTCCATGCACCAATTTTCAAATTACCAGGGCGAAAAAAACAGCTCATTTTGCAGAAAAATTCATGCAATAATTGAACTAACAGTGACCTTTAAAAGATCTCGCTCCCTGAGTGAATACCTTTTCATCTCACCACCAACACGGTATCGCCCTGATCCCGACTTCACTTGTTACCTAAGAAATTGCCCTCTTACTTAAAATTCTCCCGCTAAGAATAACTCCTATGTGACTACCGATAAAATAAAATCCTTATCTCTTTACTAAATCTTAATCTTCTTAGGATATAGCTTGGAATTTATCGAAAGCCGATTAGTTCGAGACAAAAATCGACTACATTTAGATGTTTTGAGACACTAACGAGGATTAATTGACTTAAGCTTGTGGTTTTTTTTTAGAGCCGGAGATTGTCGGCAATTAAGGATGCAAGGCCGTTGTGACTAAATATACTGTTATTTTATTATCATTACTAGAGCGTCTAAATTTGGGGCTAAGGCTAAACGTTCTTATTTTCTGGCGATTTTAAGCCTGATAACGTCCTTAACATTTTCTTAAAGCTGTGTGGTATAGTATTTCAATAAATCGATTATGAGCGACTGCAAACTGAGTTGTTCTTCAGTATATTGTGCAATAAGAAACATCATTGTTGCAATCAAAAATGTCCTTAGGTAGTTGAGTTAATAGTCCTGTTAGTCCAGAGTTTTACATTGTTTTCAACATTTGTTTATACTTCTCCCAAAAAAGGCAAAATGGAGACGCTATTGACTGACTCTCGGCCTGGGTGTGCTCTTACTACGTTCTTAAAATTTTGGTTTATCTCAGCCTGAACATTTTTCTAAAAAATGTTCCTATGAAAAATGAGTGTAGCTTTTTCTTTAGCATATTTTTGTTTGTTTTTAACAATACATACGTGTTATTTTTTCTATTTAAGGGTTTTCATTTCTTGTAAGTTATTGTTTGACTGCTAGTTGTCGCTGTGTTATAGATATTAAGTAAACATACATTAAATGATGAATCTTAATAGTCAAATTGCATGTAGAATTAGCAAAATTTTCGCTACATACTTGTGTTTTTTATTGTGGTGAAACATCTATAAAGCAAATGTGTTCAACCTAGGACGGTAAACTAGCATATCTATTTGGAAAATGAAAAAGGCTAAATTTTTCGTCGGGATGCTCGAGGTAATAGTTATGAAGCTTTTCAAAGCACAAAACTTCTCTCCAATAATTTAACGAAACCAAAAATCTTATGCCAAAATGAAAACCTGCAGAGTTTGCGCTTAAAATTTTAGATGTTGATCTCATAACATAACTGAGAAAGCACACGTTTATACTTGCATGGGATTTGTCCTGCCCCTGCCCCCAGAGGTCTTGTTTTCTCTCTTCCCCCCCTCCCCCCATCACCACCATTGATCGATTCCCCCATTCTACACAGGAACGTGTTTGTGTCATTGAGATCGAAGGAAAATTACCTTCCAGGTGCCTTCGAGACCAGCCGATAACATCGTCGAAGAAGGGATTATTTTTACTGATTTTGTTCTCACCACTTTCAGATCCTCCTAAACGATGTGATTTCAACGGTGTTCACTACAACTTAGGAGACACTTGGAATCCTTTCTTGTTGCCAAGTGGTTACTTCCGATGCATAAAATGTGCCTGCAAATTGGTAGGTATCCCATGTCGCCGCGAAAAGTATGTAAAAGGCGATGAATCAACAGAAATCATTTTGATCAGTTTGGTGGATTTATTGGGGAAGACTTTTGCGGGCATGACGGTTTAATTCTGTTTCTTGGAACCGCAGGATCATTGCTTTTTAGTGTAATTGCTTCTATATTCCAAGGGATTGGGTTAATTATATTTAATACATCTGCAGGCCCAACGTAGGGTTACTTTGATTGTTTATAGTTAATTTAATTCTTAGTTCAACGCTCTTCGTATCGCGCGGACCCTTTGGTTCCTCATTCAAATGATCACCGACGTTTAAGATTTATCGTAAGAATAAGTGATCTTCATTGCTAGATAGTAAATTTTACTAACGGTACTCACTGAAAATGTGCATCTTATTGGTAAAGATTGTGAAGATATCTTTCTTGAGCATTTTTAAGTCAGAGACAAAACTTACATAGGGATCTTTTGCGTCCTTTGAATAAGACAAATTAACTTCTATCTTCGGAAAAACAAGAGTTTGAAAATACTTTTATTTAAGACGTTCCTATTAGCTGGAATGTAACTTGCAAACAGGACAAATTTCTTTAGTTTCTGAATGTGACGTAATGAAACAATATTAGTGACCTTACCGGAAAAAAGATGGTTCTGTAGGTGCTGTCTAAATTTTTTGTACCCATGTGCTCCTTGCTGTTGCCTTCCTTTATAGTCAGACGATGGTTCGTTGGCGATAATAGACTGTTCGCAATGTAGGACGCAATCGAATCCAGGTATGTGAACATGTTACTTGAGTAAGTGAAATGCAAAGATAAAAAAAGTCAAAAAAGGAATAAAATCAATAGATGTAGCTTGCTGAAAATTTCCAAAAATTCCACGCATGTTCCTCTCTGAGTCATATATCGTGTACGTATGTGTCTGTGTCAATCACCGAAAGAGAACTCTGTTGTGGAGAAGAAAATCGTTTTTCTTATATCGGCAAAAAGGGAAATTGAATGACTAGTTCTTAAAAAAAGGCCATGTGAGTCTGGCTTATTGTTTATTTTCTTTTTAGCCCTTCCTTCGACAAAAGAGCAACAGAGGAGTTGTACTTATAAAAATGTTTCGTGGAATCACGGTGTGGTGTGGAAAGACGATTCCAAGATTCTACCGAATGATAAACAGTGTAAAGAATGTAGCTGTACGGTGAGCAATATCAGTTCTTATAAACGAGTGGCGATAACAGTTAGTATATGCCAAAAGAGTGGCTAGCGCTGAAGGTATGCTCTGATTGGCCACACAAACTTCGAGTATCCTTTGGTATTCGCCTTCGAGAAACTCGCTCGGGATTTGCGCCCGAAAATATTGTAATTGTTGCAGGAATGAATAATTTAAAATCATCTTTCTAAGCTCTGTTATCTCGCTCTTTTAGTGTATACTAGAACAAACATACACCTCAGTGTCGGTGGCTAGCCACGTCCACTTCGGTGAATAATTTTTGACTGTACGGATTTCTTCAAATCTAATATTTATACCATCGAGAGGCATTTTGACGTTTTCCTGCAGTGGTCTGTACGTTTGGCTAACTATAAAAAAGAAATCTTTATTATTCGGTTGTGTCGCACATTGCACATTGTTTCATTGGACTTGTCCGTCAAAGATTATGACATCGTAAGTAAATGATAAGATGTGAAAAACGTGCAGGGACAAGGAAAAAAGGAGTTGCTAATTATATGCTACGCATCATTACTAACTGCGCGTGCGCCACATACAAATGTGGGATTGGGATAAGGGATAGGGATTGTTTATTACATTCTCAGGATTGTTTCTTGAGAAACATGCAAGGACTATTACGTGCAACGTCTTTCATACTATTTTTCATTTAACTTTTCAAATGATTTGTGACATGCTGATGTGGAAATGGATGGGATCTCATACCATAGTTTCGTGGGCTCAAGATCCACCCAGGGTGACATTGTCTTTGTCATTGGCTCTGACGAAGGCCTAAAGTTTGAAACGTCAGCTTTGAAACTCTTTACGGTGGCCAATTTACGTTATGAGCTCAATCGATAATACTAAATTACCCTGTTATACTTTGCCACCGACAAGCACCACAGTTTCTTTAGAAATTCACCCCTTTTATTCATGTGATATATTGTCTAATAAGGTCAAAAGAGGCTCGGAAAACAGCACCATTTAAGGCTCTATTGGCAACATTTTTATAAAAAAAAAAAAAAGCACGCAAATATGAAGAAATATTTTCTTTTATTGCTTGTTTTTCTTTTGATTTTCTTTTGTACAATTGCAGGACGGATATGCCACCTGCGCCATCAGAACTTGCCCAGTCCTTACCTGTCAGAATCAAACAGCTGGACAAGGATCTTGTTGTCCTGTTTGTGCAGGTATAATGCATTCAAGTCAACCGTATGACTGTCTTGACGCAAACCGTGACGGATGTGGACAAAATACTCATAGTCATAAGCCCCAAAGTGTCTTAATGAGCTTCCTCGTGGGGATAACAGACCATTTTATATATTCATATTTAAATATTGTTCACATCTCATGGCGAAATTAATCGATCAAGTTATAACTAGATCAGATTTTAGGAATTTGCATTTCGGAAGTTGAGTCTGTGTACTGTTATGGTAGTTTTGAGTGTGAGCTACCGCAAAAAAATACACAAGAATTTCCAGTTTCAGAAGGCTTAGAAAAGGAAAGCCAGTCTTTGTAAACCGTGTTTAGAACGTATTGAGCTTTTCACTTGCCACTCTGATTGTAGAAGAAATTCATTCGAAAAAACAAATTACAACATCTTTGAGTTGTAATTAGCTGAGCTGGTTATTACTTCCACGCGTTAAGTCGAAATTTTATTATTATCGATTTTTGCTGAGGGGTTTACCTACATCAGCCATGCTGCAGCATCACGCTCAATACTTTTTCCTTATCACTCTTCTGAAAGAGGGGGTGGGTGCAGCGAAGAGTGACAGTCCATTAGTCACTCTTGGAAGAGAAAGGATGACACTTTTGATACGGTGAATTCGGAAAAAATTTCCCATACAACAAACACGTCCCAACAAGTTTTAAACATCTTTTTTCCTTTCTCTTTGAAATTGAGCTGCTTTTAGAAGGAATGTTTAAGTAACCTTTCTCTCTTCTATTGTCGTTTCAGACCACTTGCAGACTCTTCGGTCTCCCATGGGTATGTCCAGTCTACTTTTTGTTTGTTTGGGTCGGCAGGAAATCAATAAAACAGTATTTTCTCCAAAGAAATTTATAGTAAAGAAATTTAATGAATGGAAGAAGAAATTGAAAATTAACAGAAGAAACAATGCAAAAGTAAAGAAATAAAAAGATTTTCGTTTAATGTTTCCAGGTTCAATTGCAATTTTTAAGCGTCGTTTTTTAGTAGGAGGAAACCGTAGAACTAGGAAAAAAACCCTCAGAGAAAAGACGAAAACTAATAACAAACCTAGCCCCCCATTTGACACAAAGTTCAGTTATCCATCCCAGACCAGGCGATCGTTCACATAGTCCCACCATTCACGTTCCCCTAAAACTACTCCACATGAAATTTGATGTTGTACAAACCACTTCCTAATCAATACGTACACGTCTGGGTTGTTTCACACTTTTTCCCAGATAAAATAAGTAGTTAAACAATACAAATGAAGTTTTTTATAAGAAAAATCAATGAGGGATACCTTTAGAGTTTTTGATATTGTTTTTGTTCTTATTTTAACTGTTTTTTTATTAGTGAGGTTATTACGATCGAGTTATGTTACTTTCTCTTTGCTTTTTATCGAATTAAGAGCCTGCCGTTGAAATTGAAATGTTCTCTTTTCAGGGTGTGATATGATGAATAGATATTACAATCACGAGGAAACCTGGCACCCAGAATGGCCCCAGACAAATGATCGTCACCCCTGCATCACATGCAGTTGTCAGGTATTTGCATTGTAGGCTTGTTTCATAACTTCAAAGGAATTACCAGAAGTTATAAAAAAGACGTTTCTTTCCTTTCAGTTGAAATATTTCACCACTGTCAACTATAGAGAAAGCAAAATGGTATTATTGAGCGAGTTCCAAGAAGGAAAGGCCGAGATCTATATGTTGACCATATAAAGCGAAACAAGGTTGCTACAAGGCCTCAATTTTTTTTTTTGTTTCACCTTTCTCCTCAGAGCTCTTCAGTAAATTGCAATAAGACCGTCTGTCCTGCGTTAACCTGTAGAAATCCTCAGCCGAAACCAGGGGAGTGTTGCTATTCCTGTCCAGGTATTTTTATTTTAACCCTTCAATTCTCAGAATTGATAAACAGGTCACTTTTCTTCTCGATACTGATACACCATCGGTGAATTGATGATAATAAAACTCAAATTTATCGGGAAAATTGTGCTGACTTAACAAAAAGAGCATTTCCTTTGAGTGTCATCAAAACCAAATCAAAGGTATCATGACAGCCAATCTGAGGAAAGAAATATACAACCAGGAGCCAAACAGAACTCAATGTAAAAGCAAAGAAACTGATTGGAGCGCGTGACCAAGGCGTGATTGGCTTCAGTTTTGAATCTAATTTTTTGAGAAGATGACCCGAGTTTTTTGGACTAATCTTGAAGTAAAGCGAAGAAAATCCCGGAAATCCTTCGACGCACGATTCAAAATTTCTTCAACACCAATTTAAAATGAGTAGCAGCTTGAAGAGAGAATTACGAGTCACATCTTGTAAGAAGGATGCTTGAAATTGTTTGTTGAACAAAAAAATTCCGTTGAGGTCTTACAAACCTATGGGTTCCTTACAGCCGTAAATCATATCGATTTTCTATGTTTGAAGCGACCAGTAGTAATGTTTCATCTTGGCAAGGGGAACCAAAAATATTTGAGAATCCACCAACGCTCCTGACCCAAAGATATCAGATCAATGGAGTGAGGTAATTGGACTTTTCTCTCGTGCATTCAACGCTGAAAGTTCACCATAGGGCAAAGCCCAAGACATTTCATATTGCAACCCTCGTGTGATTCATGTGATCACTTTTCATATTTGGGTTTTATGAAAAAAAAAAAAAAAAAAAAAAAAAGCATGTGATTTAAGACCTTTTCAGGCTTTAATCACTCAGAAAGTCCAGTGCTCCGATCTCCAGTTAAACCTCAACCAAAAATGAGAAATTTCACGACGGATTCCCAGTCACCAATAATTTAGAGAACTTTGCTTAATCAACTGAGCTGGCAATGTGAATTGGCCACTGTAGAGAGATTCTAAGGCTTACGTTTCAAGCGTTAGCCCTTCGTCAGAGTGATTCATAACATCAGCTTTAGAATCTCTTTACGATAACCACTCACATTATCAGCTCAGTTGACAAAACCAAATTACCTTCGTATACCCCCACCGACAAAGGCATCACAGTTTCTTCAGAAAAGTATCCCTGTTACAAAAAACCGGTAAGTAACTTAACTGTCCATATATTTCTCGCAATCAAGACGGTCTAAGAAGTATCACTGTCTCGTGTGCGCTGTGCAGAAACCCTCACCAGAAGCAGCTTTTTCTTCAACATAACGACACTATAACAAATAAGTTACTATAAGCTTTTTATGATGTTTATTTGGCATTCGAAAACAAGAATGTCAAAATTTCCATACCAATCACAGCTTCGAAAAAATGATTTGAAAAATAGAGAGGTGGAGTCGTTGTTTTTAAAGTCGTGGTTTGCATCGTTTCCATCCAACTTAAACTGTATATCTTACTTTCCTTCCGATCGATTTTCTCAGTTGATTTTTATCAAAATTATGCAGTAAATAATTATTGGCCACTCGCTGAAGAGCGAAAGATCGTCGTACTTATCTACGCTGTTCATTGATTGAGGGAAACAACAAACTCGCCACGATATAAGAATGCAAGCAGAGACACGTGGTAGTAAGGAAACATTTTAAGTACCATCTAGTCAGCAGTTATACGATCAAGTTTTTAACGAGATCAGATAACCGTGAAGGGAGAAAACGAGCGCACGAAAATCATTGCACACTATCCAGTTACACATGGAGGACCCGTAAATTGACTTATTGCAATGTCAAAAAAAAAAAACGTGTGCACATTGCCTTACAGGCGCTCAAATCATTCTGTGGATGGCCAATTGAATGAGAAATTTAAAAAAATTTCCCTCTGTTTACTTCATTATCAGTCAGTTATTACATTAGCCAGAGTCACCTTTCCACCGCAGCCCATAGCTTTTAACCTTTATCAGTTTCTCGTCAGCTAATAACCGTAATCAAGTAATGCTGTTCACTTTTCTAATGGTAATACTAGTGTAAATTTAGAAGAAACATTTTAAGCTGCTAAGCTAATGCGTGCTAATTCAGCCTTGATTTGCTTCTCCTTGCTTTTGTGGCTAATTGATTTCAGCTAACTCCGTTAAAGTGAAAAGGAAAATATCTTCCAAACCCTCAGGAAGTATCGGAAGTCTGCTAAGACGGAGAGGTAGGAGTTCCACATTTGGGCAACGCATTGCATTGCTGCAGCAGGTCAGGGAAAAGTCAGGGAATTTCACTTTGAGTCGGGGAAAATTTACCTCTCTTGAAAGAAGTCAGGAAAAAATGACATTTCAAATAAATATGAATTCTTTCATTTTGTCGTGGCCCTCTTATGATTAAAGATGGTGACACTTTCCTTTTTGTGATGATGATGTTACCCATCAAATGTACTTTGTTCGGTATAATTGGAAAATTCCCGACTAGAAAATCCTTCCCTTTGTGATGCAAGTGTAAGTTGGTTTATGACTGAAATCATAAATTTTCTTTTCCTTCTATTTTCATCTATTTCCAATTCTCGGGTATATTTCACGAGACTATCAATGCTTTCTGCATGTTGCTTTAGGCAACTTTCAATTCATATACACTGTATGTGACTTACTGAAAGCGTTATTTTCTTTCCCAGTATGGCTTTGAAAATTTTTGTTCCAACCAACCCCAACCAGGGTCTCTATTTTGACTATTATTTTGCACCCGCGATACCTTTGCTCTTACTAGCCAAAATAATTTCATCCTCACCTCGCTTAATGTTAGTTAACTCTTCATATGCTTATACTGCTAATATCTTACTTCGATTCAATAAAGTAAAATAATGGTAAAGTAAAAATAATGCTAACCCCTGCGAAATACATTAACTTCCTTATAGTGCACAATCGCAATTCGATTATCGTCGACTTCAAAAATTGGTCCAGAAGAAGGAAAGGTAGAAAAGGTAAATTTTTCACACGAACCAAGCGACAATGAGTAACGCAACCTCTCTCTCCGAGAAGCAATGCTATCTTATCACTGGGGTATAAATTCAAAACCAAAAAGAGAAGCGAGAAGTATGTTGTGAGGCCCATAGCGGCTACTGAAATGTTAGTCTAGATCAAAAATATCAGTAATTTACACATCAATGCATTAGTCAGTATTCGATGTTGAGTTCCAGGTCAATTCGAGGTTGTCTCGATGCAACGCTAAAACAACGCATTAAATTCAGAGGAGTTGATAAGTTAGTAAGTCGGACGTGCTTAATTCATTAAATTACAAGGTCTCGTATTCTTATTGGGAAACCTCTTACTCGTTCGTTTGCTCATTATAGTGATACAGTATTTAAATGCTAACATGTGGTGGACTTTTTCTAACTTTTGACTTCCTGGACCGGAAAAAATGAGTCGTACAGTTGAAATTAGAAAGTGCTTCCAATTATTTCATCTTTTACGAAAGATTTAAAAGCTCAAATTTAAAAAAAAAATTTGCGCAAACTATCAGCGTCGATATCACTCTCAACCTTTCGACGGTTTGCACGGTAGAAGTTGGCGAAAATCAACTTGGATTTTCATTATCAGGTAATGCATTGTTTCATACCCTTCGAGCGTGGCAATGATCTTTATCACTAAGAACTTCAAATCATTCGGTGGAAAAATGAACTATGGGTAACTCAAAATAACAGTTACGAGAGTCTTTGTGAATCTTTACGCGGAACACTCCGACCCCTCCCCTCCACAACCCAATGAGAACGTCCACCATACCCCGGTACTCATTCATCAGTCTTGGCTGCCCCAATAGGTCGTTTGTTCTTTAGCTCGGTCCTGGCTGAGTTGATCTTTTCTAAGGGTCATATTATAGTATTAGTAGTATTTAAAGTAAGTTGCTTACCCGCCATAAGGTCTCATTATCTGCTCTTCATAAGACGCAGATGTTCAAGTTCATCAAATTTACCCCAAATGGTTTTTTCAGTGCAAAATATTTATTCATCTTCTCATCTTAATCAATTGATTATTCATTTATTTAGTTGTATTCCATTTGTTTATTCATTTATCACATTGGTTTGTTGACAGAGCCAGGAATACCAAAGCCCCCTGCTGACTGTAAGTGGGGAGGATTAACGATTGCTCACAATACTTCATTTTTTCCACCAACTCTTGGTGCATTTTCAAATTGCATCTCCTGCTTCTGCAATGTAAGTTTTTTTGAATGACACAGTGCGTTTTTAATGTTTGTACATATCTCGGACGCGGGGTGGTTCCGATACAAGAAGATCCTTTTTTAACTCCAAACTGTTCCTTTTCCCAGAAACACTCTGCTTCGAACGCTTGACTATCTGACATTATAACCCACCCACTAATTTTCGCGCAATACTATTGGCCTCTAAACGTCACGTGGTGCAAAGTCACCGCACGAAAGCTTATGGTAAAGTCGAGGCCTTACCTCTAACGAACCAAAGAATGTGGAAAAACAAACTGAACAGCAGTATATCAACTATACTGAGTGTATCTACGTTCAATGAGAGTATTTAACCTTTTACGTCTCTTTTCACAGAACTCTAAATTAGTCGATTGTAAGCGTGTTACATGTCCGACTCTCAATTGCAACGACACTTTTAAACCCCCTGGGAAGTGCTGCCTGGAATGTAGAGGTAAGCTTAAGTTTTCAAACATCTCCAGGCTTTTTATGAAATCTATTCCCAGAAGAAGATAACCGTACTGCTCCGTGTTACAGCTAAGCAAAGGAAGGGAAGCACGTCAGTCTCCAACTTCCTCAACATTACATCGTGTTCTAATTCCCTGAATTAGAATAAAGGCGAATATTGCACCATGAACCACCTTAAACTGACTCTGCTTTTAGGTTCCAAAGAGTAACCTAGCATTTCAGAAATGTCTTCGGCTTTGCACAAAATGCGACTGCGGACGCACCAATTGACTCTTCGTTGAGTCTCAGAACTAATTTTTTTTTTATCACCTGGCGTTTTATTTGAACTATCAGAAACTACATTAATTTATTATCTCATGATTAAATGATCGTGTCGCAGAACACGGTGTGCGATTCTCTGATTGGTCATTTTCTTAAAATACAAGCAGGTGAGTTGAGATAAGGTTCAACAGTTTTGTTGAAGTGCTGCTCTCTATTTGTATGTAGCTCTTTCAAATTATCTGGTCTGTACTTTTCGTTCCATTTTTACATCAACTTTGTAATCGAAAGACCTGTTTATAATTCAAATCTTTCCCCCACTTCCCCTTCTTAAGACTGATGTTTCTCTATTTAAAATGGGAAAAATTTCTTCTGAAGAAAAGTTCGTAGTTCAAATGGTGCGGCGTTTTTTCTTGGCCAAGAGGTTCATCAGATACCTTTTACCGGAAATATTAAGCAAACTCGTTTACTATTACGAGCTCCATTCCCAAAGTTCAGATGCATGTTTCTTAAGGAGTTTGAATTAAAGTCCGAAAGGGACGATGCTGGTGATGTTTAAGATGATGTTGATGCGATGAATAAGCGTTCTTGCTGTAACCTTTTTTTGTCAGTTACGACAGAAAAGAAAGACAGCATGCATTCACATGGAAATGGACTTTGCAATGTTGGAAAATCCCGGCGCCTCTATGAATATCAATTCCCAACGCAGAGAAACTCTAACTACAAGGTACAAGTTGCTTTGGTGGATAACGCCAATAATTTTGCACAGATTTACTTCACCTCTGCAAACAGGACATGGAAAAATCCGCCCACTGTCACAAACACAACCAAGAGTAACTTCGATTCAATCCTAAGACAGAGCAATAGGTACAAGTACATTGGCAAGATAAAGGAGGGTAAGTGGTAACAGATATAGTTACTTAAAATAGGTGGGAAAAGGGGATAATTTATAAAATGCTCTTGTTCACCACTTCACGGGTTTATTTGGAACCAACACACAGACCAGCTCCCAGTTGGCTTGTTAGCTGAGTTGGTAGAGCACTGCACCGGTATCGCAGAGGTCATGGGTTCAAATCCCGTACAGGCCTGAATTTTTTTCAGGCCTTCTTTTCACTACTACTTCTGCGAAGATCGCTTTCATATTCAAAAATGCTCTTCCTAGGTAAGAAAGGGATCAGGATCATGAGTCGACTTCAGCGTCCATGTGGTAGCCAGGGATGCATCCATACACTGCAAAAGATAATGGAGCGACTCCGTGAACGAACTAAATGCTCCCCGATGGTCATGGCTACACCACCTCAAACGAAACACACTACCATAGCTCCACCACCTCACAAAATTCTCAAGCAGGAGACAGACCCCTAAAACTTCCTGAGATTTTTGACGTGACGAAAAACATTTAGTATGTTTGAGGGAACGCCAGGACTGTTTCCGGCCCAAATGGTTCTTGTCTTTTAGCTACGCCATCAGTAGAATTCTTTGATGTAGATGTCACGCACTTCGTCGGCGAAGTGGAGCGTGAGGAGATGAACGGGTCATAGTCATTGCCAGGGGATTTATAGTTTGGAGACTTTACCTTAGACTTGAATTGAAAGTAGTGAATAAAATTTTGAATTGGGCTTTTTGAATGATTAGATAGTATCTGTCACTAACCACGGAATCATTTGCATGTGCTATCACGGAGTTAAAAATCATAAGGAAAGCACATGCATCTGTAGAAGAAGTAGAAGAAAACGACTACACGGACATTAACAGTTCTGTACGCAAACCCCTTGCTCTTGAATAGTATAGGTTGAATATGGTTTTAAAAACTGCTCCTGACACACGTATTCAAGCGAAGTTTAATAATAGTAGATCAGGATGGCCTATCTATCGTCTTTTAGAACGGCACAAAAGATGAATTATAACTCTTCCATCTATTGTCGACCAAGAAGCCGTCAATTTCGCGACAACAACAGAAGACAAAAACAAGAAGTACCAAACATTACGAAATTTCAATTTCCGTGGCTTTGAGTCTGCTTCAGAATCAGAATCAGAACCTATTTAGGAGCCTTGGCTTTGTGCATCCCTTTCGGTAGCAGCGTTGGTTAAGATCGCTTTGTAGGAATATAAAGCAGTTTTCAATTGAGTACCCAAAAAAGCAAAACCATAGTAATAAAGGGGGTAAGTTTGTAAAGAAACTGTGGTGCTGCGTCGGTGGGAGAGTATTACAGGGCACTTTAGTGGTATTAACTGAGTTGAGAACGTAAATTTGCCACCGTAAAGAGTTTGAAGGCTGACGTTTCGAGCGTTACCCCTTCGTCAATCGCTCTGACGAAGGGCAAACGCTCGAAACGTCAGCCTTTAAAATCTTTACGGTGACCAATTTACATTTTCAACTCAGTTAATAACACTAAAAAACCATAGTTATCCCAACGACCGGTCAGGAAAAAAGTTTAACATTGTCATTAGCCAATTATAACTTAAAGGGGAAATAAACAAACTACTTAAAGCGCGGAAAAACGCGAATGAGCACTAAGTCGCGATTGTTTTCAGTTTTGCATCTGATTAGTCGAGAAGATGGTGCGAGTTTTCTGAACCAGTCACAGAGCAGAGTAAAGTATAACCAAAGCAATCACGGATTATTTTTGACACTGTGATGAAAATTGCTCTGAACGATGAATTTGCTGTTTACTAAATTTACAAAACATTTATCGAAAAACTGGGCCAGGTTGTTAAAATATTAATTGAGGGATAACAGTGAAGCTAAACTCTGCGGCATACTGAGGTATGAGAAGCCTTTCATAGAATTCGCCTGCGCTATGCGCTTTTGTTTCCATATTTATCATCGCATTTACTATTTTGTCCCCTCTGACAAACGGTCTCAACAGAACGTCTACCAGGTTTAAAATTTCTAATTTCAAGTCTCTGTCTCTGATACTAATACAACCCTACTGAGCTGTCTGGAAATTGTTCATAGAGGGCAACTTTGTCCGTGGCCAACGGACAAATTTGATAAATAGTGTGTATCAATTGAACAGAATTTGTAGTAGCTTCTGGCGTTCAAGACGTTCTCTGCTGCTATTAGGCAATTGTTGGGTTAGGCTGAGCAAGATCAGTCATGAATTATCAAAGCCAATGCCTGTGTTACCTTCGGCTTTGGCAGATAACACAGACACGAGGTTTGGTATTTCACGACATCCTGCGAAACCGAACTCAATAATTGTCTTATACATTTTTCAAACAATCTGCGAATAAAGACACTGCTCTCTGAGTTTGCAAAAGAGAAAACTACACGGACGAGGGGCTTGGAAACTAGACAGACTTGAACTCGAAATGATATGTGCAACATCCGTAGCAGTTATTGGGTCATTACGTCAACTTATGTCATGCACTATTGGATATTGATTGCATGCTCTTGGCCATTCGCATTTTTCACTCTAAGTCTTACGTATATGGGTTATTGACCAAGCTTGTGCGGTCAAGATAGCTAGATCTTGGTTGAGTTCTTCTTTTGCGCTTTTATAAACCTAGATAGAGTTGGGGTCCATAAAACGCAATGAAAGAACAAGGCTAATATCCAGCCATCTTGACCGAACAGACTTGGTCAATGAAGGATGTATTGTATAACAAAGAGATTTCGCTTCAATAAGAATCAAGAATGACTTGATAATTTCTAGATTCGAAAAAGGCCAACTGTGTTTGTAGCACAATGAACCCACGATGGTCGTTTGTTTTCCTTTGTTTTGACTGTTTTCTGCCGCTTTCTGCGACTTCATCACCGACATTATACAAAATTTACGAAATTTGTAAGTCCGCTCCACGCAATGTTTTTCATGCGCGGGGTCAAAGTGGGTAATCCCGAGCAGGCAAGATGGGCCCATCTTGCCCTGTCGGGAACACAGGATTCGCTTCATATTGCCCACAGTCGCTGCCAGCTGTGCAATAAATAATGATATGAATCCTTTGCCTCACAGTTATTTGACTTGATTGCTATTTTCGCTCAGCAACCTTTCTAATTGAGGCGCATCTGAGCCGTCTGATATGGATAACAATCCAATACAATTTTATTCCTTGATTAAACAATAATCAAAAATAAAAATGGACAACGTATGTATATTTACACTCCGTTTCCACTCGTTGCGCTTTTAAGTTTATTCATCAATCTCGGGCATCGTGGCCAAATAAAGAATTGGCCCGTGTAAAGCATAAGGAGCACACTCTCTGTCTATGTCGTTGTTGGCTTTGTGGGCGCCCAGTTAAGTTACTAAAATAGGCGGACCGAACAAAAAACCAGTTATTCCTTAGTTCTCTGGTGTCCCATTCTTCTCACGGCTAAACGAATCAATCCATCAGCAAAACACAGGCTTGCTCCCATAGGGGCCAAGGCGACCACTCGAAAGATTCGGGCTCAAAATTTTCTTAGTCGTTTCTGCCTTGTCGTTTATTCATAGTTTTCGGGTAGAACACGATAACCTGGTCGACTCGACGCAGCTGTAATTAACTCTCTTTTTTTTAAGCACAAATTGTGTCTGCATGCTATATTACCAAATAATTGGTTCATGCCTGACTGTGTATATATTGAGTGATGGATGCACTTGGGCAGTTTGGAGAGCACTTGAGAAGCTAGAGTTGGTCTCGGCTGCGCCCCAAGCAACTCTTAACAGCTTACGCTTCTTTAGTGTCCTCTTAGCTTCCTACTTCCTACATCCCAAACTCGATATACGCTCGCTAAGCATGGGCATTTTATTTAATTCGCTTTGAAACGTAGTTAAACATTAGATAAAAGAAAGGAACTACACAAACAAAACCCACTTCGGTGGGATAATTCTAAAATTATCACCACTAATCGGCGTTACCACCAGCGCCTTTGTTTGGAGGCTTGGCATATTAACTCCGCCCACGCCCCTTTAAATCGTGACGATGGCGGTTTGCTTCCTGACGCCTATTTACACCTCGTCAGAAAAAAAGGCCGCTAATTAGTGATCATATAAAAGGACCTCTTATTGCAGCGTTTAGATCACCCCTGATGAAGGCACTAGACAGGAGTGTCGAAACGTTGGGTCTATGAATTGTAACTTCTTCGGTTATATTCATTAAATCTGCAAACCTGAGTAGCATCAAACTATGTCTGAAAACCCACTTCATTGTATTTATATTACTAGTCTCGCACCGAGGCTTCTCACGGCCAAGCCATTCCAGTTACACGGTAGGATCTGGGCTCGAGGTAAGTATATCACCAAAAGATCAAATCTAATATCAGAATACCAAACAAAAATACGAAAGCTACAACGTCGAGAAATAAACGAAGCAAAAGGTACTCCATTTTCTCCACTAATAGCCGTGAAGATGGTATGAATGGAGGGGTCTTCATGCTGGCTTTGGATTAGAATTTCATTACTTTTTCTGTAATCGGTTAAAATCCTCGATCTTTGTCGGTAGCCAGTAAATCTCAGTTAATGATAAAAAATGAAAGTTAATTATTCGTGGGCTCGAGTACCGGACGCTGTTCTGGAAATGAGCCCGCGTTCTTAACCGGCCACAAGGTAAGTTTAATGACGGGAAATTCTTTAATTCATTGAATGTCCCAAATTTTGAGTGGCTACCTCCTTAGCTAGAATGCTTCTCTCTGAATACAAATATTTATAATGTCGGATCATGTGGGTTGTAAGTTAGTAATTACTAGTCACTGATTAATCGGTAATTTTTTTCTTTTCTTTTTTGCGTCTTGTCGGTGGTCAGTTATATTCTTCGCCTTTTTATCGCTTGTTGGCTAACCCCATTCAGACCCTTCATTAATGTCAGGTAACTGACATTAATTTGCAATTTCAAAATGTGATCAGTATAATAAGCAAAGAGATCCTTTGAAATTGCGAAGATAAAAACTAGGAAGGTTCTGAGGCATACTAGTCGTTAAATAATTTATTCGGTGGTTTATGAGGTCAGAAAGATGTATTTTTAATTTATCTCAGCTAAAAACCAATTATCTTCTTGCTGATAAGATATAAAAACCTTCTTGATTCGCACGTAATGTAAAATAAACAAACATTACAGTTAAGGATATATCGGAACCCACATTTATGTTTATCTCAGAGGCGTGTCTTGGAGTTTACATTGTGGGAGGGGAATTTTATAGTAACGAATCCCGCGCGCCTGAAGTGAATTTTTCTTTTAAGCTGCTTCTCATCTTTTTCTATCAGCCTGCTCATTTTCCTGTGCCAAGGAAGACTAGCACATGGAGTATCTTGCGCTGAAAAGATTTCTGGCATTTTAATTCTTCAGATCTACGCGTTTCTACAAACCTGAATTGCACGGTTTGTATTTTTTAACTCACTTTCAAGCATATATCTCATAGAAGAAGCGGGGGAGTGGGGGGGAAGAGGGGGGGAGGGGGGGGAAGAGGGGGTGTTATGGGCATCCCTGAATACCCCCGAGCGAATGCTCGAGTATAACAGCCTTTTTTTTTACCATGGAAACGGTTAGACACAAGCTTGAGTAGGCAATGTTATCAAATGCAAATAATCATCTTTTTCCTTTCTGCTTGCGTTTTTTTTGCGCTCATGAAACAGAAAATAGCCTAAGCACAAGGGGATTTATCATTTTCAGGTCACCGATAGACTTTTTCCTTTCTCTTTCGGGAGAAGGACACTTATTTTCAACCGCTCTGAAGGAAGGGTTTATTCTTATGGAGGCTGAGAAAGGTATGTGCGGCGGCGGATATTTCCAAATCCATTTTGTTGTGAATTGAGTACGAATGGCATATCATTTTTAGCAGATGCAACTTTCTGTTGCTATGCAGGTTGTGATATGGGAAATGGGAAAACCACTTCAAAACTCATGCCGTGCAATCTCAACTGAGAGCATTATCAGCCCCATTCTCTCCTTCCCATCGATCTCCCTACACGCGTAGGATTTCACACACCTGTGATCTAAAACCGTCATCTTGCCGGCATTCAGGTGTAAAACATGTCTTTTCAGTCCCTTTACACAAAGTGCCTTATACTGGTTTTGCTTGCTGCTATGTGCACGTGTGCGTGCTTCGCCAGTGTAAACCAGGTTTGTTCACAACCTCATTGATCTAACAACTTCCGGAAGCAAATGCCAAATTCTTAAAATTTGGGCCATAAAAATTTTATGACTCGACGATTGTTGTTTTGAGGATTCACAGTAAAATTACGACATAAGATTAATAATTGCGTTTCCTAAAATATTAAATTCTCTCGATAAACATGATAAAATCTCTCGATTAAAAACGTAACATGTGAATTGTAGATTATTTTATCTCACTCGGTAACCGTCGATGTGAATTCTACCTTATTCTCGACAAAATGAAAAACATAACGTTTTTCAAAACGTTTAAAATTGTAACGCTTCAAAGCAGCGGTTAATCTTTTATTAATGACTTTTATCTTTCATCTATTATTTAAGACACGTACTTACATTCCCCCGACAACAATCAAACAGATATAGATCGTATCAAAGAGTTTTCGTGATCACGGAGTGTAAAAAGGACATAATCAGTTTCAATATCACAGATACATGCACCAATAAGAAGAGTGTAATGAGGCGCCTAGGATACAATTCATCTGAACAATTCACCACAATGCTTGTTTTGATCACGGAATCTATTCTTAAGGAGCTTGAGTAGAGCGGAAAGAAAACAAATATTCAACCGCCAAACAGAGGGTTTTTTGTGAAAAGAAAAAAAAAAGGTTGGAAGAGTAATTTTTGAAATTCGAATACTTCTGATCGGATAATACCCATGTGTTTTAGGATCACATAAGGGAGTTATTCCACTTTCACAACTTTTTCCTGCTTGTTATAATCGCCTTGTTCAAAGCGATGGCAGCCAACGGAGCACCTACATCAACTACAAATGTTAAAAAAGATCTGACATATTTCTCGGATGATCAAGAATTTGAGACAGACTTGGAGGATGATTTTGACGTTGATAAATCGCGGAAGAGCAAACCCAACAAGACAACTGTGGAGCGATATTTTGATGCCTGTGAAGCCCTCAACACTGTTCCTGTTGCCAAATTTGTTCGTCAATCTCCAAAAGGCCATATAGATCTTAAACATTATGGAATACGAGATATCGGCGCCCAGGCAATCGCCATAGCGCTAGAGCAAGACATTGTGGTTACAACCCTATATCTCCATGACAACGGGATAGGAGAAGCAGGAGCCGTTGCTCTGTCCAGAATGCTCAAAGATAACTGCTTCGTGCAGAACTTTGACATTTCGGAGAACAAAATTGGGAGACTAGGCACTAGAGAAATTGGAGACATGTTACTGGAGAATGCTTCGCTTCAGGAAGTAAACTTAAGCGGTTGTGGAATTCATGGTAAGGATATAAAGCAGTTTTTAAAAGCCTTATGTGGCAATCCTTACTTGAAGGGCTTGGATTTCAGTTATAATGATCTAGGAGACGAGGGCGCCATTCACTTGGGCCGTGCGCTTTCCAAAAATCAAAAGGTGGAACTTCTTGATCTCAGCTGGAACAACATTCGTGTCGCGGGCATCGAGGCGCTCGCCAAAGGACTGGCGACGAACAAGAAACTAAGACAACTGGAACTTTCCTGGAACTGCTTCTTGGACGAAGGGGCGAATCATCTTGGCTCAGCTCTGCTGAAAAACAATTGTCTTAAAGTACTGGAGGTGCAAAGTTGCGGGATTCACACTGCTGGGGTTTTCAAGATCGCCGACGCCCTAAAGAAGAATCAAAGCCTTGAGGTGTTGAGGATCGGTAAAAATCCCTTTCAGAGTTCCGGCGCGGGTTCACTTCTCCGCGGTATACGAGGCAACCAGTCGGGTGCTTTGCGCGAGCTCCTTCTGGACGATGTGGTGTTTGACAAGGAATGCGAAAGGGAGCTGGACGCTCTGCTCCAGGAACGACCAAACTTCAACTGTTCTTGGGATGTCAGTATCAGGGGAGGAGACGCAATGAGAGGCAAGAAAAAAAAGCCAGACGCAGTAGAGATTTTTCTCGCCTTTGTTCGAACACGAGGTCTTCGTCTAATAGACTTGTTCAGGATGTTGGCCAAGGATGGAAACTCAACGACTCTCACCAAAACTGAATTTATCACTGGGATGAAGAAACTCAACGCCCCCCTCAAAGATCACCAGCTTAGAGCGCTGTTCGACGTCTTGGACGAGAATCATGACGACAGCGTGGAGTTTTATGAGTTCCTTAGCTCCAGGGGTCACTATTTAAAGACAGCGCAAAAAAAATAATAGCTTGCATCTCCTGCCTGACTCTGCTGCAAAACTCCAGTAAAACCTAGTTTACTGAAGAGGAAAGCCAACTGACTAGCATGTTTCGCATCATATTCTGAGGTCAGCGTTTTAGCCCCGGCGTGAAATCCATTTGACATTGCGTGATTCTAGTTACAGACGATTTGTAAAATCTATCAAACTTAGATCGTTCAGCACCTCATCAGGCTTTCATAGTAGTTACTCAGATATACTCCTGGCCTGATGGAGAGAGGCGCAATGAGAGAGAAGCACATTGCCCGAGAACACAGCACAATGACCCGGCCAGGTCTGAAATCCGGGCATCTCGAACACAAGACCGACGCGCTAACTGTCGCGTCACAGTCCACGCCACTACTTCTCCCATCATCAAGTTAGTCAACTAAAAAGAGTCCTGCCTTCAGATGTTACTGTTTATTAAACTGTACACTGTTTCTTTAACACTCCAAAGACACTCAAAGCCAAGAGTGCGACCTTTCAAACCTTTGAGAAGTACTCTCAAGTTCGTTCGTGTCTTTTTCCTTTCTTTTGTTATATTTATCAAAATTGTTTTTATGGTATGAAATAACCGACACAGTCTGAGGCAGAAATTTTGTTCAATCTTCGTCGACGTACTCAAACGGTTCTGGAGGTTCAGGTTCGTCTTCGTCTTCTTCAGTGCCAATACCCATGGGTGAGGAAGCTAACAGAGAAATAAAAATCAAAATAAGCTCATCGTAGTTAACCCTTTAACTCCCGTGAGTGACCAAGACAAAATTTCTTCTTACTTTATCTATACAATATCATGCAGACAAGTGATGAGAATAACGAAAAATATCAATTATGGAGTTGCTAACTGATCCGATACCAAATTCTCCAAACTAACATAATGAGAATCATGTGGCAAACAGTTAAGAGAATTACTAATGAGATCTTAGGAATTAAAGGATTAATAAAGGTAATAGGACCGAGTGGAGTCTTATTCGGTCCGTAATCATACAAGTAACTAACAAAATCGAACGACCGCGAAGCGGGAGTCCGTTTTATCACAGACAGAATTGGACGACAGGAAGTCCTGTTACCAATTAATCATAACCGTTACAATTTCCAAAATAAAAAAAAAAAAAAATTTAGGACAAACATACAAACATCTCTGGTAGACAATGTCTAAAGTAAAAAAGTTCCCCGGGTCTTTTTATTCCCCAGGATAAGTGGTCGTTGCTAACGTTATTGTGTGATTGGTGGATTTAACTGAGTGGTCTTAGTATGACTGGCTGCTTCAACTGTCCGCTTACAAGTGTCTAATTACAGCCAATTGTTCGACTACGCTGTCCGATTACAACTGTACAGAATGATTCATAAAAAATAAAGCAGTAGATGCAACAGTTATATTTCAGGAAATTGTAAACGGTTACGATTAACTCCAATGTGTGGAGAATACATTGATGCATCGAAGATTGAAGATTTATTGAGGGAAAGGAGAGAATCCAATACAAGGTTTAGATATATTCAAACAATTTTGAACGTATTTTTTTTTATGTGAACGAAATCGTTGTTCACATTCAGCTCTCTGACAGCTTTAAGGCAGTGACCAGCCTCTTTCCACAGACGAGTGTGGGCACAACTTCGCATGAGCAGAGTATCATTTGCAGCGAAACATAATAAAACCGTATTGGTGAGATACAGTTGGACTTGAGCAATATGTCTAATGTGTCATAATACTAATGGAGGGAAATTCTCTAATAAAAATTTCATCTTTCCTCGAAAATGTCCGCAGACGGATGGTTCGACTGTGGTAGTAAATTTCTGTAAGTTACTGAGAGATTTATTACCAGGAAGAGGTTCGATCAAGTCCTCGGGCTCATCAGATTTGGAGTCAGTCATCATCACAATTCCTCCGATGTTAACCTACAGTGAAAAAAAAAATCATAAAAGTTACTAAGCCATTAGCGCAATGCTAAGGGAAGAGCTATGACCGCTAACTTATTCTTAAAAGCTATCTCCTCGAGGAGTTCACCCTCTGACTCCTAAGAGTGATTAGCATTTAATTTCTCCTTACAATATTACCCTCGAATCAACCATTGGGGTCACAAGAAAAAAGGAAATGATCTTCAACTACAGAAGCTCTTAATTGTGAAGTAAAGTCTCCTTGTCAGCGCCTCAGGAAATGTCCAGCGAACAGTATGGAGAATATGCACATTGATGTTTGAGTGTAAAGAGTTGAACAAACCGCAAGGACTCCTTTTATTGGAAAATCACGAGGGGCTTCGAAAAAAAAAAAAACCTCCGAGTTCCCCTTAATCCTTTCTGAGAACAAACGGATAACACCATTTAAGATAACTTGAATCAAAAGCTTCAAGTAAAGCTTACCGGTTTTAGAGGCCTGTATCGGCTGTCTTCTGGTAGGGAGATAACCTTGAGCTGCGGAAAGAAAGATGTTAGCATCGACTAAATTTTTCCCTTTGGCGACCGAACCTTGAAAATTAGTCGCCAAATTGGCGACTAGAATGTTTCTTCACAACCTCACCGAGAGATATAGTAAATCAAAAAGATTTGCAAAGATAAATCCGCGGCAAACTTCCTCGTTAAGTTTGTTTCCAAAACTCAGATCAAGTATCTCAATCGATAACTAGACGCCATCTTGGATTTAGGTGAGCTTGAAGGTTGTATATCATCCATCCTAGTGTCCACTTTGTAGAATGTTAGTGATCTTTTCCCTAAATTAATTTTGGAGGGTCTATCTTAAACGTTGACAGCGTAAAAAAAGGTTTTGTTTGTCTTTGAAAATGGCGACCAACTTTTTTTTAATTGGCTACCACTTTGAAGAATTTAGAAGCCAAGTGGCTATCAGAAAAAAAAATTAATTTCACGCCCTGTGTAGAATATAAAACAACCTTGATGCAGCGAGACTTCTTAAAAAATCAAATTTCAATGCATACAAATACACCAATTCATGGCAATAGTTAATCGCATACAACAAGAAGACATGCTGATAAAGAGAGAAACAATCTTCGTTAATGCGTCGCTGGTAACAGCATTAGTTTCACATTTTTGCCGAGGTAGAACACCACTTGAACCTCTTGCTACACGAGTTTTCAATTTTCACTCCGGTGTACCAGTCTGTGTATCTCAAATCAAAATAACCACAAAAATGACAAAATTCACACTCGGCGAATAATCAAGGGGAAAAAACCACACAACATGCGGCGCGGATCAAAACTGGAAGATGTCAAAAGATAATTTCGAAACAATATGCACATGACGTCTGGAAGGGATAAATAACACAAACAGAAAACCGCAATCAAGGCGGGATACTCGCTAAAGCTCTTTATCTAGCAACCTAAAGCTTCAAAATATTTCTAGTTTCGTTCATTTCTTAATTCACAACTAATGACGAGGAAAAAAAAAAAAAAAAAAAAAAAGAAGCGAAGGTGACTGCACAAACCTGTGCGGGTAGAACTCTTGCCGGGTTCTCTAACAATTCAAAGTCAGGTTCGTCTTCTTCCATTTTCTCGCTACTTTCCTTTTCACTCTTTTCAACAGTTGATTCTTCCTCGGACTTGTCTTTCTCGCCTTCTTTCTCCTACAAAATGTTTTAAAAATTGAAAAGATGAATTAAGCCCCGTGCCCAATCTTTTCGCAATTTACCAAGAGGCGAGGAAATTCTGCGGGAGTATATTTTTTTTCGGATTGAGATTTTTTTGTGTTTCGAGGTGTTTTATTGGTAGGAGATTGCTGCAGTTTCTGCTGGCTACTATTTCTGCGATTTTCTGTTAAACTGGTAGAACCGTAACGAAAAAAAATATTTAAAACCGTCAAGTTTGTCTAGTTATACAGTGGGAAGCTTCAAGATAGATAACTCGGCGATGAATATTTCGGGAGGGTCCGAACACAAAGCAAGCGAATTGTAACTTGGTTAAAGGGCAAAATTTTTAATTTAAGCAACACTGCTAGATGACAGCAACGTTATATTTTAGGGAATTATCATTTTATGTGATGAAACTTAGTTTTACGCAACAAAGATTAATGCTAACCTTTTTAGCTGATGAAGCTTTTCCTTTGTCTGCTTCCTGATCCTGTCAGAGAAGCAAATAAAACGTGCATAAAAATAAGTTATTTCCCAAGTACGTTGATCAGAAAACGCGCGTGGAGGAGCGAGTGTGCTAGAGCGCCATGATTCAGACGAAACAAATATGACTATCTTGAAGCCTTTAAACAAATTTGAACAAAGCAAAGATAGAATTACTGTGAATCAAAAGGAGAATGAATCGCTAACCACTTCCATCTTGTCATCGGATGCCTCGGATTTCTTTGCTCTGGCCTTCGCCTTAGCTGTGATGGACAAAACTGCTGTGGTGACCTGGGAACGAAAAAAAAAAAAGATAAGGTTAGCTACCACTAGGCGTCTTCACTCAGTGAGACGCAGGCAAAATAAGAGGGAGATGAAAGGAAACATTTTCGGCTAACGGTAGGAAGCAGTACTAAAACACAGACTTTCATTCCAATTTTAAGCCTTTGAAACTCAAATTCAAAGAAGTTCTACCCAAGTTAGAGGATGAACACCGATTTTCTCATTTCCTGGCCGAAGATAACAAATCAAAATCTGACTCTTCTTTCTGATGACCCTCTTCATACAAACATACCTTTTCCTTCTCTTCTTTCTTAGGAGGCTTCAGAGGTTCAGGGTAGGCGTACATTGATGGCTTCACGTTGGATCTGAACTGCATTTTGGGCATCTGAAATATAAAATGCGAACAAATTTAGTTACAAAGAAATTCACGGTAGTGCACTTGTTTAACCCTTTAACTCCCATGAGTGACCAAGGCAGAATTTCTCCTTACAATATCAATACAATTTCAAGCAGAAAAGTGATGAGAATAAAGAAAAATATCAGTAAGGGGATTATAAGTTGATTCAATACCAAATTCTCCAAACTAACATCATGAGAACTGTATGGCCGACAGTTGGAAGAATTGCTCATTAGATCTTGGGAGTTAAAGGGTTAAAATCCGTACCGAGCCTAGGTAACAGAAAATCTTAGGACACGATATAAATAAGTGACAACCTAAAGAGGAACGAAGTAAAATCTCACAGCGAGGATCATCTCGTCAGTTCATTTCCAAAGTCAATATTTTCGTTTTAATCCTTTAACTCCCAGAAATGATTAACAAGTAACAGCTCCCTTAACCGTCAAGCAAAAACCTTGGATCGAAACTAAAAATGCTGCGAAACATTGGAGTCTTCATTTGTTTCTCTCTTACTAAAAAATAGAGCATTGTTTTTACCTTCAAATCGGAATTTAGTCCAATGATACACGAGGGAGTAAAAGCCAAGGACAAGAAGTGAGAGAGTGGGAACCAGTACCACACGTGTGTAAATACAAATAGTCCTACAACTGTTGCCATGTGCGTGTGACCCGCGCGAGACTCGAGCGAGATAGTCACGTTCCGTCCACCTGACAGAAAAAAAAAATAGTAAAAGAAGATGATGAGCGGATGCTTTATTTCTTTATGTTTCTTAAGACCTTGTATTCTCGTTTTGCCGAACGTTGCTTTAAAATGAAACTGGAAATTTCTGCGTAAGAACAACAAAAAGATGTCTCATCTCGCATGCGCGACGTTAAGGCATGAGCACCATGCAAAATGCACGAAATGCAGTCACTAGCGAGGTGGAAATACTCACCGGCATCAAGGATTCCCTGAGCTAGGGTTGCGCCGAATTTAGCAATGACATCTTCATGCTTGTCGCTGATCACCTTTGCGAAGATCTCGCGGAATTTCATTACTTTCGGACACGCAAGTTCCGTCTGCTGGATGAGAACCAGGGAGCTGGCAATTAAAGCACCCTAGTAAAACAGAAACAGAAATTTAAGATTCTGGGATATCAAATATTTAAAGCTAAAACAAAACCCTGCACTTCTGTTTTGAAGTTTGATTTGTTCAGCAAAGTTTGATAACAACATATCATCTCATCGGGACTCAGAATTTTTTCTTTATCTCACGCTCGTAACAAGAAGAAAAACATAATTATTTCTCAACATATCATCTGTTTACTTGTTCGATGTCGGACTTACACAACTAAGAGCTACATCTTACCTGCCGCACATAGTTCACAGGGTCATTTGTCATGGGTTCCAAAAGAGCAATCGCCTCCTTAAAAAAAATAAATAAATAAACAAATAAGTGAATAAATAAATAAGTAAAGATCACGAACGTCGAGCTTCTTCGACATCGACCGAAACACTCAAGGATTTTCAAGTCTCAAACTACAAAATATTCTTCGTATCTTCTCTTCATTGCTTCTGGTAAGCGATAATCATACAAGTTTTAAGGGGCTAAGTTAGCAAACAGCTTGCGCGGGAGGTTAGGTCGCAAGAATTGAAATCGGGCCTTGACTGAAGTTTCCCACCCAGGTAGGAACCAGATTTGTTCTCGGTTCCCTCGTGTTTAACTCTTTGGCAGCGCTTCTCCGCCAGTCAACAGTTATTCTTTCTTCTTATGACTGGAAATAACGGCCAGTGTTACGGTTAGTCTGATATGTCTGTTGAAATACCTTTAATCCAGTGCCTGCGCAGGCAATACCCAGGGCCATGGCTGCTCCGTATCTCACGTGAGGGTTATAACTCTCTGACAACAGGGACACCACACTTGGGCACTGCTCAGGAGTTCTACAAGGTTGAGAGACACTTTCTTTAGTTTGGGTTCTGAAAACTAGTCTTCAAAAGCTACCTTGCAATGAAATTTACCCCATTTATTTCCCAATATCTCGTTATCAATTCTCTACAGCGTCAGTTTGTACTTGTCGTGATTTCAGCTTTGAGAATTGCTGTTTTAATCAAACAATTTCCCCAATTGAAAATTAACTGCGAGAGTAAACTGTCTTTATCAAGAACATAACACAACGATCTAGAACCAAACTCGGGTCCGAACTAGTCTATCTTTAGTCCAAACACAAGAAACGAATGACCTACACTACTAAGTCTCTTGTTCAAAGATATTGCATGTGTATTCAACTGAGATACACACTGCACTTTTAAAATCGATGATAAGCGATCTATTTTCATTACGCTTACCGAAAAAGGAGAAAACCAAGTGACGTCACGGCAGCTCTTCTTACGTCATCACTGACATCGCTAACCTGTTATAAAACAAACGTTTTTCACTAATTTACTGTAGAAAGTTCTGGTTACCATACTACGTATACCAAGAAAATTACATTTAAAGAACATTTACAATAAGTAAGGAAGTCTTAATCTGTGATGTCGTGACAGTGATTGTGACAAGTCAGCGCCCCAGTGAACGATTACTAAGAGATGACCAAAAGCGTTTCCTTGCAATTCTAACAAGCAGCATCGAAGTGTGTGGCATTCTCGAGCGACACCGTTGCGTAACAGAAGTAATCAGACGACAAGAAAGCTGCGGAACTGTGTAACGTGACAGATTTGCGTAACCAGAAATTGGTGTGTACCAATGTTGTGCGACAAGAACGTTGCGTGACAGTATGCGAGACATTTATGCATGAATTTGTGGCAGGGTCGTGCGGCACTGTTATGCAAAAGTACTTTTTTAAACAAATGACAAGGCAGTTGTGTGACAGCGTCACATGAAAAATCTACAACCACGTGTACGTACAGCGACATGAAGGAGCCTTTTGATGGCCTTGTTGTTTCCAGTGCCACAGTAGGCCATGGCTACTGTATACATGCCACTTTGCCTCAAGTTAGGATCCTTGTCTTGCATCAAGCTTTCAATGAGCGCATCGGCTTCTTCCATTCGTGCGTACATCACCTGCATAATAAAACATCTACCTTAGAACACATTATCGACGTTGATCAAACCATTTGGCCTAAAACCACTCCAATGATCCAAACTAATATTTTCCGTTGCACTCCAAGCCAAGCAAAAGATGAGTGGACAGGTCTTGTATTGGCGTCACTTCCGGTTAGCTCATGATTCACTTCGTTTTTCTCGCCAAATTCAGTTTCCGGAAACGGAATTGAATGAAACAAAGAGACCACTTATAATCAACACGAAAATGTACATGCTCGTGGAAAATATCAGTGTCAAGATATCCAGACTTTTCACAGATAATAAAATAAAACGTCCTCTGGCCAAGTGAGTACAAAATGTCAGTGAACTTCAGCCTTCCCTCATAGTTGCCTTTCCCCTCCCATAGGAAAAATATTTTCAGCACTTCATGTTACAGCACTTTTAAAATGTCAGAGTAAAAAAACATAACAAGAACAATCGTTGGTTCACAGTAACCGGATAAGCTTGCTACTGTCGCCAAAAGTGTTTGATCAGTGGATTGCATCTTATATCTTTCCGTGACCTCGTTCTAACTCTGAGGAAGATTCTTTTCTCTGAATAAATTTTTGCCTGTGGGAAACACAACGAAAGCTGTTCCTATCATCGCAATTATGAACAAGGTACGCAGCCACTAAGTAATTCGGTTCATTGAACTTACCAAAGCAATGCCTAAAGAGAGCCCACGAAGGATTTTTTCGTGCTGAGTTTCTTGAGCATACTGCGAGTCAAACACAGATCAGACACAAACAATTACATTTTATCAAAACAAAGCCAGCCACTGAAGTCAAAAATTGAATGATAGGGGGCATGACCAATCTACAACAGAGGAAACGAAACGTTTTTTATATCATAAAAGCCTGTCTCTCTCCTTCCCCAGATAATAAAATAAAATTTAAAAAAAAACCCGAAAAGTACTTTCACTTTTATCCGTTTGGGCTAGATTGTAGGTAGTGTTGCGGTAGAAAATAAGCTCATATCAAAAAATTAAAAAGAAACTGTTTTCGTTTCGCAGGTTCTCAACCAAAAGATGTGCCTACTGAGTATTAATTCAGTGCGGGCAACAATTCTGGAGAAAAATATGGACACATTCATGGCAATAGTATATTTTCCTGTTCCCTCTCTCCCTATCACGCCCTACAGAGGAATCCCTGAAAACTAATTACCTTCCATCAGGGACAGGGTGGGGTGGGGAATGGCTTTTTAAAACAGAAACAAACGTACCCCAACCATCTCCTCGATAGCTGTGGCAGATTTTGATCCAAGCATCACAAGACCCATGGCAAGACCACAAGCTTCACCTGTAACATAAAAAAAACTCGGTAAACTCCTCTATCTGCAATCAAATGCACTGCAGCTTCTCGAGGAGAACTCGCCAAATGTTAAGCATCTCTCCAAGTGTTTGGTCAAAGTACCAACAGTTCCCCAAGTCAAAACCTTTGAGTTGCACATGAATATGGAGACTTTAATTGACTAATCTTCTCTAGAAGAGTGGAAGAATTTTTAATGGAGTATCACCTGTGGATACTACTGTTGGGTATGGAGTACATTCTGCTGGATAGGGCTCTGTCAAATTCCATTAGTCGAGCCACGCCTACACCAGAAAAATTTATAACAACCAAAGGAATAAACTTAAGATATCAAAGAATTACTAACCTGTCACGGCATCATCTTCCCAAAGCTGTGTTTTCAACTGCTCATAGACATCTAAATTACAAGACAAACAAAAACTTCAAATTCTTCCCAAGGAGAGTGCCAGCGTGACAGCTGACATAAATAGTCATGTAGGGGTACTCTTGAAAAGGACTACAGTTTCTGCTGATTGGTCAACACCTCACAGGTACGACAGAACTGGACAACTATGCCACATCCTTCTTTCATTATTTCTGAATCAATTATCGACCAGCTTTATGAAAAAATTTTGCTGCCGCGCTGAAAACACTGCATGGTAGAAATACCTTCTTAGTGACATACCTTGTCTTGCAGAGCCCATGGCTGCCAGTCCAAGTCCAAGGCAGCCTCCATGCCTCACCATCTGAAAGAAAAATACAAGTACATTTTACATCTCCAATGAATTTGAGTATTACTGCCTCATTTTAAATATCAACTAGTCATAGTTATGTAGCTTCCTCATTCCTCAGTTTGTCTGTCCATTTTAGAACTTATTCAAGACTTGAAGCCCTTTAGAGTAAAATAATAAAGCTTGAAATTTACACTTGTGTCTGTTCAATCACTTTAAATCCGAGACAGGCATCATACATGAAAACATGCATGTATGCACACTTTGGATTGCAAATTAAACACAACAAAGTAGGTAATAAAAAATTGCCCAGCAATAAATAACACGCATGTTTTTAATGAAGTTATAAACATTCTGACTTCAAGGAGTAGAATCTTACATCTGTTGTTGCATTCTTCAGTTGCTGTAAAAGATACTCTATAATCTTGCCACCATGGTTAGCATGAATCAAGCCTGTAACCAAATCAAGAAATATTAAGAAAATGACATTACGTGTAAATGAACTTTACGTGCATATCCAACCTCCTCAAGTTTAACCCTTGGAAAATTAAAATCTTGGATTGCATCACTACCCTCTCCCATTTATTTTTATTCACTCTCAACCAATCAGATGCAAAACTAACCAATGACAAGCACTTGAGTACTTAAGTTTAGAAGTGAAATGCATAATAGAGAAAGAAGAATATCAGAGTGCAAAAATCCAAAAGTCTTGGACTCAATTCTGAAAGGAGACCTTAGTATGTTTGTGTCAAGACACAAAGCATATTTTTTTTCTCATTTTACACACCTGTTTACTTTCTATTTTCATTTTTCAATGGCTTGAGGGCTCACAGCTTATTGCTTTAAGCACTTGCTGACTTCTTGTCACATTTAATTTTCCCCTGACCTTTGCTTACCACTTGTTGGTTTGTGTTTTTTAAGACAATCCATCAAAAGTACTCTATTATCTATTTGTTTTATAAAATAAAGAATTAAAATATACAGAAAAAAAAGTTTTAATGATGACATCATCTATACGTCTGTCCTCCAATAGATCATAAGTGAGAACCAATCAGAATACATCCATAACTGAGCTTATTATAAAATTATAACTAACAATAGTTACCCAGTGCAAACAAGCCTCCTCCCTCCTGGTAAGCACTCCCTCCACTGCCATCTTTCGGTAGATAAGTGGACATTAGTTTCAGTGCATCTTGCTCATGACCCTTTAAATAAAAAAAGAATCAATCTATTCAATCAGATGTATTGTTATTTAACACATGCAAAAAGCATTTATTAATTGCACCTCTGAATAAAAAAAAGTACCGCTAACTTTAAGTTGAAAAAACGAGAGAAAGAAAAAAAAATTTAAGGACAGGAAAGAAATGAACTGTACACCCTTCACCTTTTTGCATCCTAACATCAGTATGCATATTCTCCTTAATGTTCTCTATAAATTTCCTAAGGTGCTGACAAGGAGAATTTGTTTAACGATCAAGAGCTTCTTTACTTGGTGATGTTGTGGTTCAATCTTATCCTTGGTTCAAATTTTACTCTCCTTTGTTTCAAACTCATTATCATACATTACAATAACCAGAAACAAAAAAAAGTAAAATTTGAACCAAGGATAAAATTGAACCACAACAGTGATTACTTCCTTTTTTCTTGCAATCTTGATTCAGGGGTGATATTAGGGAGAAATTAGAAGCCAGACACTTGCAGCAAGTAAAAGGGTTAAAAATTAATATCCTCTCCTTCTGCCTGAAAACACCCTTTGTTTCCCATCAATGACATGCAACTTCTGTTTTTCACAGCCTTATCAGTAACTAACTCTCATCCTCTCAAAATCTATAAACTAATGATCAACAAACAACAAAGCACTAGCCCTTGCAACTTCTGTCTTTCACAGCCTTATCAGTAATCAACTCTCATTCTCTCAAAATCTATAAACTAATGATCAACAAGTGACAAGGCACAAGCCCTGAAAATAAGGTGCTCAATATTAACAATGTTGTAGCTTTAGCTAATTCTCTTTAGATATATCTGTCTCTTTGAATTTACTTTAAAAAGTTAGTACTGAGTGTTGGGGATGGGTTCCCTTATGGCAAAGCTAATTTTCATGCATGCACTGTGGCAGAATCTATGAACAATGCCATCAGGCTATTTATTTTAAACCCCTCTTTTTTGTTCCGTTTTTTTCTCAATTTTGAAATGAATGTGGCTTTAAACAGTGTAACCATTTAGTGGGAGTTTTGTCAATGCCTTCGTTAAGGAGCTTCAGAGAGTTTCAATTTTACATGTACATACGTGTAGTTAGTCACCATTTGCAGCAACACTGAGAGAGTGAAAAGATACAACAGACACATACAGACAGATTTACCCACCCTGTGAATAACTCCTAAGCTTGCTGTTGCTGTAAATTTTGCCCAGTTTGTAGCCCTTCCAAGCCATTCCAGGTTATTTCTATTTGTTCATGAAGAAAAAATAATTTTTATTAATTATTCACTTCCTTGGTCAGAAAAGCAAACCATTAATAAATCAAAAGTAAGGTACAACATGGTTAAAATGTTTGAACTTCAGTTAATAGCATACCGAAGGAAGGTGTCACTTGTTGTCCCACAGTGCATATAGGAATTAGCTATTACAGTGGCTGTGTGACAAACTGAATTTCTAGAAGCATCCTGTACAAAAGAAATAAAGAAAATAAGACCTGTGAAATTTAACTTCTAGAAGTGACTGAGGGCCAATACTTTTGTGAACAAAATTATCTGGCATTAACATTCTCTACCTCTTCTCTCTTAAATACAAATAAACAAAAGTAACTAAATAAAACAAAGAAAATAGAAACAGACAGGTGCAGTTTACATGTACAGTGTGCCTTTAATAACTCCGATTGGTGAATTATGTCAGCATCAAATTACAAGTACATAGACTGTGCGGAGACTGAAATTGAGAGGGGAAATTGTTTTATTTCAACAACTGAAAAAGCATCTGATCACAAAACCAATGGAGTCCATATTTTTTAACTGCACTATAGACGTTCTTTAATTTTGCTGTTGCTGCTTGGACAAAACAGCTGCTTGAAAAGCACTGCCTTCAGGTGTAAATGAGAGTTTGAAGTTCACTTTCATACTTCAAAATACAGTAAAAATATTGCGGCCCAATATACTGACATTCAGGAGATGTTCATGGAGTGCAAAACAACTCTTGGGTTCATTTATAAAAAATACAGAATGCAAGTACCTTTGTGTTTTTGAGAATGAGTAGATCTGCATGGTTATTTCTGATAAGGAATTCCAGATGAAGGGCAATGGTAGTCTCTCCACCCAGGATTGCCACCAACTTATCAACTTTGTCAACCAGTTTTTTATCACTTTCACTCTGTGATGCATTGAAAAAAAACAACAACAACAACAATTATTAGATTACAAAGAATCCACTTCTTTTTATGGGGGGAGGGCAGTACTTTTTTTTTATTACTGTAGTTAGCTTGCACTGTTAGTTTCTGTATCACCAGCCCAATTGGAACACCAATAGGACAGTGTACACATCATGCTTGTAATTGGACAGTGTAATAGAACAGGTTAAGGGACACTTAACACATCATGCCTGTAAAAGTGGACAGAACACGTAATGTGCATGTGCTATTGTCTCACATTTTGCCTGGTTAATTGTTGTTTACTAATAAAAATGTATAACATTTAATCTAGTTTCTTTCTCAAATTTTGTCATGGTTTTGATTAATTGGCAACAAGACTTTGTGTCATCTAATTCTGTAATCATACTCATAATGGACAAATTGGACTCGTGCTTCACGGTCGTCCAATTTTGTCAATCACTCGTATGATTTCAGGCTGAATTGGAATCTAATCAGTCCTATTACCAATATTGATCACTCACCAAAACAGCATCTGGTTTTGGCTTCTTAGCAGGAACTTCCTTCTCTGCTTCATCAGTTTCCATAGCTACATCACTATAAATCAAATGAAACATCAGTTTTCATCACAATGAAGTTCAGTGGCAGATATATTTTTGATTAAGATCATAGAATGAGGAGATACAGTGAAGGATGTTATGCAGACAAAAAATTTTAAAGGTGTGACATCCAGAAGTTTTGATGAAATCTTTATCTCAGCGACAGAATTTTGTCTTCATAATGAGTGACACAAATTCACATTACAGTAGTGTCCATCTGTGGAATGATTCCAGAGCTGGAGATTATTTGTGATGTTTTTTATACAAAGGTCAGCCACTGTGACTTATCACTGATCTGATTGTTGATTCTCCCTTCTAGCTGCTACACATTTCCTTGTATAATTATTACTTGGGAGAATTTGGTATTACATCAAGATAACAGCTTCTAACTGATAAGTTTGAGTACTCTAGATCTCATTACCTGTTTTCCAGATAATGTATGGATATTATATTGCAGGGAGAAGTTACATGTTAATCACTTATGGGGGCTAAAAGGATTGAGATTTCTTGTGGGTATGTGAATTACTCACCCTGACTTCTCTGTAATGCCATTCTTATCAGCTTTTCCCTCTGCAGAGGCGTCAGTGCCTGTTGCTCCAGTACTGGACACAAAAGCTACTGTGGCTTTTAGCACAGATGTTACAGATGACAAGAACTGTTGAGTGGCTCCTTCATACAGATCAAAAGCAATCTGGTAGGCCATCAAGGTTTGATCTTTCTGTTAATTTGAAGAAAAAGCCTGAGTTACAGTGTACATGTACAGGTTGTAACTTATAGATTGGCTAATAAGATATGATGGCAGGTACATGTACACCTAGAGCCTCACAATGAGCCAAAATTTTGCTACAACTGACAGTGTACTACATATACCTTAAGTAAACACAGACCTTTGGTTGGGGAGTCTTAAATTGTAGCCACAGGGCATTTCTGTCTCCATCTCATCTCTTTCTGAGTTGATAATGCAAATTGACCCCCATAAAAGAGTCTCTAAAGCTGATTTTCAAGGGTCAGCTTTTCATCAAATTATCTTGTTATACTCTTCCACCACAATTTTTTAGAAGCTTACCCATTTTATGCATTTTTACATAACAGTACAGTTTAAAATACACTGTTTGAATCATCTTACCTCATTGTCTTTTATAAGTTTCTCCAAGATGTCAGCTACTCCTTGAGCATCATCAAGAAATATGAAACACTGAAGATTTAAAATATACACCATGTACATTTAAACCCAAAGTTACCATATTTTGTCAACACAAAAATAAACTGAAACTCATTCACCAAGGTGAATTTCAAATCATTATGTAAATGTCAAATACATACTTGTGCAGTGGTTTTTAAAAAATATACAAACCTGACAGACACTGATGAAGTCTGGCGTTGCTAGATTCATGTACAGTTGTACCAAGACTCTCAGAACCTGCAAAAGGAAAGATGCAGTGTATTTAACCCTTTACCTTCCAGAAGTGATTAGTATGTAACTTCTCCCTATAATAATCATCCTTACATTAACCTGCACACAGGTAATAAGAATACTCAAACTAATCAGGTGGAAGTTGTTATCGTGATCCAACACCAAATTCTCAAAACTAATGTACAAGGAGATATGTTGCAGCTAGAGGGGAGAATTTACTTAGCAATCAGATCTTGGGACTCAAAGGGTCAATCAAAGCTGAATATGCTGTATTTGTTATGCCTTTGCAAGTAAAAAGAGACATACATTGAAAATCAGGAAATAGCACATCATTACTTAAACATATGGCCCTAGTTGTTTGAAGGGCAGATAGTGCTATCTTCCAGATAACTTGCTATCCAGTGATAACTGTTACCAAAATGCACAGATTGTGCTATCCAACAGATAGAGATCTATCCAGTGGAAATAGCATAATCCACCCTGGAAACAACCAGAGCCTGATGTATTGAGAGTCAATTGTGACAATTTAGCTTTTTCAAATTCGACTCTATGTTTACAATTGCAAAATTATTAAAGTTGCCTACCTTATTTCTAAACTGTCTACTTTGTATCAATGACATACAGACTGTTAGGCTGTAGGACAACATTCCAGGCACATCATCCTGAACAAAGGATTACATTCAGTTAATATCACAACATTTAACTTGTTTTTGGCTTTGAGATTCAAACTTCACAAGTTTTGACAAGAAACAACTCACTGATTTCAAAATTGCTTGTTCAAATATGTCCAGTCTTCTTGTTTCCAGGGCAATTCCAACAGCCTAATATAACAATAAAATATAACTTTCAGTAATATCTTAGGTCCAAATGACAAATCTTTTATCCACTGGATTGCATGTACAGCTTTGGCATTCAATAAGCACAGCCTCTTTTCTTGTTGTTTGTATAAATAAAATACAACACACAAAATATTTTCCTGCATTATGTATTAAACCATAAAATGAGATAAATCATGTGTTGTGTTTTTTTGTACTGTGCTGTAATTTAGTTGAAAAGTTTATTACAGATAGTTGCTAATTCCTCTCCTGGATGCATCCATTGTATGAAACATCTATATCTTCAAGCATAATGTACAAGTAGCACTTTACAGTATATACAATGCAGGCACGACCACTAGGAGACAGCTCTGAACAAAATTTTTACAGTAAACCGAGACTTTTTATCCTGAAATTTCACTCAACTTATTTCTGAAGCAAAAATTTGACTAAATATCAATGAATTCAACAGAATTTTCCCTCAAAAAGCCTTAAATTATCATTTGAACTTTCACATGAAAGTTCCCATGAACAAAAAATGAAATTTGCCCATTTCGCTGGTGTTACTCTTACACAATACTGTACTGTACATATCATATCGTTAAAATATTAACCTGTTTGTATTTTCCATCATCAAAACATCTTTTGAACATCCTGTCCACAATGGCTTCAAGTCTTGTATCTATAGTAACATCTTCATCTGGGTTTTCCGCTTTATAAACTCTTTTCTCAGTGTATGAATCAATGCATTTTGCTGCAAAGTAAAACACTAATTTATCCATACTGTATATTTAATCCTTTCACCCTAATAGTGGATGGCTCCTAATTTCTCCTCACAGTATTACACTTGAATCAAATGTAGAGGTTATGAGAACAGAGAAAATGATCACCAACTCAAAAAGTTCCTGATTGTCAACAGAATTCTCCTTAGGCAATAATGATGTAAATGAAGATGGCAAAATTTGAACCTATTGTTTTAAATGAAAGAGGATATCATTCCAAGAATAACACAGGTATACTTTGAGAAAAAAAAAACTCCCACTGTGCCTAATAGGAGTAGAGCCCAAGACCTATCAATTGGTTCAATAGATGCCTTTCCATTGAGCTATAGGACATTTGTCACAGGCAAGGCCTTTTTGACAAACTTCCTGCATACTGCTTCTGCTAGGATAGGAAGCTAATACATAATTTATAGTTGTCTCCTTATCAGTATCAAAGAAAATGTAAAAAGAACAGTGTGGAGAATTTGTATGTTAATGTTAGGTTGGAAGGGGGTAACAACTTAAGTTCATTTTGGAATATTCGATCATTAACATACATGTATGGTGAAGCACTTTTGAAAATGAATATTGAATTTGCACCAATTTTCATATCAGTTCTTCATTATTCTCTACACCAAAACTAAACTATGGTGATGAAAATTACATTTTTACTAAAACAGGAAACAATTTCTTTTGTGTTAAAAATCATTAACCATACCAATGATAGTTTCCACATATTCTGAATGCCCATTCACATCAAACAGGTCTCCTGCTCCAAGTGCATATGCTAAGGAATCGTCAAAGGCTCCAAGGTGGTAGTACACCTGAAAAACAATGACATTGAAAAGTAACTGGTAAGTTTCAAAGACTAAGACTGGTATCAAGTAGATCATGATTTTTCTAATTGATCAACGACTGTTTGAACTAAACATACATTGATTTGAAGAATTTCACACAACTAGAGTTCTAATCATCATTAACATGCACCTTATGATAATAAAAAATTATTTACCAAAGTTGAGGTAAACATCCACTATTTATCACCAACAGTAAGGTGAATACTTGTTTTGGTATGAACCACACAGAAACCAAAATATGCCAAAAAAATGGTTGGATAGTAAACTCTTGGTATGCAATTTAGTCTCTGGGCCTGCTCCGAAGAAATGGTCTATTGGTAAAATTTAATGTAACTGCTATTCTCCAACTCATTATCCAACCAGTGGGTGTGAAAACCACTAATCACTTGTGTGGACTGCACATTTCTACGTCAAATTCCCTGTCAGTAGTCTACTGCATTTTATGATTACTTTCTTTCTGAGATGAGTAACTTCTGACAGCTAAGTTTATGCGAGGATTAGTTTACAGTATAAATTATACCTTTGATGCCAGCAGGGCTGAAAGCTGTCTTTGCTTGAATGCTTCATCTTCATATAACACTTCACTGTTCGGTAGGAGAAACACAGTTCAAATCAAAAACCACACCCTAACAAGGATTTAACTTTTGTAAGAGGGTCAAATATTTTGTTTACCCTTTTCAAACCATACAATCACAAAGCTATTAAAGTATATTATACATGTACATTATAAGGCCACACACATCATTCAAGTCTAAATATACATATGCATGACCAAAAGAGCTTAATTAATTGTAAGAAAAAGCAGTAGTTTGAAAAAATAAACCTCACATTTTTTCCACAGACTCAGAGATTTCTGCCCAGAATACATCAACAATGTGGTGCAGATTTTTAAGGGCAAAGACCTGTTCCAATGAAAGATGTAAATATCGGTTGTAAGCATATTATATTAATTAAAAACTTCTCTCAGTTAGTAATTATCATTATATCATCAAAAACAGTTTGGAGAAAAATTACATCCTATAACAGGAGTTATATAGTTCTTATAGGAGAGAGAGAAGAAAACTTACCTTTAAATCATGTTCATTTTCATCAAGCAAAGCCAGCAGACCAGCTATTCAAGAAAACCAAACACATAAATAAATTGTATGTTTTTCTTCACCTATATGTAATAATCAAAAGCAGTTCAAAGATCTATATGTGACCCTCCACGGGAAAACGAACACTAACGCTTTTCCGTTTAAACTGCAAAACCGTTTACTATAAAATTGTACAAAAGTAGCTGGCAAGAAAGCCATGCTATCACAGGATCACGAGATCAGGGGTTTCAACAAAAGTGGACCATCAGCAGTCTACCATTTTATAATATTTAAGCAATAGACAACACTTGCTATTGGTTTGCTGGTGTAACAGCCCAATAGGGATTTGAGAAGAACAATCACAATGTTATTAAATCACAAGCCAGATGAAAGTGATGAACAAACTTTTTATGTGTTCTCCCAATATCCCAAGTGGGTTATTATACTGGTAAACTGATACCAAGAGCAGTCTATTGCTTGAAAAACTTACAGTGGCATGAATTCCTGGACAAGAAAGATCAGGGTGGGATATTTTTATGAAAACAGCTAGTGTCTATTATCTCTATTAAATAACTACATGTATGGGTTAACTAGTGCAACAAACAAAAGGTTTTTGACCAATCAGGGCATTCTTAGTTCTCAAGTTATTTTATAATATCTTCTAATGTTTTTCATGCTTAAGTTTAAGTGGAGATGAAATAATTCCAAATTGCCGGCACAAGGAAGAAGCAAATTGAATACAGAGCCATAATATCCGAACGGAATCTACAAGCAAATCACTCTTTATTCCAGAAATTCAAGTTTCACTTCTTTTCCTTCCCTTTTGGATCATCTTTTTCTTTTTCTCTCTGTATGGCTCATATATTCTCGCTTTTATGAAGGTTTATTTCACGTGAGATCAATTAAATGTCACGAATCGACTGTGATCTTATAGTGTATTCCTGGTTAATAGTATCTAACCTCCCTAACACAGCCGATTTCATAAATAAATAACAACAGAAATACTAACACAACTTGGAACGTCTAACGTTTGTCAAACGAGAATTCTTATTAAAGTCTTCAGTAATCGATTTTGCTTAGTCATAAATTAAACTGACGAACGACCTCGTGAGAATACCATAGATTGTCAATTTGAGGCATCACGGAAAATAATCTACAAAATAAACACGTATTACAAACCTGCTGATGTCAAACTCATAATATCTGATTAAGACTTCGGTGTGTCTTGCAGAAAAACTTTCAAAGAATGTTACTCTCCTTTCACATGGACACCGAATTTTCTTTCTCTTTTACCTTTAGGAGGGGGCTATGTAACCAAGCTTTCAAAGGAAGCCTGGCCTTCCATTCCCATAATGCTTTTTAAAGCTCCGTAAATAAACATGGCGGACCTACAGCTGATGCCGAAGATATTTTGAATATTCTAATCTGCTGTTTAGATTTTTGCAAAACATCTGTTCTTAAGAACTGATCACAATGGCACACAATGAAAGTACTCTTCGCGCGTTTGCTGTGTCTTCCTCAGTATGAAATGTAGACGTACCATTCATGGCAACTGACAAAGTATTTACGATCCGAAATTTTGAGGGTGAAAGGCGAGTCATTCCGCTGCCAATTCAGACATACTTCTGGCGGCAAACAAGGTAAAGTGCAAATCTCCTTCTTAACAGAAATCAGGCGCTTGTTTAGCGTTAAATGAGGTGGAATATTCGCAATAATGCTGACTTTCTTAGCTCTTGTCCAAAATTAGTTCAGGACCTATTATTATTAATTTTACCTGGTGCGATGTTCTTTTTTCTTAACCATAAGCTTATTTGAAGCAAATGAACAATAACCTTCAAGAGGGTCTAAGCCTATTTTTTTTTAACTGAGCGTTTTTTCGAGTGTTCCTATGTAAGCTTAAAAACTTAATCGTACTCGTTACGATCAAACGTTCCACGTACGCTTTCACGTACTGTATACCGTGGACATCGTGATAAATACAGCTATAAGAGTATACTCCATTGCTTTCGGCCACTTTGCGTCGGTCTTAAAAGAGCAGAGATCGTAGAGTGATTTGTAGTGCTCTTTTGGAAAATATTATAATTCGAAGATCGATAAAATATCTGATTCTTCTTGTGCGGTGTTTGCCAAGTGAACACGACTTTTCCTAAATTTCAGACTTCCTAATTGCACGTGCAAAAAAATGTTGTGTTGCGTTAGGATTTAAGTGGTGGGTTTATTTTAGACTGTGTGTTATGATTTGATGCAGACTAAATCTCTGTTTTTTAATCATATGGTCTTTATATTTTTGATAGATTTCTAGTACACTGCATGCACACAGAGAAGCACTTTGTGCCTACTTGTGAAGCTGTATGTTAAGTTTTCAAGACGATCATACATATACTGACCCTGAAAAAAATGAGACATCTTTAAAAAAATTTCTCAACTGATGTTCACTAACGAATGTTATGGGAGATGAGATCAGTTTTTTTTTGACACAACATATTTAAAGATCAACACTCTGGGCGTACTTGTGCGGACAAGTATGTTAAGCCACAGCTGCTGTAGTATCTTTAGAATCTAAATGAATAGGGATTTTTTTAATTAAAGTACAGTATACCTGTAAAAATCAATTAATTGCTTGTTATCTCATCCCTTCAACTGCCATGGGTGTTCAAGACAGAATTTCTCCTTACAATATTAATACAATATAAGCAGACAAGTGATGAGAATAAAGAAAATATCAATAAGGAGATTCTAAATTGATCCAATACCAAATTCTCCAAAATAACATCACAAGAACTGTATGGCAAACAGTAAGGAAAATTACTCATGAAATTTTGAGAGTTAAAGGGTTAACCCTTTAATTCCCGTGAGTGACCAAGACAGAATTTCTCCTTACAATATCAATACAATGTCAACCAGATAAGTGATAAGAATATAACAAAATATCAATTTGGGGATAATAAGTTGATCCAATACTAACTTCTCTGAACTAACATTATAAGAATTGTTTGGTTGACATTTAGGAGAATTACAAATTTGATCTGGGAGTTAAAGGGTTAAGAGCAGTTCTTTAATATACACATGTAATGGTAATTGAACCAATGAGAGCACAATTTGGTCTGAATTGATACACTTGATTTCAAAATCAAACAAGTGCGCAGGGCAAGTTTGCTACATGTACCCAATAGTCTCTGATTATTATGCAAATAACTATTTTATAGTTCGCTATACTTCTATCTAAATTAAATATGGAACTGCATGTAGTAGCTGTAAGAAATTTAAAAAAAAAAATTGATGCTTTTACAAATAATCACAATTTTGATACATTTTTCCACTTTCATTGCAGTCAACTACTGAAACCAAAACTTGTGAGGAGAAATTATGAATCAGCATGTTTGGTAAGACATCACCGTTGCATATATTTCTATTTTGTAATTTTTTTAATTTTTGAAATGGAAATTTTACGCAAGTGTTCCCCAGCAAAGAACTTTTGGTGTTCCAGTCTGGGGGGGCCACAGTTCACTCACTTTTGTCTTGAGGTGACTTTTATGAAGTAGTTTCACTGTAACTAAGGATGGTTGCAGGCAACTGTTTGTGGAGCATTATCCACTAGGGTATGTCTGAGGGCCACAGTTGATTCACCTTTGTCTTGGGGTGACTTCTATATAACTTTACCTTCATGGTGCACAGCTTCAAAAGCTAGGAATCCAGAGGCCTGAGATCAGAGTCTTCAGTCACCTGATGTCACTCTCCTTTAACTCTTTAACTCCCAAGATCTGATTGTTAATTCTCCCCTGTAGCTGCTACACATTTCCTTGTAAATTAGCTATGAGAACTTGGTGCTAGATCAAGATAGCAGCTTCTACCTGATAAGTTTGAATATTCTCATTACCTGTTTGCAGAATAATGTATGGATATTGTAGGGAGAAGTTTTATGTTAATCACTCCTGGGAGTTAAAGGGTTAACAATGCTCTTACATGTTGTTGCAACTGTTTTGGTTGCCATAGTAAGTGAAAAAGGTATTTGGCAAAGAAAACTTTGACAAAAGTCACCAATTGGCAACCAACCGATTTAAAAAAAAAAAAAAAAGAAAAAAAAATTTGGAAAATTTATTGATCATTAGTCAAATTATTAAACAAACAAACAAAAACAAACTGTTTTGTAACTCCTAGGTACATATATACCTAAAATGAGCAGTGATCAAAGCAAACTGTTTTTGTTTAGATAAACTTCATTTTATTTTACATGCAGCATTTAAGGCTAACGTTCAACTTTGCATCACAAAGTATGGTGACTAAATATCAAGTGATTCAAGGTGTTGATCGCAACATGGAAGGTTTTAATACCAATATTTGGGCTTACTTCAGAATAGAGATGTTTCTCAGCTGAGCAATAGATCAAAATGGTATTAAACATGATTTGTTACATGGTCTAAGCAACTTTGTTGTAAGTAATTTCTGCTTCCAGACATCAGAGCTTCCTTCATTCTCTCTCTCTCTCTCCTTTTGGAGGCAACCAAAATTTTAATTTTATGGCAACCATGTTACAATTGAAGGTTGCCAAAAGGCGACTTTTTGAAAAATTGAACTTGGTGCCCTGTGTTAAAGCACAGGTTTGAGAAACAGTGTGCAACTGATCATTGGTGAAGAAGTTTCACTGTAACTATGGATGGACTCAGGAAACTGTTTGTTGAGCATCAAGCACAACATTTGGTTCTTTTCTTTTTTTTGTTTCCGAAGTTTGTTGATTTTTTTCGCATGCATAAAAGGGTTTCCAAGTATTTTTTCCTTAGAAAAAGACAGGGCTGAAACATGATGTGGTAATAGTGGATTCTTTAAATAGCAAATAACATCATGATAAAAAGTCAAACTACATGTTATTTCCAAAATTTAAGATGTAACAACTGGTATAGTGTATTTTTGCCATAGTGAAAATTGAAAAAAAGGCAAGCAAAGTCTGAAAAAAATCTAGCATCTTTATTTACATCGTCAAGAGCAACATATGTTTTAAGGTGAAAACCTTTGACTTCTTTTCTTTTCTCTTTTTTGTAGTCGTTTGAGAGAATAATTTGTGAAAACCGAGTTCAAGATCTGCAGCCCAGTTTAGCCAGTGCTGTAAAGAGCATAAACAGGTGGCACCTTATACAGTCATCAGTGCCTTACATCCTTCAGTGCTGCTCCTTGCTTCTTTCAAACAGGGGGCGCCTGGGAAACATTGATAGACTTGGTAACGCAGAACGTGAACTCTTGTTCACACTTCACTGGATTTTGCTTGAAGGACCTCGTGTTTGCTGTGTTGTGGACACTGATAGCTTGCTCTATCCTCTGACCACCATCGAGCAGTTTGTGCATGAGCTCACACCTCATGTGTACCACATGCGAGAGAGCGACTTGACAATTAGACTAGAAAATGGAGTGGCCATTTGGGGACCCCTTTGGAAACATGAGAAGCCATTGATAACGCCATTTACATGTGAAGTTATATCAAAAGATGCTCACGCTGAAAATGACGAAAAAGGAAGTCAGTCCAGTTCTGCAGATCAGAGCACATCAGCTGACTCAAATTCAGAGTTTTCACCAGCCACCTTTTTCGATGTTGCTGTTTTGAAGTGTTTGTTGTCAACTGGCTGGGATGAAAATGGTGTCATGTGGGCACTGCGTTATCTCACTGCTTACCTCAAGAGAGAATTCAACCTTTGTGATCAAGCAACAAGCAGCGGGGCATCAGGAGAGATCAGAAGTGAAATTTCTGCTCAGGGGCCCACGGTTTTAACAGTAAATCCGGGCATCAGTGGGGAAGGGAGTTTAGTCCAAGGTAAAAACAGTGTAAAACCAGATGGAGCAGAAGTGGAGAAGATCAACAAAGAAGGTAATGCACAAAGTGGAAGATTGGGAGGCCAAAGTGCACCCAACGCGTCTTCAACTGTCACTAACAGTGTACAACTCACAGTTCCTCAAAGTGTAACAACCGAGCCTAGTGGAGAATCACAGTCGGATAACCAGAGCACTTTAAAGATTCCAGATGGTTCTGATGAAGAAAGATCAGCAGCCCAAGGAATAGAGCGCACAGGCTCCATAAGGTTGAGAATAAGGGTGCAATCATCCCCAGGGGGCGCAGCAGGGGGACGAGTGTTGACAGCCGTACCCTCACCGACTGGAGGCATGACCCAGCAAGAGGAGAAGACCATAGCCAATGACGATTCTCAAGATGTCTGCGAGACTAGGAAATTTCAGAGTACCAAAGTTTACATTAAGCCATCAAATGCCCTTCAAGTGCCCTTAGTTGGTACTGGAGATACCAGTATGCAACACGGTGGTGATCCGTTAGAAGCCAGTTCCGAGGCAAGGGATCTTCAAAGCGGACGTCTGAATGATGTTCTTACCAGTGTTTCTTCAGTTAATTCTACTAAAGAAACGATTTTACAAACTGACCGTGTAGAGTCCTGCAATAGCACCTCTCCAAACTATGATGGACAAGCTCAACCGAATCCTTCTCTGATGTATACAAGAAGTAAGGAATCGAGTAATCATGTAGCTTTTGAGAGCATGGTTTCGTATGAAAATGAAGTCCAGGAATTCCAGGGTGGACTGGTGCAAACCGGTGACGTAGCAAAAACAGACCAACTAAAGGATGAAGCAATTTTGAAGCGTCTCTCAGAGCATACAAATTCAAGTCACGCAAGCAGCAGCTCGGTTGAGAGCGAGGTCCAGCCGCTTCTTAAACCTCCCAGTATTGCAACAACAAACAGAAAAGCCCTGGCACTCCTAGGTCTGTGTGAAAATCCAAGAACATTTGTCAATCGCGATTCGCTCACAAAAATCGACCGGTACTTTGTGTTTCCAGGTGCAGCTGATTACATCACTATTGACGGCCGACTGAGTTCCCTAATGATCTTACAAGCTCTGTATAACATCACGCGCGAGAATCCTTCCGCATTAATCAGTGACATGACTCTCACCATTCTGCAGCAGTTGGTTACGATTCATCAAAACAAAAAGTCCAAGAAACGAGGCAGTTCTATCGAGGTCGATGATCGTACTGTTGCTGAAACACAGGCTGTGGGATTCCGAAGCCCTCACTCCGACAATATCCTTGGTAGACTGCGCGCTAGCTTCTACGGAAGGCCTCCAAGTTTCCTCAGTCTAGCAATGGGATGTCTAGTCAGTGTCGTCAAAGCCTTAGGATGTCCTTTGGGTAAATTAATGCTATTTTTCTTCCTTTGTCACTGTGTTAAGTTATTGAACAGGGGCTTGGAAAATTTTCATCGGCTAGTTAGTTAAAAAATGGAAAATAGCGTAATTGTACTTTTCCCTTGTCGAGGCGGTTTTCTCTTCCATCCAATCGAGTTAGCACTTCTATTAGCACTTTTGCAGCACATTTGGAATGTCGACATGCTGAAGACTACTCGAACTTTCATAACCTGAGATTAAAGAGTCCCTAGAGCGACGAAATGAGCCTTTGAATTCACCATCCTTCCATTCTCAAAAGCATTGCCCTCTTTCGTTCGATTACAGACACTCTTTGAAGCCCATTTTTTTTTTTAAATAGCTGTTGCTTCTGTACATCTGCAAACTAAATTTTAATCCTTCATCTCCGTTATAGGATGCGGAGATGGCTGCCGAGGGAACTCTGGTGATCGACTTCGAAACACAACAAACAAGCTCCTGACTCAACTCCTTCGCAGTGAAGAAGCTGCATTCAAATTGTGGCTCCAGCAATATGCGAGATTGGAACCTCACGAAGACTTGGTGGACTTCCTTCATGCCCTGTTGGGCTTCTGCGAGGAAGACCAAGAACAATCTGATGATGAGATGATGCCTGTCGCAAACTCTGACAAACCGATGAGAAAGAAAAGTCTTTTTTCTATGCCAGAAGGCGTCAATGGTGTCATTATTGGCAGCATTTTTAAGATCCTGCTCACCAGAGTGGCTGAGATGAACTTCCTTGAGCTAAAAAATTTGGTGAGTTGTTTAACTAAATCAGATCTCTCACATCAGGTAAAACTCATCCTTAGGAGCGACCATTTTAAATAAAAGGGTGAGTGAAACACTCCGACAAAGGGCTAACATTCGAAACGTCAGCTTTAGGCAACTTTGATCCTCTAACTCCCAAGATCACAGTAGTTATTCTCCTTATTGTCTGTCATACAGTTCTTGTGATGTTAGTTTAGAGAATTTGGTGTTGGGTCAACTTATAATCCCCTAATTGATATTTTTCTTTATCCTAATCACTTGTCTGCTTTATATTGTATTGATGTTTTAAGAAGAAATTCTGTCTTGGTCACTCTTATAGAAGTATCAGTAGCAGCAGCAGCAGCATTAGCAGCAGTAATGGGTTAGGGTTAGGGTTAGGTTAGGTTTAAAACTAGTAGGAGTAGTACCAGGATTAATAGCAGAAGCAGTAGTAGTAGCAGTATCGGTAGTAGCAGTAGTAGCAGTACTGAAATACTCAACTCCCAAACTCACACTTTTCATAAAAATATCCTTATTTCCCCTTAGACTTTTTATGGCGAACTCCGGCAACTTCTGAGGTTTGTAAAAGAATCGTATGGAAACATATTTTGGAAAGTTGCCTTAAGTGGACTTCGGGACTCGGCCTACAAAGAATCGAAAGATCAGCCAGATGCAAGCAAAACTCCTGTGCAAGATTCGTCCACTAAAAAAGTGTCGACTGTCAGGAAAACATCAGTGGCTAGGATGAAAGTTGAAAGAACTGCTACTTACAAAACTAAGCGCACTCTTTTACAGAAGCTTGTTCGGATCACATCAGAGAGCGCTGATAGCAGTGGCAGCCTAACACGAAGTCTGAAGTTTTCGTCTGCTGTGGAATCCAGTCCTTCGGAGACAGCGTTGTCTCCGAGAAGTAAAAGAAAGGTTGGTTTGTGTGTATATTTGGACTAAAACAACGGTGCTAGAGTCACCTATTGTGTTATTCCCTACATTAAAAAGAACACATGAAGGTTTAACGAAAAGATTTCTGTATAATCACTTACTAGCTAACGACAACAATAAGTCTCCACAGAAATTTCACTTATTTTCAACCGCAAGTTTGCCTCCCGACAAACACAAAAAAATCGCCTATCCGCCGAAAAAAACCTGAAAAAAATAACAGTACTACACGGTACGTGGCAGTTGTTGTAGTTGTTGTGGGGTACTTAGGGAAAGGATGCTGACCCTTTCTTTCTTTGTTCCTCTCTCGTGACAAGACGATAAACCTTTTTCAGCTCTGAATTAACCTTCTTTCTTATTTCACACGTCTTTACTCACACTTTGTTTTCGACATTGCTGATTCGAGCAAGAATACGAAACGCGTGTTTCAAATGAACTTGAAAATAGCCAAGCTGACTTAAGAGTTATCTGTAGCGTGGTTGAATAGCGTTGGAGCGCGGAGTTCATGGTTTTAACATTTTTCTATTTCTCCCACGCTCGGGTCAAAATGAAAACATATCTCACTTTTAATACGTAGATATTCATCCGGAAGAGGCAAAAAGCTATGGGCACTCAATATGACAGTGATGAAGACTTGCTGGACACACCAGACACTCCATCAGAACAGCGGCCAAGCTTAAAACGCAAGCTCCTCAAGTCAAAGACTCCTAGTAGAAAGAAATTAGATGATATCTTCCCAATAACGAAGAAAGGAGACACGACGCCATCCACGTTGAGTGAACCTACTCTGCCCATTGATATAGTTGTGCATGAGTTTGAAACTAAACCTGTCGATGTGGAAGCACTAAGGTCTGGTATGGTCAGGTTTCGATTTCTCCTTCATGGTGGTCAGCCGGGTTCCATACCAGATCCAAAGATTTTGGCTTCCATGCTGGACTTGGTGAGTTCAGGATTAGCCATGTCATTAAAAAGCACTGCATTAGGAGCGGGTATTGAAATCACTAAGGGGCAGGTCATTATTTATCGTCTTGGGGAAGGGTAGGGGAGGGGGGGGGGGTCGGGTCAGAGGATTTTGGTTGTGTCAGTCAATGTTCTGTAGGCTCCCCCTTGTATTCTGTTGGTGACGACTGATCCCTTCTCCGTTCCTCTGCCCATTCTGTTGGTTCCCACTAACTTTCCAAAATCCGAGCCTGTCGTAGTAAAAATAACCTTGAAGGTTTTATCACTGCCACTAAAGCAACCGTTAACCCTTTAACTTCCACGAGTGACCAAAACAGAATTTCTCCATCCAATATCAATACAATATCAAGCAGACAAGTGATGAGAATTATTATTATGTTATCAAACAAAACATTAGTAGTGTAAGATTTTCAGGGGAAGTCATTCATAACTGCGCCAGTGTTAAAGATCCCCTAACAATTACTCTTTAGGAAGCACCAGCTGTGGCTAGAGCATGTCTCTTGTTGGAGTGTTGCGTCCTTGTTCATAGATGCAACCAAGGCGAATGGCCGCAGTGGTTACGAGGCAGTCTTCCATCTCTTGCTCATCGTCGAGGTGGAGTCTCATCAACTTCTGCCACACCATTCATGTTCGCTCAGCGCCGTAACCTCGTTGCCATGCACGAAGCTGGTGTCCTGTTCCGTGAATGGGGTGTTGCTTTGGGCAAGAAACTGGAGCAGGTGTTGGCAAAAAAGAGGAGACATTTGCTGCCGTCCATCGACGAAGAGGGTGGGAAGACTGTCCTTACAGACATGGATGAAATGGAGGAAGACTTCCTGGACGAAGGTTTGCAGCAATAACTTACAATTAAAATCATATTTTTACGAACTGAAACGTAATATAAATACAAGTTTACTCTTTCACAGGAGGCCCGCCGGGCCAAACTGTGTGGCTGTTTCTCTGAATTTAAAGGCAATGTATGGGGATATGGAAAGCTCCATATCATATATATATGTGCATGCACACTTACCATTCAACATACTTATTTTTGATGGAAGTTTTGTGTATTGTCGATCTTTTAGCTGAACATGATAAATTTCACGATTTGAAGATTTTGGTGGTTGATGTTTTCTTGAGCGACAACAAGTTTATGATAGTACATTACAATAGTTAATAACAATCTTTAATAACTTTTTCAAAACTCAAAGGGTATGCCCTTGATTTTCTTTGTAATTTTTGATTAAACTCAAAGGGTGGCAGTTTTTGTTATCCCTCAGTTGATAATGGCTTGTTTATTTGCACTGATTTGACGTGAATATGAAAGTGATCTTCGATTTTTGAAAAAATTCAGGCCTGTTCTCATGACCTCTGCGATACCGGTTTTCCGACTTTTTGACTTCCCCTTATTTGAAACCAACATAATGACCAGCTCCCAATTGGCTTGTTAGCGTAGTAGGTCGAGCGCTGCACAGGTATCGCAAAGGTCATGGGTTCAAATCCCTTACAGGCCTGAATTTTTTTCAGGCCTTATTTTCACTATTGCTTAAGTGGTGTTCATTATTGCGAAGATCGCTTTCATATTGACGTCAGTTGATGATACCAAATTACCTTGTCTTCCTCAAACAGCTCATGCCGAACTACATTTGGAGGAATTTATTTGTTCAATTCGAAAATCTCGCGAGAACAGTTTCAAAACTGTACACCACGTCAAAGAATGAAATACAACAAAAAAAGAAAAAAGATACTATTGAGCTGGCAGGCAAACGTCCATTGGTTAGTTTCCACCTACATGTAACATACTCTGCACGTTTTGTTTCTTTTCAGCCACTTTGAATGATTCAGTGAAAGTGTGTCCTTACCCTCTGTTGATGATCGCCTGCCAGCTCCTGCTGGAAATCACAGCCTTCTTACGGGAAAGCCATGGTCTTTACTCGGTCAGCAAACCTGCAGGTAGACCCTTACATCGTTATAATATTCAAAGGAGACGCCAGAGTGTGACAAGTCATCGACGGTCTATGGCATTTTCTCCCGAAATGCATCAGCGTCGTTTGAGTAGTATCATTGGTGGAGGAGGAGAACGAATACGGCGAGCCAGTGCTTGGAGTCAGTCTTCTTTACAGACTGATTTCCCCTCCAGTCCAAGTCGAACCTTGCAAGAACCACCCATGATTACAGTCTCAGGGACTGATACGAACGCTAACAACCCAGACACAGATCAAGAAGGAAAGAAAGAAAGACGCGATAGTGTAGACCGAACGCGGAATCGCCACAGTTTGTACTTCCCACGGGTCAGTATTCAGAACTCACCTAAGACAGCGAAGCGGATAGCCAAGCGTGGTGGGATCGGAGGGGAGGGTGAGTCGGTGAGGTTCAGATCAAAATCCACCAAGTGTGACGCTAAGCATCTCAGTGTGGACGCGACGATGTTTGACGACGATGACGAGTCGGACGATGAAGATCTAACTCTGAATTTACCCTGGTTAAATGCCGTGATTCAGCTGAACAGCTCAACCGCGTTCCTGTGTGATCACCAAGGAGTTTGTCCTGTTAATTGTCACCAGCGGCAAAGCCGAAGCTGCACACGGATGGTGAAATCACTGAAGGCAGTTTACAGCACTTTGAACAAGAACGACAAAGCTTCCGACAAGCAGCCTGGCAGAGCGCATGGCATTCATGGCAGTCCGCTGATCAGTGCACCGCAAGTTGGTTCTGTGGAACAGGCGACTAGGAAGGATAAAGAGGACACAGAAATGATACAATATATATCATCAAGCGTAAGTTAACAGAGTAGACTCCCACAGAGCATTTTAGTGCTTGAGAGCTAGAGTTGCAGGGAAAGAATCTTTTAAACTCATGTGGAGTTTCATGTAACTTTTCATAGTCAATTTATAGTTGTTTTGAGATTGGTCGGAAAAAAAAGCGTAAAAAGTGCACGCAATAACCCCGAAAGGTAATGTGGGTAGTTTTCAGGTCACGGTTTCTTGACTTCATGATTTCAGGGGAATCTTAGAAGACGTCTCTGTAAGGACGAGGCATAGAGGGTTGGATTTTTTTTTTTTTTACTTTTCCCTCACTCATACCAAAATTAAGACACGTTTCACGATTTGTTTTGCCAAACACAATTAATACCTTTGGTTTTTCTTAAAAGAAATCATTAAACTGATCTTTTCCAAATTTAAATGTAGTTAAAAGGAAATCCAAGATGCACAGTAATTCTTGGAACCCTATTTTGAATTCGGCTTTTCACTTTTAGTTGGCAGATTTTCCTTTTGTTAAACTTTACTGTTTACTGATGTGGAGTGTGAGTCATCATTGTTGAGTTCTATTTTGTTGTTTTATTTCAGCTCGCAAGTTTGACTCATTGTCCATTCTCAGTAATTGCCAAGGCGGGTACAGTCATCGAAAAAAGCCATCTTATGGATACCTTGCCTGTAGTCTGGGAACTGTTGCTTGATGAAGATCAACAACTGGTATCCTCTGCTGGTAAGGTCTTGAATACTGATCAAAATGATGCCGTTCTTTTCCATTTTCATTTAAGTCGCGGAATAAATTCAGGATTTGTTATTGTTTACTTCGCCCCGTGATTAGTCGATAAAAAAATTATTGCAACTTTCTAAACCAATCAGATGCCAAACTTAAATTTTTCCTACACTTCAAGGACTTTGCTTGTTTGAATTTCTTGTTCCTACCCCCTTAAATTTTCGACAGTTGCAGCGGTCCTCTAGTGCAAATATGTGTTAAAATAAAAACTTAATTAAGTTCAAAGGATCACAAGTTTTCAGTTTTTACAGATATGAAAAAATAGTAACGGTTTCGATGATGAACTTATTGATTCCAAATTACTGTCTCGAAATATGTAGGATAAATTTTCCAACAAACACAGGTTGTAACTTCCAGGACTAAAGTAGCTGATGATATTTAGGTACTTTTATTTTGTGTTATAGCTGCTGATATTTAGGTATTTTTATTTTGTGTTATATTTTATAGCTTCAGTCTTTCTTTTGACTGGAATACGTCTGCGGGACACGGTGGAGCAGATGCTACACAAAGAACTGACTTGTACTGATGCCAATGAAAGAGTCAAGTCTCTCCAGAGGTGGGTAAGAATTGCTACGCTTACGGCCAGGATATCAGCTGAAAGGCTCATTCGCCGGAGTTCATTTCGGGCTCCAAGCTTTATGATTTTCCTTCCTACTACTCGTTAACGAGTAGAAATTTATTCAACATAAATTGTCGAATACGTGTGAAAAAATACTTCTTGCAAATGTTAGATACAAGGAAAATTGTTCTCTGGGTTGAGAGTTGCTGCTGTGTTTTAGTGAGTTTTCTTGACTTTCATTTGTTTATTTCTCCTTCAATTGTAGATTTGAGGTTTTGTGGCAATCCAGGTATCATGCTTGGCCTAGACTTGAGGAAGGAGCAAGACTGATTCTAAAGGTTAGGATGTATCCCTTTTTATTCGGGAAGAGACGAATCCTACTAGGGTTTTTGTTAGTGTTCTGTACGAAGTCATTGTGTTGAGTTTTTGATTAGTCAACGTTCAGAAGAAATGCTGAGGGGAGGGGGAGGAGGGTCATTCTTACACACTTACAGTGGAGTATATATTTCTCATTTTGATTCTTTTCCATTAAAGGTTCCGCCACCTAAAGTTGACTTCACCCTCCCCTCCCCTGCCGTTGGTATGCCTTCAAGTCACCCCCCTGACTGCCCTTGGGATGCAAGTCTCATCCTGGAAGAGCAGCAGGACAAAAAGAATCGAGATAAGAGAAAGATCCGCGACAATAGCAGCGCTTTGAAGAAGCAACAAGAGCGATCTGAGTTCTTATTGCGAGCTATTCCGGTGTCAATGGAGACAACAGTTGGTGTAAATGTTGCAGAGGATGAAAAAGGTGAGTTGCTTCAGTGTTTGTTCCACTTGTTTCAACACAGGATACCTAGTTGTGTCTGCAAAAAAGAGCTTGGATTGTGATAAGCCATGGCAGAGATGACCATCCCTCTGTGTCAATGCCAGGGTTAATCCTTAGCCTTTGAAGTCAAGGTTAGATAAACAAAGCTAATTGTAGAGCCTTTAAATCTGCAGTATTTTTTTGAATTGAGAATTTCTTAATTTTTCCAAAGTCCTATATATCTGTTTTTGGTTGGAGCTTGGAAGACACGACCTGTATGTTATTACTCCACCTTGGAAGTTTGGCTTAAAGTTACTGTGAGATTTGATCTTTTAGTGATATGCAAGTATCGAGAATGTCCTAAGTTGTTGGCCACGGCTGTATTTTATTCGCAGCTGTGGTTGTCCTCTCTTGAATTTGTCGTAAAATAAAGTCTAAAATGAACTAGCCGTTGCCCAATCTTTGCACAACATGAAACAGATGCCCTGTCCTTCCTTATGTGACATACCAAGCAACATAACATCCCAAACGGGCGTTTCACAACCTCCAACAAGCCCTTGTTACCCAAACGTTCATATTACCTTCAATTGTGTTATAAGTTAGACAGGTTCGTCAGACAGTTGAATAGTGTGAATTTGAAGGCGACAAGGTTTCCACTTGCTTCGAGAAAAGTCATCTTTCCATAGGAACATGCACTTGTTTATTTTAAGGGCATCACTCGTGACAAGGTTAGAACCAAAAAGGCAGTAGATCGGCAATAGCACGGAATGAGTCCGAAAATGTTGTTTCGAAATATGTGAATCACCGACAGTTAAAGTACGCAAACGTGTTTAAAGTGTTAATAAGAAGCATACACCTTGTGCATAATGATAAATCTCCAAAAGGTTGCGTTTGCATTCTTAAGCTGTTTAATTAATTCTGTCAACCAGAGAATAGTAAATACAAAGTAGCATCTGTCCATTTTGCTGTTCTGGAACAACGATGTGTTAGCTAACAAAATCAAATTGCCGTAATAATACCAGTAGTTAAAGTGATAGCACTCTGACTTCCGTGAGCACGGCACAATCACTGGCACGCAGGATTGCAATCCATTATGCACATTAAACTAAAAAAATGCAAACGAAAGGCAACACGCGTATTAAAGTAAATATGCAAACATACCAAAATGTAGAGCTGCGGTATTCTCTCATTTCATGTCATTAAAAAAATAAACCTTCTTGATACTTTCTCGCAATGAACATAATGTTCCACGAAATTGCCATCAAGAGCATGAATATCAGCCGCAGTGTTTTCAATTGAGCTGGCATCAGCATTGGCCAAACATCATTCCAATGGCACAATCAGGAGCACCAGTAGTGGTGCAAACATTGGCAACCCAGATGGCACCCGCTCTGGCTTATGTTAATTGTAATAGCTGTATTACAAACTCCATTATAAGCGCTGGCATTGGCAATTAAGGTCGCACCAGTGTAAGCTTCTTATAGGCATTATGGCACCACGAGGAACCCCAATTTTAGCACTTTTATAGCAATTATGATGGCATCAGCACTAGCTTTTTATTCCTTAATTGACACCATCAAGAGTACCAACACTGGCATCATCATTGGTGGTACCCGTACCGAGTTACGTTCACCACGATGGCAGTATCACGAGCTCTAATGTAGGCACAATCATTGGCAGTCACACTGGCACCAGCACTGGCTTAAGCACAGTAAAATCACTTGTACGGCACGATTATAAATCATGAAATAAGATTTACGCAAATCGCCATGTGCTTTGTTTTTTCTTGCTGCTGTGGATTTCAATAGAGAAGGATTCTCGCATGGACGTTTGGCATTACCACTTGGAAGGGACAGGAAACTCACAAGATGTGACGGGAGAAGATGGAGGTTTGAGCTTATAGAACATACGTATCATGTGTCTTCGGTACTCTCTCCACTTTTTTTTTTATTTATTTGTTTAGTGTTTTACAAACTAAAATGCATGCTTGTTTTGGAACAAGTGCTTAAAAGTCAGTGTAGGTATTAAAATTCATATTTCTTCGAATGGTTGAACAACAAGAATGGTGCTCTCACAGAGTAGACAAAATCCGGATAGTGTACCAGAGGTTATTCCCAGAGATTGCTCATTTTGTGTCAGCGTTACTCTGCCTGTCTTAGCTCTTATGGTTGGAAAATGGCACAGCGGACAATGACAGTCTAGCTTAGAGAGTGCCTCAACCAAGAGATGTTTGGGGACTTCAGAGGCTTTGATTATGCCCGCACTACAGGTTGACAAGCACGCCTTGGCTTGGTGTTTACGTGCTGATATGATACAGTGGATTTCAGCCTCCTTGCCAAGTGGGCGCGCAGTGTATCTTCTCTTTAAGACAACCTTGCAACATCAACATGGAACCGGATAAAAGAAACGAAATCAAAGCAATAACAAAACAGAACACCAAGCGTCTCTAGTATTTAGGAAAACAGAGAGTTTATTTTCAGTGGAATTTTTCCCTTATATCCTTTTGTTTCAGGTTGAAATGTTGATATTTCTGTTTTCCTCATTTTATTTTTACTATTAAAGGTGAAAGTCAACAAGTAGAAGCTGAGTTATGGCCGCAAGCTGTGTCATCAGCCATTCCTGACATCATCAAAATGATGGATGACGTACTAGTGGATAGTGACAAAATAGCTGGTTAGTGAATAAGTTTGTTGCCGAGGGTAGTAATGAAGATGGTGAATTGATCGTCAAAAGAAGTGTTAAGTGAACTTAAGTTCATCATCGGTTTGGTTCACGCTGTAGCACAGAAGTCAGTGAGCTTGACTGCAACTGAATAGTTCCGGGTTCGACCCAGCATTTTCTAAGATTTCACTTTCAATTCGCTGTTACCTTCCTATACTCTGGGATGGAGATAGGTTCTGTGAAAATAGAGTATCACAGCCAAGAACACAACGCAGAGACCTGTTCAGGGTTCGAGCTCGGAAGTACTTTTGTAGAATAGGGGGCGTAAACTGGGTTACATCATTCTCAACTCCTGTGTTTCATCCGTAGTGATGGAAGTCGCCCGTCGTCTGGTTTGGAGGTGCTTAGTGGATGATCCAGTTCTTTTCTTTAGAATTATTTTGGAACAAGTGACTAAGAGGGACAAACAGGTTCGTTGAACTGCTTGCTTTGTTGTCTTTCTTTCCATGTCCACTTATTTCATCTTAGTTAATTTTTGATGCGTTTTTGTTTCTTTGCACAGTTACAGTATGAGGTTTTCTTCCTCAACAAAATTTATGTTAAACAGGGTACCACTTAACAGTAGTGGGAACACTGGTAAACCTGTAACCCTTATTTAATAAAGTCAAACAAATAATGTAAATCAAACAAAGCACGTTTCTAAGCCTTTGGTGTCAGTGGGCAAATGCGTTGGAAAGTTACAATCGATGTTAAGGAGTTGAACTTAGGACTATCCAGAACTACATCCATCAGGTGAACAAAGAGGAACTCGAACCCTGGACCTCTGTATTGCAAGTTCGATGCTATTACCGCTCTGTCACACTTTAATGCGACAAGTTAATGTTTCCCCCGTGTTCACAAACTTTATTTGATTTCTTGAATTAGGAGGAACACATCTCTCTTCTAAGGAAGCTGCTTCTTTACATCACAGAGCTGCCACAAGCATCGTCTAGATTTCTTATAAACAATCTGGTTAGTAATGGATCATGGTAGTGTCGAGTTTGAATGCGTTTGGACTTCTTGGTTTGCTATTGAATTACGTTTTATTTCCGCGAAGTTAAGCTTCGCATCTGAGCTGAAGTGCAGATTTGGTAAAATTCAGCTCGAATGATACATCTTAGTTCCCTTTCTTTTTCTATTTATTTGGAGTTTAAAGATCGAAAAGCTGGATTCGTGCCCTTGGTCCCCTTGAAAAAGCTTAGGAAAACCATGATGGTCAACATCTTCACCAGTGTGCAGCCCAAACCAACTATGAACAGTATCCCACGAACGGGGGGTGTAGGTCTCTGATTACTCTATGTTGTCTGTATCGTTGTACAAGTCAGAACTTATTGTCTTTACCTTTGTATAACATGCAGTCTGTCTCTTAACAGATCGGTGTTGCCATGTATTATGCTAGAACTAACAAGCCTGGTTCCCAGGATTCGCTTGCCTTGGTGTTGTCGCTGCTCTGGCAGGTAGGAGGCATAAAATTGTCACGATAAAAAGATGCAGATGTTATTTTTAGAAACCACATCAATTTTGTTCTTTCCTTGAGAAAATACGTATGAAATTAGGATACTGATCATGATTTGAGATTCCAAAGTGTTTTAAGTGTTTACTTCGTTCGACTTTTTTTGCATTTTCGACACAGATTTATTCTCAGTAGTGCTTTTTAGTAAATATTCTTGCGAAACTCCTTTGAGCTGTTACAAAACACAGAGTACCCACACCTACCAGGACAAACACCTGCATTGTTACCCGACTGTGAGAGTCAAGTGTTTACTTCAGAGTACACCACAAAGAGCCGGTAAAGAATTTGGATAAACATGATCGTTAGAAAGTGATCAGTTAGGGGATGTTCCCCTAATGTTTCCCTAAGTTCTAAACACTTGCTCTAAAGAGATTTATGGTCATTCGTTGGATAAGTTAGCTCTGAAATCTCGGGATTACAAGGCTTGAGGTTCACTCAATTTCACTCCACAGGCAGTGCCAAGCGTGCGGGGATTTTTGTTCAAAGATCTCAAGCAGTGTCTACGGAAAGAACATTGCGATGTGAGTTGATTGATTATTACTTTTCACTCAGACAGGGCGTTACGTGGATTTTTTTGGGATCACAAGCCAATTTCTCTTGACTCGCTTTTCACAATTTAGTTTTGAATGGTCTCATTTGAATGATGTCAAAATTAGATAAAGTCTAACGCTTCATTTGAAAATGCACCCAATGAATGCAGGTTCTGTTGTTAAATAACAGTGAAAAAAGTTTAGAAAAAAAATGACAGGCAAGTATGCGACACATGTTCAAATTTACGAGAGATAACAAAATATCATTAATACTTGAACCCAGCCCTTCTTTAAGTAATGAAAAACAAGAATTCCGTTGAGAAACATGATTGTTGTGTTCATGTGATTTGCTTTTCTAGTACAGTTTTTTTTTCGTAGTAATTATCCTAAAGTGGTTTCTAGGAGGTCTCCTCGTCAGATCATTCTATTTCGTTTGTATAAATATGAACGTTAAATGGCCAATGAGTGATGAAATGATGCTTCGGTAACTCTGAAGTTATACCGAAAAGAAGTTGGACTTGAGCATCTGGTAATAGGCTCTCATTATCCAATATTGAGATGATAACTAAGTTAACAGATTGAAGGACACTTCATAACCAGCTTCAAGCAGTGTTTACGATGGTCAGGCCCTAAAATTTACTTTTTTTTTGTAACATTTCCTATGTATTTTTTCTTTCAAACAGAATGCCTTACGTATCAGCTCGAATGTTCCTGGCGCTAAGGTAATACATTGTTTGGTTATTAAACTGACAGATGTCTTGTTTTTGTTTTTGTTTCTGTGTGTTTGTTTGTTTGTTTGTTTTTTGTGGTATTCACATCCTATAAACAATGGTAAAATAAACGTCAACTCTAGGTTATAAGGTTGTGAATTAAAGGGATCGTATTATCGCATGAAACACGGATCCGTTCACTTTCAAGAGAAGAGAGCATGTATCAGCCTTCAACTCTTTACACCCTAAGATCAGTATACATAGTCTCCATACTGTTCTCTATAAATTTCCTAAGGTGCTGAGAAGGAGAATTTGTTTAACAATCAAAAGCTCCTGTACTTGTTGATCATTTACATTATTCTCGTGACCTTATGTATGATTAAGGGATGATATTGTAAGGAGAAATTAGATGCTAGTCACTCTTAGGGGTTAAAGGGTTTATATATGGCAAGTTAGTCCTGCGGTAAATCTGAACGTTCTGATTGGTTCTTACTTGGTCGAACTTTTGCCATACGGACTGTTTTCACGGAAACGGTCATAAGCCGTGCATTTTTGATCGCGAAAGCCAGCAAATTAAGTGAAATAAATTTGATGCGAGTGCCATAATTATGGTGAGGGACTTACTAACCTTGCTTTTTCGAGCCTTACGTGGGAATGATGGCCTTCGGTCGTTTTGTGCGAACTTCGCTGTGCTCGGTCTTCATTGTCACGACCTGGGGCCAATATTCCACTGAACGGCCCTCTTGCTCGGTCAGTAACACATTATTACTTAGATAGTGCCGGTATGAATTTTTTCTTCACTGCGCCTTCAGCATATAGAAAGAAGTCTGTATATGTTTGTGATTTTGTTGCGAGAGCAAGAGTTCCCTTCTTTGTTTGTTTTACTCTTTCATTTTATATCGAAATTTCTTTTTAATTTATGTTTCTTCCAGAAACTTTGCGTGATTCTTCCCGATCAAGAAAACGATGAAGAGGAGAAAGACCAGGAGAAAACCAAAGAAACAGTTCCCGTTCATGATGTAGGATATGTAATAACTTTTCAGTCTTACGATTTCCAATTAGTTCAATTTTATGTATGATGTGGAAAAAGTATTAAATGAAAACCGGATTTTAACTTGAAATCAGCAATTTTTTCCTATTTAAGATAATGCCTTTGGGGGCATGCAAACAATCCCAACTTACAAAAAATGTATTACTAGGAAATGACATTTGGCAAGGTCCTAGAAGCGTTTAAGTCACGGTACCAAGACTCTGGCAGTGAAGGGAAAGAGTTGTATCTCATTGACAAGAAATCAGGTAAGAAGTACTTTTCGGGATTTACAACTCGTAGTAAGGTGCAATCTTTTAATATCGTCACCATTCTTGCCTTATGTAACTCCCCAGAGTGTTTGTTTGACTATCAAATGAATTTTTCGCTGTCGATCTAGAAAGAAAGTCCTTCAGAGATTTGATGTTCTTTAAAGTGAAATTACATTTCTCGACATCTTTCACCGCTAGGTTTGCCTTGTCTCTAGCAAGGTGTCATTGTCTCAAAGAATCCTTCTATGATTCGGTGTAACCAGAATTCTGAGTTTAGCAAACGGAAAAATGAAACTGAACGTTGCTTTTTGCTCTTCACTTGTGAGGCTGTTTTGATGGCGTAAAAGAAGACAAGAGACATTATTTTTAAAGCTTAACTCATTGTCATTTATATCCCAACTTTATGCAACTTGAAGCGACTTTAAATGCATAAACATAAATATTCAGTGCTGCTTAAATTGTTCAGGTGCTTTTAGGAAGACAGTTAATTATATGTTTAAATAAAAAGGATGGTTTGGACAAATTAATCGCCCCGAGATATCTGTCCACGCCGCTTCCTCGGCGAAAAGTCAGCATCGGTAAGCTACGGAAAAATGGCTTTGTTTCTTTTCCTGAACAGGACAGCGAGGCCAGGCTTTGGAGCCAGGGGAAATATTCGCCTAATAATTGATGTAATTCCTTTCAGATCAGATACTCGAGGAGAGAGACCACGTACGAGATGTGTACACTCACCGCAAGGGATTTCCAAGTCCCATGTTGATGTTGGACTTTTTAGATCAAGAATTGGCGTTTAACAAAAGACAATCACAGGTACAGGAACGGAATTACAATCATTTACTCATTTGCTTGAAATACTCATCACAATAGGCGGTCGATGAGAGACAGGCACAGGTACACCCTTATAGCTTGAAAGGGAAAATGCTCTAAGGTCATGAACTAAAATGAAGATAGCAGATGTAATCAAATTGATTTCCGGACAAATTGACAATAAATGTCTGGTTAAAATGAAACTCTAATAACCGAAGTCTCGTCCTGGTCACTGTTAAGCATAGTTCAATTTTTTTTCAAATATGGCGCAATTTTTAGAACGTTTTACACCGGCCCGTAACGATTATCCGCTTCTAACAGATTTGAAACTAGTACAAAGCCCCGTTTTCCAGGAAGTTCTTTGCAGTTTATTCGGTAAAGAATCCCACCTCATACTCCCACCGGCTGAGGGTAAAATCCTCTTAAGAACTTAACACTTTTTTGACATCTGTCCAAGAATATTTATATGATGCAATCTAATTCCTTCTCTATCACCTTTCCTCGATCTTCCTTAATTCTTTTTTTCCATTCTTACTTACCTCTAACCTAGACTCCCGTCTATTCTTTTTCGTAGGCGTTTACAAACAAGATCGCTGAGATTGGACGAGTCCTTCTGTCGTCATCCATACTTAACGCGTTACCCAATCAGGTAACGACAACGTAATTACAGCCTTCAACAAACATCAGGGAACACATGCTGGAGAAGTATTTTTATGAACCACTGTGCCATCGAACACTCGTTCCTAGTTTTCTCTTGTTATCTATCCGTCCTTCCTCCTCCCCAGTCCCATTCTCCTTTGTAGCAATAGTGGACATCAACATTACATAACAATGGTTTAGAGGGAGATATTTTGCATGTCTGCTTTTCATTGAAAAAAGAAAGGGAATGCCAAACATATGGACGATTTAACACGATGTGGGAGTGATTGTTCTTAATCCTCTCTTTTTTTTCTTTTCTTTTTTTTTAACAGAAACACATCTCTTTTCTTCACGGAGAGTTTAGTCGTCAAATCTCTTTTCCCCGAAAAGCTCTTGATTGTGATTTTTCTCTTTATGCTGGTGGCACCAAGGGATCAGTAAGAACACATATCATTGTAAAGTCTAATCCACTTTGAACTCCAGCCGCCTTGGAGGGCAATAACGTTTGTTAAAAGTGAAACCGTGGGTGCAACGTGCCAAGTGGCCTGTACTTCCTGAACTTATCTTCGTTCTTGTTGCCTTAAGCGACCGGGTGTATACTCCCCCCTGGAGTGGGATAGTGGGATGCGGGCCCATGTAATTTTACCCCCTCTCCCCCTTCCCCCTCTTCCCCCGGACTCTTCGTGAGCTTTCCTGGACAGTTTCTAGTGCCCATCAACATTGTACTCCTCTGGGCGGCAGGACGTTTAGAGAAAACTTGGATACTTCTTCAAAACACTTTCCTCTTCTTTTCTCTTAAAGGAGAACCCATTCATATGTGAGCTTTAATTGTGGAAAATTATTTCTTAGCCCTAACCCTCTTGACTGTTTGTATCGGTTGGAGAGGAACGTAACGCTACCGCGTTCTTTTTTTTTCTTTTTTTTGCTCAGGAAATGCTGAAACGAATGCAGTCAAGTTAGAATTTTACGGAAACCGCATAGCATAGACATTCTCAAGTAACATTTATGTCACTGTTGATTGCTCTTTATGTTGAGAAAATAGCAACAAATGTGTTTATTTTCCTTTCAGGAACTTGCCGCCCTTGATGTGATTCATAAAAGTGTGTGGGTCGAGGTAAGACAGATAGTGATTAAATTCAGTGATATACACGTAAATGATAGGAACTGATCTTTGGATACCCACTGTGACTAGCTTTGGTTTACAACTTCATCGGTCGACGTAGAAAGGAGTGACCCACATGAGAGCACTTATCATTTTGTGGTCTTTAAAAGCAATTGAACAGTCTTCGGGTCTACAAAAGCTTTCGAGCGCTTCACATCATTTGCGAAACTTGTTAGCTCAGAAATCAATAGTTAGTACATCTTTTTTACTGTCAGCAGTTCTCTGTTGCCCACGTTCAAGGTAAAAAGCGAGATGGATATTTCATGACTAACTCAAGGCATTGTTCTGTTTTCAGCTGATAACGTCACTCTTTCAGTCCATGTACACGGATTTTCCGTGGAGTTCTGCAGACCTGAATCTCTTTCTGAACGTCATCAATGGCGCCATTTTGCTTCACTGTGAAGACGGTGCCATGCTGCGACTTTGCTTGGCGTCTTTGATAAACATTGCAGTTCACTTTAGTCACATATTTGCTAGTGATGGGTAAGGAATTATTTGTTCCCTGGTTTGCATATCTTGGGAAATTAAGTCTGTTCTTGTTATCCATTGTCGGCCTTTCCTGACTGTCATTAATTCTGCTGTTTACCTCTCGTAAGCAAACAGACAAACCCCACCCCCCCCCCCCCCGAACTCCCGTCTCGATGCGCAAAATGTTTGGTCTCCCGATCTTGTCACAAATTGGATAATTAGAATTACGCTTGGCGACATGATGTTTTGGAAGAATCTTTTGAACAACTGTTTAATTATGTATGGTAAAAATTTAAAAAATCGATTTCAGTCACACTGAACAGTTTGGAGATTGCAAAGAGGTTAGCATGCACCAACTAAATGACTAAATGGATGGTGGATTCGATAATCTGAGTTGGAGTGTGCGCCTATTTTTCTAAATGAAAATGATACGCCCCTCTTCGCGGTAATGCCCTGTATAAGACTTGTCCTTTCCGTGGCGTTGATTTCATTTATATCTTATTTTAGGTATCAGCACATATTTCCTTCACTTCTTCAAGTCTATTCACATCACCAGTCTAATGAAATGGTCACCACTGCTATTGAGGTTGGTGATAAATTGCTATCTTCCTTTAACCTTTAAAAAAGCATCATCATTTGGATCATCCGGGGAGGGAAGATGACTCTTTTGCAAGGGTTATATAGATTTAAAAAAGCTTTTGGTCCGACATCTGGTTTAGAGTCAACCGTTCCAGACCGAGATTGGGTAAAAGTTTCTTATGTCTCTTGGGATACACAAGTTCTGATCTGAAAGAGGTATATGAAAATGTAAAATTGGATTGGCGAGGCGTTAAGTTTTAAGGAAGCATATTACACTTTTCTACCGTAATTTTTCACAAGCACCTCATCCACCCTCCAGCTCTTGAAGAAGAATTTCAAGCACAAAAAACAACAACAACGATTACAGTGAATAAAATCTTCGTGTTATATCAGACTCCAACATTGTAAATAATTGTAATTCCTCAATCTAATTAAGTGATTCCATTGGTTTTTATCATTCTCAGTTTGCGATGAAGCAGTTCTACATTTTGCACCAAAAGCCGTGTCTGCTGCAGGTGAGTTATATCGAGTCTTGCCACAATCCAGCATAAGTGCAGTTCTGTTAGCGACAAAACCTCTTGTTAATCTACCGCGTACACAAAGCTCCCATAATGTTATTGGTTTTCTCCTTGCGAGTCAATACAACCCTTTTCATTCAATTCAGTTTACGGTCGCTTTCTGAGGAACTTGAATTCTTGAATTCTCTATGTTGTCGATGGTGAGTTAACTGATTGAGAAGCTCGTTTAGACAAATTCTTCCCTAACGATTTAAAGGTTGCCCTAGCGATATTGAGAAAGAGGACCAATCAGTTTTTCTTATCTTCTTCATCGCAGCTCTTTGCCAGTGTAGCACCGATACTTCTTATAGAGACGAGGTCCGATGCAAATGAGGATGAAGCAGATGATGAAGATCTTTCTGGCAAAGTAAGTTTCACAAAACGATGAACCATGTTACCAAACACCAAGTTGTCTTTAGTCAGAAACTCAGGACGTTGCAAAAGGAAATTTTAATGCGGGAGATTATAATTATGTGGTTTGCACAGCACACTTTTTTTTCAAGTTATCAGGAACTGAAAAATTTCCTCAATCCACTTTTCATTGTGACTCTCTTGAGCCTTGATCTCTATATGTAACATTTGCGTGTCCTCCAACGCAGATCCCTCCCAAATGTCTGTTTAATCTGCTGACGTCATTAGACAAACCGTCACCTGACAGTCTTGAGGTGTTAGACCTGGTGCGAGCCGAGAATCCGCTGAAACCAATGGTGAGAGACCTAAATTGTTAATAGTCTCCCTTTTGGTGACTTTTTTTTTTTTTTCAGGTGCTGAATAGACTTAGCCATAATTTGAAGTGTTGATTATTTGAAGATCTTAGCAAAGAAGTAGCTCGCCCATCCACAATAGTTTGCTCCTTGATATTTCTTCTGTGACCTGCAAACCCTAATGTCATTAAACCCAGTTTTCTTGTTTCGCATCCAAGCGCATCAAACGTGGGCAATTTTCGCTCTCTTTACCAGAACGCTTGCTAGCCAGCGGGTGATCATTAGTTATTTTTAGCTAAGCTAATAGTTTCTATTTTTTTCTGTCGCAGGATTCATGTTACGAATCGTCAAATGACCCTCCTGGTGTTAGTCAAGTTGACACCGCAGTCCGCCTGTGCGTTACCGTAGTGAATTTCGCGCCGGAATCAAAGAGAGCTGTACAAATGGTGGTATGTCTTTCTTGTGGATTGTTTTTGTTTTTGGGCAGTCATTTATGGCTGATAGAGGAATTTTCAATTGAGAGTCGAAAGTAATCTGGATTTGCTTTAATGTTACTTTAGTTCGTTGTATGATTTGTTTAGAAAACCTGGTCACATATGTTTTCCCAGCTTCGAGCAGGTAGCTTGTTTTTACATTCTTGTCGCCTTTTTGTAATGTTCTCCTTTTTTTCTTATTGGTTGTTGTGATGTCCTTGGTCGGTTTTGGGTTAACAACACTCAATCGAATTGCGCTCCATAGTGTCTGTCTAATAGGTTGACTGAACGCTTGTAAATAGCAGTTGCAACTGAGTTGGCGTCTGCTTCTCGTGGCCAAGGTAACCCTGCAATGGACTAGCATCCTTTACAGGGAGGTGTAGCAGTACTTCCCTCATGCTACTGAGTTCGTAAGAAGCTCTGGCTTTTACCTCAGGCTAAAACATAAACTTCTCTTATGAGATTCTCGCAGGGTCGGATACTTTCCTTAACTGTTCATTGAAAAAAGGAAAATTTTATTCGCAGGTGGTACTGTCTGCCATTTTGCCACACTACCTGAATTACCTCAGAACAGATAGCAGTGCTCCTGATAGTGAAGAGAAACTGAAAGCAGAGCTGACGGGACTTACCTCTCTTGTCACCTCCATAAACGTTCTGATTAAGAGTTCAGAAGTACTGACAAGGTATTATTATAGTTACTGGTGAAAGATCCACCTGCATGTTGTTCAGCTTGGAAGTCGAAATGGCTAATGGTCAGCCTTGAACTCAGGATTAATTGCTTGGGTATAAGCAACTGGCCTGGTCATTGTGTTGTGGTCTTGGGTATGATGCTTTTCCGTGACACGTCTCTCAACACAATCCAACCCATCCCAGGCTGTGATGTAAATGATTGGATATATGCGACTCGTCTGGGAAATCTGACGAAATGCTTGGGGGTGGGGTGGGACAAGGAGCAGTACCCTTTGTTGCTTTATCACCATGGAAAATTTCAGTCTCTTTAAGCCCTATTTAGTCTGTTCATTTTGTTCCTTTTTCCCAGGTCGTTTGTGCACTTTCAGAGCTACAAGGCATTTTCAGATAAGTCTGGTATCTTTCCTGATCTGGCTTCCACTACGTCACTGATGTTAGGTCGAGGAAGCATCAGCAGCACAGAGGCACCAAGCGCAGCTGACGAAGGGGAACTGGGTAAGTTTAAAATTGTATCTTTATCGTTAATCTTCGAGGGGCAAGGTATGGGAACAGCTACTTTGGTTTCCATAGCACGTACCATATAATCTACGATCTTAATACAAACGCTTGTCTTATACAATCTAAGCGTGAAGTTATGTTTTCGCCACGAGTCCTTCCTGTGTAATTTTGCAAGTCCTGCTCTTCTGCTGTTTTTCCTCACTTATAATGCTTCTTGGTCGCGTTTCAATAGAGCATTTAGCTTTTCGTATCAATTTTTTCTCTCTTTTTTAATAATTTTTTAAGTCCTGCTCTTCCGCTGTTGCTTTTTTTTTTTTTCTTTTGGCGAAAGCACTATAGCACTGGTAATCTCTCTTGCCTTGTTATCACGTAATAATTAAACCTGGTTCACACGCGCGATGCAAATGCAAACGCAAATGTAAGGAGTTACACGTGTGAACTACCTCAATGGCGTAGTTCACAGGTTCCATCGGTTCCATTCCACCACGGCACAATGGCGTCGACTTCTTCCGCCATTTCGGGAAAAAAAACTTGCAGAGAGCGTACGGAAAGTACCTGTACTTTTCGACAAATGTTTTCCAGAATCAAAAGACATATCATAGAAGAGTCTTCCTTGGAAAGAGGTGGCCGGAGAAGTTAGCATAAAATACGGCATGTTTTACGAAAGAATATAAACATACACAAAAATATATCAATGCCGTAACAAAATGGTTTCCGAACCATTCAGTAAACAGTTTACGCGAAAACTTTTCACCTCAGAGCTTTTTAAACGAAAACGGCATGCACGAGAAATCTAAAATTCTTTTAGAGGGCACAAGAAATTAATCCCAAAAGTTAGTCGCAAGAGTCCAGAGTCACTTCGTTACTTATCGTGAGTTGATATGAAACACTAAAAAAATTGATTATTTGGGTCCCATTTTCCGTTGCATAAACACTTATGGCCTCATTTGCGGTTATTTTGTTTGATATTCTGATAAGATCTCTGACTTCTTAAGGTCTGCTCAGTTGACCCTGTTTCCGTAGTTGAACACGCACACCATAACAAACACGTCACGCAAATCAAATTAAAACGTAAAAATCATGGAGTATTTGTAGCCTTTCAACGAAAGTCTTTTCTCTTTTGTTAACTTTCTTACGATATTTAAAATCTCTCAACCCTAGGAGTTTCTTAAGCGAAAATTACCTCCCCAGACTTTTCGAAACTTAAGCTTAGTTTACATTGGAGCTGCAGCGACTCAGAAACCATTCTGTTTATTGAACCTGCATGATCTGTTAATCACTTGTCTGTGTGAAAAATTAAAATTTGTTTTTGGGTGGAGATAACGAGATTTCTATTAAGTAGAAAAAATGATTACAGTCGGATGATTCTTCTTCTTTAACATCACGTAAGTTCAGATTAACTTTTCTTCTGTAACTCTTTGCATCCGCTTTCAGTGCATCATGCAATGCCTTCATTCCGCTTGTTTGTAACCAAGCATGCAGTATGAGTTGGTGGAAAAAGCAATCACATTTCTTACAGAGCAGAGAGAAAGAGAAAAGGGATATTGTTGAACGGTATAAGTAGCAGAAACACTCAACTGAAGTGCTAGATAACGAGCCCAGCCATGCGAATCGCATCTTTGGTTTGAGGCCATTTTCCATTGTCAAGGGTTATTCAGAAATGCCTTATTCTGTTCCGGTTTGATGGACTATGAGAATTGATAATGTCCTTGTTTGGTTTGGTTTCATGTCATTTTGGTCGTTACGGTCATGCTATACAAGCCTAGCCCCATTGGTATTGCCATGGATTAATTCATTATTATGCTTGTGGTATTGTAGATGTTGCCAAATTCAAATTTCAATATTCAGAATTCCTACATGTGCAGAGAACAGTAAGTTTCAACGCCCCAATTATGCGAGCTAAAAGCTGATTCCTAGACGATGATATCTTTGTTTGATTTTTTTCTTTTTTGTTTAAAAGTCTGAAAGATTTTTCAGTCGTTCAAAGTTCTGAGGTTCTGTGGTCTTTCATTAGGGCTCATTACTCATGCAGGAATGCTTAGGTTTGAAGCAACTGCGGATTCACTATATCATTACAAAAGACGCCAAAGTGTGATACGAAAATTAGTGACACACTCGGCTCCACTCTTGTGCCACTTTATTCCTTTAAATGCATTTTGGCGTCATATTAGATCCATTACTGATCAGACGCACACCAATTTGGAATCTATCTGGTTATAAGTCTCTCACACACTTAGATGCTATATGTTGTTGAATTCGAAATGACTAAGACCTGCCGATTTGGTCTTTTGAGTTACTGTTTTTACGATTCACTCGACGTCTGCGTCCATTTTCATGGGTTCGGTACGTAACGCTCACTTGTCTTTTCTGTTTCTGTTATATCTCTTCTGCATGTTACATAGCTGAAGCGCCTTTTGATACATGCCTTGTATGGTTTAGAGCAAGGCTAATATCCCCTTTCACGGTGGGAAGGGGGCAGTTAGGTGGATTTTCAATCTTAAACTGGTGTAATAGCCGAGAAACAATCAGGAAAAGCTCTGCGCTGCTCCAGTTAAGAAAGGGAGATAACTCCTTGCTGTTGGACCCACTACGTTATAATTGTTGGAAAAACTTAGGTTTCGACGGCGTTCGAACCCCTGTCTCTTAGACATGAGTTGAAGAGATGAAGCACAAAAAGTACTGGGACTGAGACCGCACAGATTTGAACACACCGATTTACAAGACTCAGAGTGCTTTTTCTTTGCCAGGAATTCGTAGAAATATTAAGAATTATGTTACTTCTTGTCACATTTATCAAAAAAGAGTACTAAGTGATCAATTCGTAGAGTACCGTGATGGAAGAGGCCTCTGATGAACAAACTGTTGAACACAGTAAGCAATTGATCTAATCGAATCAATCAGCCCACCTATCAAAAGTCACAGATATACAATGACACTGGTAGGTTTTGTAACGCCTTTAAGTTGCGCAATCGTTGCAGGGGGGAGGCCAAGCAGTGTAAAAGCTTGTGTACAGACTGAAATAGCAGGAACTATAGACTTAGCTGAGCATCATGTTAAACAGACCTCTGATTAACCGGATCAGATCCGTGTGATACCCGGTACCTTACAACAAGAGGAAACCTTGAAGACGAAACATCCCGGAAATGGTCAACGTGGAAGTTCCTAGAGAGACAAATTTACTTTACATATTGTCCGTCATCATCGTCATTTCCGAAACAAAAAATTGAACAAAAAACGTCGTTTATTCTCAAATATATATATATATATGTTCCTCTAATTCTTAAATAGCATTTAACGGAAAGATATATATATATATATATTTTTATACACGTAATTGAAAATTGAAGAAGAACTTTAACGTGGCGTTTGTGGTACCTGCAAATTTAATTCTCTTTTTACCCAGCGTTTCCTCTAATCCTAAAAATCAAGCGACTAGGAGGGAACGAAAAATTTGTTTCTATAGTTAGAGGGTTCTATATGAACTTTACGGAGCTTCAACTTTGACGTTTGCAGTAAGCGTCATTCAAAAAATAAAAATTCATTGTGTCACTCGACCCTTTCATTTTTCCAAGTCTAGAATCGCCGTTTGAAGAAAACCTTGTAAGGTTTGGGCTTCAGTCCCATGCCAATCGTCCCTTCTAGAGAGGGGTAGGGATAGTTGGGGAGGTTTTCAATCTTGAACTGGTGCAATAGCTGAGAAACAAACAGGAACAACTCCGCTTTTGCCATCAGCTCACCCAAGCACACTCGCCTACCAGCTGAGAACGGCAGATAACTCAAAGATGCAGGATTCAATACATTGCCATTGTTGTCCAAGAACCTGTTGGGGTCAAACTTGGTAGGGCTCTCCCAGTACTTAGGATCATGGTGAATGGCCCATAAATTGACTATCAATGTGGTGTCCTTGGGGATGTTGTACCCGTTTAAGGTGGTGTCCACTAGCGCCTTATGAGGGAGCCCCAGTGGAGCCGGTGGCCTGAGACGTAGTACCTCGGCTAAGGTCGCTTCCAAGTAAGGGAGGTTCTTCTTGTCCGTGAGACTGGGGAGACGCTTGCGGCCAATCACTTCGTCGAGCTCACGATGCACCTTCTCCTGAACCTCAGGGTGGTTGTTGAGGAGAAGCAGCACCCAGAGAAGTGTGGAAGTTAGTGACTCTGATCCGGCAGCAAACATGTCGGCCATGCTCATGAGCATGTGGTCTTCTGAAATCAGGGAGTTGATCTTGTTGTCAGCTTGTTCGTTGTCTTTTATGACTTTGATGAGTGCGTCTGTAAAGCCTCTGATTTTTCCTGGCTCGTAGGTCTCCAGCTGCTCCTTGTACTTCTTAAGAAGGATCCTGTCTCTTTCTTGAACCGACCTCTTTAGTCGACGGATGTTGTTTGAGTCGAATGGCAATTGTTTAAGTGCAGGGAATATGTCCACTAAATTTCCAAGACCCAGTGTCTCTGCAAAGGTGTCGTTGAGTTCGACAACGGTGCTAAACTCCGGATCGTAGTCGCTGTATCGTGAACCAAAGGTCAACGCACAAATTATGTTTAGAACTCCTACACTAATACTCTGACTTGGATTGTGCGGTTTCCCATCATTGAGATCAAACTGTCGAAAAACTTCTTCGATCTCTCTGCAAATGATCCTTTCTAGTTTCTCCATTCCTGCACTACACAGCTTGAGTGCTCCTTGTGCAATCTTCCTTTGCAGTTTCCAGGCGGGAGAGAAATTTCCGAAGCTGATTGCGTTTCCGTTATGGGAATAGATATCACCAGAATGCACACTGGGTCTGCCTGCAAAGTCATTAACGTTTCTTAAAAGGGCAGTTTTGGCAGTGGTGATATCACTGACAACAACCGCTCGTTGACTTCCCAAGAAGATCTGGAAAACACTACCGTACTTTTGGCCGAGTTTGGTCAGGCTGTGGAGTGGAACAGTTCCTAAGTTATAAAGGTTTCCAATGATCGGCAGAGTAGCAGGTCCGGGAGGATAATTCATGGCTTTGTTTACCCAGCTCTGAATTGTGCAGTAGAGGAGCACAACAGCGATCACGAAAACTAATCCCTCGGTAAACATATCACCGCTAAACAGAGGACGATCGAACGACTATTGAGCAAAATCTGGTGATGTTTTTGAAGGCTTCGTTTCAAGGACGATAACCTGAGTTATCGTAGTATTGATGCTTCGGCTTTTCTCTTTATACGTATGCAAATTTTCTTTATCAGTTAAGGGTCGCTGTTTTTTTAACCCGGTTTTTTTTGTCGCTCTTGAGCTATTTTAGGGCGATTTGGTTAAGAACAGTGGGTTCGATTTAATTTGTATCCGGCTTTGGCGGAAAATTATGTCATTTGAAGATTTATTGTGTCAAGTGTCTGTGTCCGCTCAATAGTTGAATTGCTCCTCAGTCAGTTGTCTTACTGTGATAATTTGCACAGTGCCTAGGTCTCGTAAGCGTCTAACCTGCCCAATGACATGCAAAAGAGGCATTCTTGTTATGCTAACAAAGTGTCACGCTGCTTGCCTCGTTTGCATGACCATAAGAATACTTGAGACCAAACAATCAGGAAGAGAGAATGAAGCTGTTCCTCTCATGTTAACAAGTCGTTAATAGTGAGAAGGACTGTCTTTCCGTTTCGCTATGACTCGGCCAAAGTGCATTGTTTCAACCGATGCGATACTATATTCAACGCTTTTCATTGATATCTTGTGATTTTGATTCAGTATAAAGGTTTTCGAAAACTTGTTAATCAATCTTTAGTTGATCATTCTTCGGTTCTTTGAAGCTCACATTTTTTACGCTTGTTTTCCTAAGGAAAAAAAAACTGTTTTTTAAATCTACGTGGCCGATAATGGTAAATTTAATAATTTTTCCCGAGTGAGGAATTTTAAATTCCTGATCACCCTAGAAGAGCGTTTTCGTAACATTTGTCATCCTTTGTAACATTTAGCGGTCTCAGCGGACTTGTTCTCTTGGTTTTATTATTATTGATGATATGTTGTAGAGGGTCTCCCTTTTCGTTAAAATATTCCTAAGAGGAGTTTCAGTAGGCCTTCACGCCATTTGCGTTACTGACAATATGGGACAAGAAACACCATGCTGGCTAGTCTTATGCGCATTAGGGCATGACTAAAAATGTATTTAAATTAAGCTTTTTTGCTTCAATTGCCGTACGTGCAAATTTTCTCCTCAGCAGTATGCTGCGAGTATCGTTGACTTTAGGGAGCCCCTTACAGAAGTAACTACTCGTATATTTGCCGTGAACGGAATCCTCCTTTAACAGAACCCTCCTTTAGCGCAATAGTCGGAAGAAATATTTTGTGTTTGTAAGGAAAATTTGACCTAAAAGAGGGAACCTTTTTTGTAGAGCACTTGAGGAATCCTCAAGCTATGTACCAGAAGTTTATGTTTCATTTTTTTTACAAAAGGTTAAATTGAAACATAAGCTTTTCATTTTACGAATATTCTCTTGAACATAAGCTGTTTGTCTGGTGACATTTATCTTTGTCTAAACGTATCGAGGTCGGATATTGTAGGCTATGTCTTTTTGATATTGCAGCTCAGGCCCAGTGCTGGGCAAAATCAGGGCTTAATTGGTGAAATTTTATTTAGCTCATACATTCAAGCGGTAAGCTGATATTGTTGTTAGTTCTTTTAGTCATACGTTTTTGTGTGGAGAAAATATCGCCAAAAGACCTCCAAGAAGTAAATCAGGCTTGTTTGCGTAATGATATCAGTTGGGAATGTTATTAAGTAAAGTTCCAAGTTAACAATGCAAAGTGCACTCTAATGAAAACGCTTAGAAGTGGTGCTCTCAGAAGGCGGAAACTTCCCCAGACACCTTTGACAAAAAAAAAATAAGTCGACTTTGAAGAACATATTTTAATGTAATTGAAAGCCTCGAGTGACGGAGAAACATTTGCTAAATCATTAAATTTCGGACTAAATTTAAATTTTGGATAGCACTAATATTTTTTATAAGATACGCTCGTGTTTCCAAAAAACGGGCATCTAAAATATTCGCAGTATTCTCGATACAGTTTAACAGACACCTTTTTTTTCTTGGAGGCGATGTGGTTCTTTTTAAAGTTATCCAGTCAAAGATAGCAAGCCTGTGTGCAAAGTATATTGCTTTGCTTACAATAAAAAACATTTGTATCAAAAGATTAGATAAAAAGCTGATTGATTCATCGAGTCGCGGATAATCTTTCATCAAGTTTATTTATTTTCACCGTCATTTTTTCTTCCTTTGTTACATTTGTGATAGGAAGCTACAGTTTCAAAGCCATAACAGCTTGAACTTCTGCGAACTTATTCAAATGAACGCTTTTTTAATTGAGCTACAGTGATATTATTTATTTACAGGATGTATTATGTAATTCCTTATCTTATACAGAGACAAGTAACATTTCTAATTGTAGTGGAGGAGATTTCCTAAGGAGGACATTTTTGCAACTTGATAATTAATATTTTTCTCTACCTGCCCTGACAATTTTTTTACTGTGACACTTAAACGTCAGTAAATTTCTTTATTAATTGCTTTTCCATTTATTTTAAAGTATTTTAGAAAATAATAATTTTAAAAACATTTTAGCGCAAGTATCGTGGGAGTCTTCGTTGGTGCTTTTGCTATTGTACTGTAAGGATCAACTTGCTGTATCTGCATATCTGGCTCTTTGACGTTGTTTAACATATGAATGTACCTCAGTTCTATTTCAAATCTGGTTTTTTATTCCTTTACCATTCATTTATTAATATATTTAATCATTTGCTTTCAATACAAACTATCTCACACCATTTTCTATGCTGGTAAAAGCAGGACGGCGCTACTTACTAAACTACCACAAATAGAAACACTTCAAAAACACAAGTTCCAGAGACAACAAAACATTCGTTGACGTGTACTATGTGTGCTTGTCAAATGTTAACATTAAATTCTTGCTGATGTGATATCGGGGACAGAGGAACTTAAGTTGAATAATAAGATTAATTCTGATCAAAGTATTTACAATCCTATTGTTCTGAGTTTGCTACCAAAGCACGCATCGTTTGCTTTCAATTTTACAGAAATTAAAATTACCTCTTTACATCTCTGAGAATGTAATTTGGTCCCTAGTTCATTATCCCTTCGGCTCCACGGCTCGTTTGCTGATTCACGTGTCTTTTTGGGAAAGAGAAAGACGCATGGCTTTCGTAGACTGACTTAGTATGTTTAAATCTCTTTATCGTCAACTTTTATCATTTGACATTTTAAACTTCATACCTGAGCGAAACGGGCAAAAAATTTTGATTGATACACGTCATAAACTACTCGTACAATTAAGAGTCAAAAAGACCAGTGATGATTTTACTGTTTTAAAAATTTAAGTGTGGAACCAAATACTGATCGTTTATTAAATGATCAAATGGCCAGCACAAGATTGAGACTTTATTTCTCAAAGCACTCGTGATTCAGCTTCACTAACACTTTGACTTGACACGCATGTTTTTTTTTTTTTTTCTTTTCAGGGAAGCGTCCGTTCCTGGAGAGACTGCGGGCTCAGGAAGAGAAAGATGAGGTAATGCAAGCATTAGAGGAGTACCGGAAGCCAAGAGATGCGCTGTTGATACTTGTGTCAGACTTCATCCGAATTTGTGCGCCACGACTTGAGGAGCTGGAGACGGCTTCACTTCCACCAAGATACACTGTCCCAGAGTTACTTCAAAGCATCAGTATCAATGTAAGATTGAAAATGATTTGTTTTATATTTACGAGTTATTAATTTTTTTAACGTTGAGAGACAATTGCTTTGAATGATCGTGAGACAGGTTTGAATCGCGATTTTTAAGAACACGAGGAAACAATTCTTATGCTTTTCACGTCTTCGTCAGTTATAAGGTAATTTGTCAAAAAAAAAACAGTTTCAACTTACAGCAACCTAGAGAAGCGGGCTTAATAAGTAATGGTAAAAGGACTGGGTGGAGTCCAATTCGGTCGGTAATCATACGAGTGAAAACATAATCGGACGACCGCCCAACGGGAGTCCGATCAGTTTATCACGAGTATGATTACAGACCCAGTTGGACGACGCAAAGTCTTATTACCAATTAATCGTAAAAATTACAATTTCCGGGAAAGGAAGAATAGCCAAGTTATGAAAGAAAGGGAAAATTTGCATTCAAAGACTGACAAAGGAGGCGTAAATTGTTTAATGGTTGATTTCAACTACAACTTTGAATGTGATTGGTTCACTCAACTGTCCGATAATCCGATAACAACTTACCAAGTGAATTAGTGTAAAAATAGGAGTTTTTTTAAATAAGGTCACAATCGAGATAACATCATGAAACAAATAGATGCAACGAAAATAAAATGGGTAGAAAAAATATTAAAATGTAAGGTTAACTTGTCAAGTGATTCACTGATAAGCTTGGAGTGAATGAGACTGACAGAAGATGTTCTGTAATGCTTCTGTCCATTTGTTGATTTTTGTAACTGTAAATGCGTTTTCCAAAATCAAACTTATATTACTTGGTTAAATTTAATTTGATTATTCTCTCTTGCCAGACCCTCGCACAGATTGTCTACTCTTTGTTGAAGCTGGCAGTTTACGACCACGTGACCCTGTCTTGTCTTGGAGTGAAACGGTAATGTCCTACCAATGCGTACGTGAATTTTTTTTGTGTGTGGGTGGGGTGGGGGGTGCCTTTCTTAAATCTCCTCATCTTGCATTTTTTCAGGTGAGGTCTGCTTGCTAGTGGTGAATATTGCATACTGCCTTAAGTCCCGCAGTATTTTTTTCTTTACTGTTATTTTATTCTTGAAATACATGGAACATTTCAGGTACATGACAGATGCCTTACCGCTTTTGAAAGGTTCTCCAGAAGCCCTGGAAGCTTCGATGTTACTCATTCTTAAGAGAGTCGACAAAATGTTCGAGAAGCTAGTCAACAAGCCTGACCTGATGGTAAGATTGCCAGTCACTGTGGATCATATTAGAGACCTTAAGATACCCCGATCCGTTAGACGGCTACGGGTGAATTAACGATAGCCGCACTCGTGAAATGTGGCGGGAAGATCAACTTAAGTTACCCGGAATAAGTCTGAGAAGACTGAAAACAACTTCTTGACTTTTGGTAAACATGGTGGCTTTTTGGCCAGATACACTTGATGCGGTTCACATAAATGTTTGGTACAATATTGTCTGCTAAAAGAATTTTTCGACTTCGAACAAGTCTCCGTCATTCACCTCCAATGACCAATCAGCTGGTTTTCGGAAAAGGTTTCTTTTTAATTAGACTTAATTTGGTACAACACAAATTAAGCATCACAAATTAACTCACACTTAAGCTCATTTTGATTTTATACTTTTCTGAACGTCGTTTGCTGGTCTTCTCGGCTTCCCCGTCTTCACCACAAGTAACCACTCGTAAAGTGCCATCTACCCCGGATAAACGGCTAGGTTACCCGGTCGTGTGATGATGTCATTACCAAATACGGTCAAACATGGCGCCCAACCCGTAAACCGCACACCGAAGTTGGGTATCTTAAGCTCCCTCTTATCCTAAAGAGACGCTTCTTTTACTCCTAATTCTTTTCTTATTTTTGCAGAGGTGCATCGACTGGAAATCTCTGGAGGTTTATCTTAAAGGTAGACTTATGTATTTTAACTCCACTTCCACTTGAGGAGCAGTTGCCCTCGATTGTTTGTTTATTAGCTTATGTGAAAGCCTTCTCTGTCGAGATTTGAACTGGAAATCTTTTAGAGGTGCTGTAATATTTGGGAACCCTGCTGTTAATAGTTTAATGAAACACCCTCTCTATAAAGACCATCTTTAATGTATTCCCCCTCATCTTGATTTCAAAGTTCACATAAAGCTCCCGTCTCAAATGATTTCCCCGTCTAACACTTCAAGGAACAAGTGAGCCCCCTCTTGAATGAGTTCCCCGTATGATCAAAATTTTCTGATTACCTCCCCCCTTCAATAATATCTCCACCGTATAGAGCTTTCTCATTAGCTTCCTTCTGTAATCTCTGGAGTTTGTAATCAGCCTCCCCTCCCGCTCTTCCGAACCCCCCCCCCTTTCCTCTCCACCAATCCAGAGCTAACAAAGCTTTTCAGCTTTCTAACCCTAATTCTAGACGAAAATGAAGTCTTCCACTTTAGCCCCAGTAAGTGCCTCATAGCTTTGCCCTCTCCGTAGCCCTTTGTAAGGAGTCGCTGGCGCCGGTCGCAAAGTATATCTCCCCTCCCCCCTTCCTCCTCCACTACCTAGGACTTATCTGAGTGTGTACGACATTTGAAGACATGAAGGTTTTCCGTTGTTTCTTTCATCTTTTTGCAGGACTTTATATGACGCTTTGTAAAAGGCCATCAATAGCAAATTCCCCGTATTTAAAGGTAAACTGTGTGATAAATATTCAATTTTCTCGCCAATTATTTTTCTCTTTATTCAATGCCACATTTTCTTTCGTTTGAAAAGCACAAGCATGATCTCCCAGTGCATTGCCCTGACTCGCCACCGGCTCACTACTTTCTTGTGAAGGCTGTCACACAGATGTGCACGATGCTGCACTTCGTCTTCGTGTTTCACAACGAGTTTGTGTCTCTCGCTTTCGGAAAAAATCTCAAAGTGCGTTTTATCATCGCGATATCATCTCCTTTCCATCCTCCTCATTTCCTTATGTTTTTACTGAGTCATTACCCTCAAGTTTACTCCCAAACATGGTTCATTAAGGCCTCACTGTTACCCCTTAATTATCCTCCCGTAGACTCTGGTAAACATCTGTACTAGTCTCATCCTCCAAGAACGCGCCGCTGCCGCCGTGTCCGTCGCCGCCAATCTACCATTCGCACCAATTTTGTCTCCGCCCACTTTTTTCGCGGACACCGTCATCAAACTAGCGTCGCGTCTGATGCACGTACTGAGGGAGCATTGTTCACTGAGAGAGTTGTGTGGAAACTCGATTGACCTGGGTGGAGCCAGCAGAAAAGAAAAGGTGTTTTTACGCCTGATGTTACCGATATTTATCAGACTTGGGTCGGGGCGTCCAGGTAAGATTGTCAAAGAAGGAATTGTTTCTTGGTGCTGCGGCATTGCTTCCATCAGGATGAAACTATTCGTGAGATATTGGTTACATGCCCTATGAATAAAGCGTCTTTGTAGGGATTTTAGACGAGCTCAGAAAAGCGAATCCTCTGCTGTTTAAAGTACACGTTACAATATGCTGATTACAGTGAAATCTAAAATAATACTGTTGTCATTGAGAATGATCAAAGGAGAGTTGTTGTTCTTGAATTTTGTAACACTAAAATTCGATTTATTAATGGTTTATCAATTCTTCAATCGATTCGAAAGGGGTTTTTGGAAAGGTGAGATTGGCTTACATCTGACAAATGACTTGACTTGTGCTCATTTCAGATGCTCCAAAGGCGTCCTTCGAAGACGTCTCCTATGCGCTGAGTTGTTTCTTGTTAACAGTGGTTACGAAGAACCCATCCACTCCCGGGACTGGTCCAGTGCGGCTCTCATTTGTCGATGAAGACCTGGAATTACCACGTTCCCTGACGTTTGCAACACCTCACGAATCAACTACATCATCTGAGGAGATTTCAGAAAGTTTGTACTGTGCAGCTTATCTTGGTAAGAAGCTTTCTGTCTGTTTGTGATTTGTGGAATATAGATTTATGCTTTGAAGGTTCGGCCAGAATCCTATGTATGGGAATAGGCAAACTAGTTTTCTAGGCCTGAGTAAACTATGAAAAGAGATCAAGTCTTAAAGCATGTAGCGAAATTAGAGCGGAACGTCACGTTCATTTACTTGGCCCCGGTTTTTCAAAGGGTGGATAAGCTATCCACTGGATAAATTTCCATACTGTAGATAGTGCAGTACGTATTTTTCTATACTTATCCGCCGGATAGCGATTTATCCGTTGGATAGCGTTATTCGGACTATGAACAATCGGGCCTTGGCCTGATCGTTTCCTTTAGTGATCAGAGAATTTTTGATTTTTGGAAAATCCTCGTCACTTCTCCTCTAACTAGAACGTGTAATACTAGTCGTAAACTTTGGTCGGAAAACAGGATATCACAGCTCGTAAAAAAGTCCAGAAAAAGACTAAAATTTGGCATGAATTATCATATTATTTGTGCTATGTAAAGGAAAAATAGTGTTCCTATCCCTTCTGTGCGCAGTATTACTGTGGAACTATGTTTTTTTTGCAAATATTCAATCTCATTTGAATTTTCAGGACTAAAGGTACTGATGGTCTGCTGTGAGGATCGTCTGGCCACTGAATGGTACAGAATATATCAGGCCATGGAAACTATAGTGGCGGGGCAGATAAGTAAGAATTCGCATCATATCTGAACTTTTTTGATAACAAAAAAACTTTGATGCGCCATAATTAAAAGATAATTAGTCCTTGCTCTCCTTAAAGTTCTCTCAGGGGATTGCTCTTTACGGAAAAAGATTTCTTGGGTATACCACGTTTCCACGAATAAGCGCATAGGCTCTTAGTTATAATTTCAGCTAAAAAGGGCGCGTATTGGAAAGAGGGGCGCGTAATCGAGGGGACGCTCATCAAAAAATTATTAATCTGCACCGATTCCTTTGTTTACAAAATGGCAATAGAAACAGATTCCCCTAGCATTCCTACAATAGAAGAAAGTGAAGTAGGAAGGGGGAGGCGGTTGTTCGATATTATGGTCAAGTGGGTGGGCGGAGGGTGCGTATTAGAGCGTGGGCGCTTATTCGAGAAAAAACGGTATTCACAAGGCTATCTTGACTATATTCATAAATATATAGTTTTATCCACTCATAAAAAAACCTAGAAATAGTTTAGTTTCAGTTTTGTTCGGGCAAAGTAGAGATCTAAAGGTTTTGGTACTCATCACTCTCCTATGTTCATATTTGGCGAGATATGCCTAAGGGATGCCAATGGTTGGCTTAAGGTATGCATGTACGAAGATTGAAGATGCTGCCGGAATTGAATAAGGTCCAGTTGCATGGTTTGCGAGCTAGTATTGTATGCAGGCTTCACTTTTACCGGACAGAAACCTGGACTGACTCGACCGGAAGTGGGCTGCTTCTTATGGCAGTCAAAGATGAAGCCACCCGGCGTAACTACCTTCTCACGACGTGAGCGGAATTCTAACTTCGTATAACTTGCTAGGCCTACACGCCGCTTAACAAAAGTTTCTTTTTCATCTTTATAGCTAATGTAGGTTTTTGGGACTTCATGAATTTCTGCGTGTCATACCGGACTCCACTCTTCTTGTTGATTTGCCCGCTCATTAGAACAAAGGTATGTCATGTCCCTAACAGTAGTCAATACAGATATATGTTGGATGTTGTGCTAGTTAATTTTCACTGACCCCCTCGATTTTCCCTCCATTTCTCATCTGATTCATCGTCTCTAAAATTTACGTGATGCAGGTCTCTCATCTCCGTCCCAAAAACAAAACTGTACGTGCTCTCAAGCAAAGAGTGTTGACCAAGATATCACGCCCACCTCTGGTCGTGAGCTCTCGCAATGCTCTCATCACCCGCTTCCTTGAGGAACTATCTTTCATCAAACAGAAGCGCCCAGCGGCAGGCTTTCAAGATGTTGAGGAAGGCGAAGAAGAAGACGTGCAGAAAGAAGAAAAGAAGCCGCTGGTACTACAGGCTCCCCCTCTAGGCAGAGAACGCTCCTCCAGTGCACCGGAGGAACCAGCTACTGATTCTAAGGACGTGAAACTCCCGCCCCCACTTACACGCTCTGTTAGCCTGAAAGCGAAAAAAACTGTGTCATTTTCGCCATCCCCAAGCTTTGAAGATGATCGAGGATCTGCAGCTTCATCTCTCGGCGATGTTCGCAGCGGGAAAGAAAAAAGGAAAAAGTGGCTTTTACGTAAACAGGAAACAGTTGAAGAACAAGATGGTCACAATGAAAAGGATCTCATGGATACTAATACAAGCCAAGGCCCTTTTGCGCACCAACGTGGTACTACCATGAGGCCTGGAAAGGTGCACACAGGAAGAGGGCCCCGAAGGCGCTTTGAAAAACTGCGAGCTGTAACATCAGAAAGGAAATCATCGAACCCATCGGCTGAGGTGGAAACTAAAATCGAGAGCCCAACCAGCGGAATTGTGGAGAGCCAAGGCGAGAGATTTGAAATGAGGTTTTTCGAGACAGATATTTTGGTCACTGACTCTAAGATGGAAGCAGCCCCTGAAAGCAAACGCTCTCGAGCGTCGCTGACGCCCCCGATAGCGAAACCCGAGTCTGTGACGATTACGCTGTCTCCTGACGGTTCACCGTCTGGACAGTCTCCAGCCAGTGAGATGAAGCATCCGTATCCAGACATTTTGGAGTCCTTACCACCATTGTCTCCCATTCCTCCTGTAAAATTCAGCTCACAATCGGGTGAGAAGCACGATTCTGAGAGCGCAAGGAATGGAACGATTGCGCCCGAAAGCAACCTTGCAGCGGATTACGACGTAGAGCGTGCACAGCGGCTGAACAAGACTCGCTGGTGGAACAAAGTTTATTCCAATGTTGAAATAATTTCCACTGATGAAGACAGTCAACGGTTTCAAAGTTTTGAAATTTCTCTATCAGAAGTATCTGAAGTGCAAAGGGAGACGAACGTATGACTTACGAAAACTAGTGTCAGCATGTGTAAAGAATATGACGTGAACCACTTCTTCCTGTTGACGGCAAATCATCTTGGGGCTGGCATAGATGAATTTATTATTCCACCATTACTCCATTTCACCGTATTAGGGCGGTGGAACACGAAAAATACGCCGCGGTATTTCTGTAAGACAGGATAAAAAACGGACGGAAAGCAAGCAATAAAATAACGGCATTAAAATACTTAAACTTTCTTTTTTTTTTCCTTTTGGTTGCCATGACTTTTTTTAGCAACGAATTGATTAACCAGTCCTATTTTTTCTGTTGATTCTGTGGATACTAAAGAACCCTTAAATTGTTTCCTTTCTGTTGTTTTCGTTTTTCGCGTACGCCTTATGTGATTGATACGATCCTCAAATAAGGCCAAAAAAAAGTATTTCCAAAACTAGAAGCCAGGCTACTGCTCAGTTCATCCTTTGTGAAAATCAGGAAACAGATAGGAAATTTTCCCTTTTATTACAAGATGTTTTGCCGCAGGATTTATTTCGACGACAACCAGGCAAGCCCAAACCAACTTTAAAAGGTTACCGAAATCAATACTTAATGCGAACGTCTTGTAGAACTACTCGATATATTTCTTTTTCATTAACTGTAGTTTTAAAGAAAGAAAGGTGTTTACGTATTGTTAATAATATTAGCCTAGTGTACACAGGAAACACAGATAAGTAATTCAAACAAGTTCAGGGTATTGTTGCCTTCTTCATGGTTAAACGGCGACCGCTTTCCTCTTGAGCTGTCGCCCCTTGAGGTTGATATCGTTCCCGCGTCCAAAGGACAAACTCCTGAAAGACGATCACTCCATTGCCGTTGTTGTCCATTTTGTCGAAGAGCTCTCTTATGTGAACGTCATGCATTGGTGCGTTTAATTTTTTCATTCCTACCACGAAGTCCTCTTTACTGAGCTTGAGACCATCGCGGTCTTTTGACAAAATTTTGAACAGGTCGATCAAACGAAGCCCTTTCGTGCGAATGAAGGCCAAGTACACGTCCAGGATCTCAGGTCGCTTGGTTTGATCTGAGAGTCGTTCTCCTGTTATACTGATATCCCAGGAACAGGTGAACAATGGCCTTCTCTCAAGGAGAGCTTCGAGTTCACGTGCACACTCCTTATCAAACACGATATCATCGAGTTGAAGCTCTTTTAAGGCGCTGGATGTGTTCTTTTGAATGGCCATCAACAGGACGCGTGCGCCGTAACTTTGGAAAGGATTTCGTCCAGCTTTTAGAACCTCCAAGCTTTTGTTTGTCCTTAAGAATTTGGCTATGGCCGCAACACCATTCTTAGTGATGCAGTTACTTCCAATATCCAGGACTTTGAGCGTCTGGTTACACGACAGTGCCTCTTGAATAGCAGTAACGCCGTCGTCTAGAAGACCATTCCAAGCAATGTTTACCTCCTTAAGGCGAGTATTACTTTTCAAACCCTCGGCCAATGCTCGAGCCCCTTGAACACGAATGCTATTCCAACTGACGTCTAACATATCAAGAACCGCGTTGACTTTGATGGCTGAACCCAGAAAGGTGGCTCCTTTATCACCGATGTCGTTGTATGATAAATTCAAGTAGGTCAATGGTGCATCTAACCTTAAAGAGTTGCAAAACACTGCAATCCTTTTACCTTGCAAGTTGCACTTGCTGACGTTTAGTTCCTTCAGTGTGTCGTTCTGAAGAAGCATGTCTCCGAGTTCGTCTGCAGCTTGCTGGCCGATGTGGTTTCCCGACAAATCGACTTTGCTGATAAAAAGGTTCCTCTTCAACATTCTTGCAATGTATGTCACTCCTTTGTCGCTGATGCCGTTGTCATGGAGATTTAAGGTAGTTACATTTAAACATCCTTTCAACGCCATACTAATAGCTCGTGAGCCAGAATCTCCAAGGCCATAATGGTTTAATTCGATATCCTTCGCCACACACTGCTTAAGAAACTTAGATGAAGGCACAATGTTATTACTCTTGCAGGCCTCAAGGTAAACTTCCTGTGTTGAACGTGAGAGGTTGACGAGGTCCTCCCCTTCGTTCTCTTCGTCGGGGCTTTCGTCTTCCAAGTCCGTGTCGTAAAACTCGTCTTCTTCCATAGTTCAACTTCTAGTTCATGGAAAGGTTATGGGGTTTTTTGTCCTTTGTGACTGGATTCACTTGGCATCATTACTCCTCTGTAAGCTTAGTATTTCATTCGTCTATCGGCAGACTGACCTTGTCTTCGCTGTTTTCCTGCTTCCATACAGTGAAAAAAAAAAAGAGATATCTACCCTGGGCTAACGAATGTATTTCAAGATACTTACAACGTGTATTTTCAGCCTCAGATAGATTTGACTGAGGTACGTGTTAGTGTTGAGTTTCCCTCGAAAAGGCCCCAGTACAAGACAAGCAATCAAATATAAGATTATCAATCTCCTTTCGTTTTGTTTCTACAATTATGTAACATAGGTTTACTTAGCGGCGTTGACAAATTACTTAGTCACAGGGCTTCTAGTAACATAGGATTTATTTTGACAGTGTCTGTAGACTTCGATTGGAGAACACCATATTTAATGAGTACATATTAGCCTGAAGCTTGCTGAGTTATTCACCACTCAAAAATAAAACACTCGTTAGAGACTTCTTTTAATTATTGTATGAAGGACTATGTCATCAATGATAATACAGACATCAATATAATTACTTTAACCTTGCAGTATTTCCCTGCGTGGGGTCTTGTTGAGGCAAAAGGTTTGAAACAAAGCTGCTAAATAATTCACTTTGTTTCTGTTTCTGAGATAAAGAGAGGTGGAGATGTTTATATACTAAATGTTTACATGAGACAAAAACTTGTCTTTGATAAAAAAAAAAAAATCAAGGTTTCCGGAACCTTCTGTGCGTAAAATATCTTACAATATTGGAATTTGAATTACTTAGGAAACCTCTTTATTATGTAGAAGAACTATTTGTTTAATAACTGAGAAATTGATCAATTAGTTAAACTCGTTTCGCTGTAGTCTCGAACAAGATACATTTGTATGATTTGGTGCACAGTGATCAAAGAAAAATTTCATGACTCGATTTTCCGTTTCATGGAAAACTTCAAAGAATGTAAATTTTTGGACTGAATTTATTTATATATTTATATGGTCAGTGGAATGCTTGGGAAACGAGGGGTTTTAAAACGAAAGAAAATTTTTTTTTAGAATTATTTTCGTTATGGATTTCCTTCGGAAACTTTTATCATTTCTGTTTTATCTAGTTTATGTAATTCGCGGCCAATACTTTTCTACTCTGCAGCTGACTGCACCAATGAGACAATGTCATATAATAGTGAGGAAATTAAGCTTCTTTTTCGACAATTCCGGCCAAAATTTTGGCGGCGAAGAGTTTCTGCACAGGGAATCTTTTAGTTTCCATCGGTTTTTGTCTGTTGTTTCATTGCCACAAACTCTTGAAACCTAACCACGCCATCGTCATCTGCGTCGAGAATGTCAAACAGCTCGTCAAGTTGAACTCTCTTGAGATGAACGCCCAGCTTTTGTAAACCTTGCACGAACCTTTCTCTATCCACAGTCATCCGAAGCGCGCTGAAATCGTTCCTGGTGATAATCCTAAAGAGATCGATCAGCCTCCAACCTCGTTTGCTAACAAAAGACAAAAACTTTTGCACCACAAGGGGCGTTTTAGGAGCGTTTTTCCTGAGAGACACTGGCATTTCGAGCACAGTGCCTCCACCTTTGACGACCGTTCCCCACTGACAGATAAATCCCGGCCGCTCATTGACCAGTGACTGAAGTTCTTGCACACACGTTTGGTCAAGCGTGGTGTCTTCCATGTCTAAATGCATCAACGCACTTGAAGTGTTTTTACGAATTTCTTTGAGGAGTTTCTGAACACCGTAATCATGGAACAGATTTCTTCCAATTTTCAGCGTGTGAAGGCTTTTATTACAAGACAGACCCTCAGATATTGCCTCGGCGCCTATCTCATTAAATCCACAGTTACTGACGTCGATAACCAGCAACGACCTGTTGACAGCGAGAACCTCACCAATTTCAGTTGCTCCTTCATTAGAAATGCTGTTACGAGAGATGTCAAGTTGCTGCAAAACTGTGTTCGTCTTGAGCCCTTTTGCTATACCTGCAACACCTCGTAGATGAATCGCATTCCAGCTGAGGTCCAAAATCTCAAGCGTGCCATTAGAAATCAAAAACCAGCCCAGTTTAATAGCGCCTTCGTCTCCCAGTTCGTTGCCTTTCAGATTCAAAATTCTGAGACGAATTCTCCCACCTTGAAGAAGTTTGGGAATACCTTTCTCTTGCAAGCCGCAGTATCCCAATCCTAGATTGACAAGACAGTCGTTTTCATTCAACATTTCACCAAAACACTCGATACCTTTAGTTCCGATTCGATTTTCTGATACGTCAAGCTGTGAGACAAAGCAGTTGTCCTTAAGCATCAGTGCCAAAGCTTCAGCTCCGATAGTGGATATACCGTTGTCGGCAAGGTTTAATTTCTTTACTGTCATGTTTCGTGCCAGTGCCGATGAAACCGCAATGGCTCCCTTATCTCCAATACCATAATGCTGCAGATCCACTGATTCGGAGCGGAGCTCCCTTAAAAATCTCGAAACTGGTGCAATATCTAAGTTTTGGCACGTTTGAAAATAAATTTCCTCTTGTGTTTTATAGAAATCTTTTTCCTCCGTAAAGTTCTCTTCAAGGTCTGTGTCGTATTCCTCGCTATCGCTATCGTTTGTATCCTTGCTTTTCAAATGAACTTTGTTTTGTGTTCTGCTCAAATTTTTTGTTATTTCTTCCGCTTTACTGTAATCCATTCTGCTTCTTACAACGGAGAAAATTGTCTTTGTTTCATGTGTGAAATTTCACAGGACAGATGAAATAACCACTTTTAATTTTACCGCACCTGCGTTTCCAAATTTCATCCTTTGCGCAGTGCTATGGAAAGAATTTCTCGCTTTTCACGAAATAATATTTAAAACCCGTTGTACATAATAGAATATTAATAATTAAACGATCCCACCATCATAGTTTGCTAATTACTTGCAATTATTAAGCGTTTTTGTAGGAAATAATTACTTTGAAAGACTGAGAACAGTCAAAACCCTATTCTCCACTCGTTTACTTTGTCGGCAGCCCGAAATTCTGTTAGGCTCAGCCATAATAGACATTTAGAGCGAAAAAAAGTTGTTGATTTATCTCACAAGACGAAGTCAGTGCGAAGGGTCTTTGCCACAGCTTTAGTATGTTGAACAATTTAGCCTCAATTTTTTTTTGTGTTTTCATTTTTTTTGTTTTATTTTCTTTTGAAATCTGAATCAATCTTCTCTCAATATAACAATTATCTTTTTCCCTTTGGTTCATTCCTACCCCTTTGCTGTATGTACATCTCAGTAAACTATATTTACTTCTTGACATAAGTAGTAATTTCGTGATTTCAAATTCAATCACGCGAGAGTGCCTCGTATTCCCACGCTTTTTGCCGCTGCCAAAACCTAAAACATTGAATTTTCACCTGCTTTCTAGCATCTTTTTTCACTTTTCAGTCAACTTTTTCATTAATTAGTGTCATGCTTTTAGTGATCCTTTTTCGCGTGATGCCTTTTTTTTTATCAAAGGAAGACTCTGAGAAAACCGGACGAAGTAGGTATTTTTTTCGAGGTATAGGGCAGGGTGGGGTGGGATGGGAGAAATGGTTTCTTTTCAGTTATGCTTGTAGACTCGTTGTCAACTCAACGAGTAATCCCAGAACTCCTTGCTCACATGTAAAGTATGACATATTGCAGTGCGCTGGATGACAGAAAGCTAAAGCTCCTGTACTTCAGAATTATGTTTGTACTGTCTGTGAAAGTTTCAGGAGTACCTCTGTAAACATAACCTTAAGAATGGCCAGCAGGTATAATTGCAACAGCCCTTCTCCGTCGAGCGAGCGAGGAAACAAATAAAACAAAACAAAGAAAGCTATATTGCGTCACGTGAAAACGAGACGTAAGCACCAGTATCCAGTTGAAAGACCATTCACGACGATCGGAATAAAAACGCTTGGCGATTGAACCTTTTCCGACGCATCCGCCAAGATTTGGAACAGTCTCTCGCAATCATTAAAATCACAGCAACATTTCAACACTTTTAAGACATTGCTTAAAACTCTCTATTTTAGAGAAGTTTTTAATTTATAATTTCTTTTTAGTGTTTCATATTGTATACATCCTCGCATTTAAATAGGTAACAGTAATTTCGTATTCAATTTTAATATGTAAAGCGCAATTGATCATACCTCCTGTATGTTAATTTGCGCTATATAAATATTAAATATTATCATTAAGGGGGTTATCTTTATCACCATAAGTCTCTTGTGGGGCTGATTTTTCAATTGCAACCCTGCTTAGTTAAATCTGAGTGACCATCACTAACATTACACCACGCTGCAAGGAAACTTCCTCGCCAATAAATCACTTCACATGCCCTGTTAAGGTGATTTCTCAGAAATAAAACCATCGAAAAATTTTTTTAACCTTCCTTAAATGTTCCTTGCCCATTTTTGTTTCGAAAAATTCAATTAAAAGGATAGGTCACTGCGCTTGCTTAAGAGATATGACAGGCCAAACTTACGCCATTTATGCCTGTACTGACACTTATCACGCGCGTCATTTCATTGGTCCACGTTATATTTTGTGGTAGGTGGAAGCAAGGGTTTTGTAAAGTAACACTTGAAGTGAACTTGATAGGTAGAAAATATCGAGTGAATGGGGCAATATGATTTAAAGACACTAATTTCCTGCCAAGTGACTCTTTCGATACAGATATTATATCCAGATTGTACTGGATTGACCCATTTACTTGCATATTAGTGAGAGAACTTCGTGATCCGAAAAAAATATACAATTAACTTTGTGGTGAGGGCTCTGGAATTGTAATCCCGGCACTGATGAAGGAAATGAGCCAAACGAGCCGGCTCGATTGGTAAACGCATAAAAGTGGCCCTGTGTTCTTAAGTTTAGCCCAATATTTCTTGAAAGAAAGCTGGACAGCCACTTTCTAGATGAATCCACCAATTCCAGGTTTACCTGCGGTCAAACCACTCTAATATCGTTTCTTATAAATATGGTAGATTATAAAAAATTGTAACCTTTACCGATGGCAGAACGATTCCAGCTAAATCGCTTCACTGACAGGCTCACACTGCGAAGTCATACAGGTACTCTCGAACAAAAATCCAAATTGAGGGGAAATGTCAGGTGTTTGAGCGCAGGCTGGAATGCCTTTGAAATTAGGTTGTTTCGCTTAATGCAGAGTTGTCATCACAAATGCAATTCTGTAAACCAAGTGCCTCTATGGATATTTACTCTCCATCACGAACTTTCGGGGCTCAGATAAAACAAAGAAGTGGGAATTATGCTTCTGTTTCATCGTGTGATATTTCGCTCATAATCAAGAGTGAAAAACGGCCTTCGATTATGCTTTTAGTACGCTCGCCTCTGTGATCTTTACCTATTTTGAGGGCCAATCGGTCATAAAACTAAGGAGGAAAGTTCCATGACAGAAAGTACGTTGTCGGAAAGTACCGCAAAGCATCCTGCGCCAGATCTTGCGAGACACACTCTTGCTCCCTCGTGTTAATTACACAGTCGCTAGTCCAGAATTTACCCAACGAAAAAACAAAAAAAAAACATACTCCGATTATTGGTTTCCTTCTTGCCCAGTCTCCCTTCTTCAGAACTTTCAAATGATACACCTGCCAGCTGGGGAAAGTAGATCGGATGATTTTTAAAATTTTTGTCGTTGTCGTTGTTGCCTTTTTTTAGAGGGAGGGGGGGGAAGGGATCACATGGCTTTCGGTAGGAATAGAAGAAAGGTACTTAGGGGGAGTCAAAGAGATATGAGAGTCTGGATTTGACTCTTGAAAACTACTGACTCTCACCAATCAGGCGAGATTGTGGCAGCGGTCAAAAATTTATGACATCACTGTGCACAAAAAAGTCCGAAAAAGAGTATGTGTTCAAGACCAAACAGTTATCCAACAAAAATAACCTTGCAATCATTGGCTACGGGGACAGTTTCGCTTGGCGAAAAAGAAATACAACACAACAAATCAGTATGCATCCAACTTCCTTGTATTCTTAGAAACAACGACTACATCGATTTACAGAAAGGATCAATCTAGCGATTCGTAGTTACTGCTTCCTATAGGATAGCCTTTAAATCCTTTCCTCAAAACTAAACTCAGAAAAACAAGGCGTGGAAAACTGCGCCCTAGCTGTGATAGAGACCCTCAGCAGTTAGGACGGCAACGCCAAGGAAGACGTCGATTTAAAAATAAATATATGTTTTTAGTTGGAATCTCGCGAATGACTGGATGTATTTACCATCTGTTACAGCACCACAAGTTAACCGCAGCATAACATATGAGAGCGGCGTTGAGTTCCAAATGGAAACTAACATAATTTACCGTTGGGGTTTCATTTCTCAGACCACGCAAATTTGGATAATTTCCGTTCTTATTTTGCTAAGGAAGGCTCACAAATGTACACAATTCTTTTGTTTTTACACAGATCTTTTGTTTTTGCCACGTCCTCGTTTCCTTCGCCGTCATGGTTTGCTAAAGATCCCTAATTTATTTTCAGCGGTGCTATAGGATGCATACATATACAACGAATCATACAATTATAACTATGAACCTGGTTAAGCACGCATTAACGCTTTACACCCTAACATCAGTAAGCATATTCTCCCCTCTGTTCTCCTTACGTTTCCTGAGGTGCTGACAGGGAGAATTTGTTGAACAATCGAGATCATCTTTAGTTGGTGATTGTTTCATTTATTCTTAAGACCTCACTTCGTGATTCAGGTGTGAGGTTGTAAGGAGAAATTAGATGCTAGTTGCTCTTGGGAGGTGAAATAAAGAAATAGAGAAATTCGACAAGAAATAACACGTAGGCATGTGGTCTAAGCAATCTGCGATGATCGTACCTCGCCAGCAAACATTAACGGGTTCTACTGCAGCTTGCGTAACCCGCTTTTAAGTTAAAAAAAAACCTCGAAATCGAAATTGCCGACCAGGGAAATTGAACTAAGGTCTGTCATGAGTTTTTATCGAGTCTTCTGAGACTTTTCAGGATTTTTCGTGTTTCTATTGGCGATCAGAATTTCCAGTTTTCAGAGTGTGGACATAAAGCATCACTGATACTATTGCCAAACCAATTAAAATCGGCGAGAGTCTTGCTAACTTTACTTGCCTCTCTAACAGATGTAACACCAGCATCACTAATACTGTTAAAAGACAAATTCAAATAGGTCAGAGTCTTGTTGATTTTGATTGCCTCCGCAATAGAACGAGCACCAACATCACTAATACCATTGCGAGACAAATTCAAATTGGTGAGAGTCTTGTTGACTTTGATTGCCTCAGCAATAGATGAAGCACCGGCATCACTGCTACGATTCTTAGACAAATTCAAAGAGGTCAGAGTCTGATTGACTTTGACTGCCTCAGCAAGAGATCTAGCACCGGCACCCCTAATACCATTAAAGGATAAATCCAAATGGGTGAGAGTCTTGTTGATTTCGATTGCAAAAGCAATAGACTCAGCACCGGCATTACTAATACCATTGCCAGACAATTTTAAATGAGTGAGAGCCTTGTTGACTTCGATTGCCTTAGCAATAGATGTTGCACCGGCATCACTAATACGATTGTTAGACAAATCCAAGCAGGCGAAAGTCTCGCTGACTTTGATTACCTCTGCAATGGACTTAGCACCGGCATCACTGATACCATTGCCAAACAATTTCAAATCGGTGAGACTCTTGTTGACTTTGATTGCCTCAGCAATAGATGTAGCACCGGCATCACTAATACGATTGTTAGACAAATCCAAAGAGGTCAAAGTCTTGTTGACTTTGATTGCCTCCGCAATAGATGTAGCACCGGAATCACTCATACATCCAAAACACAAGCCCAAAGTAATTAGGGTCGCGTTGGCTCTGATTACCTCGGAAAGGATTATCGCCAGTCCTTCACTTAGGAACTGATATTCGAAATAAAGATCTGTTTGGTTCAAATCGCTACCAAAACATCTTGCTAGCCGTAGGTGAAAATCATCTTGCTTTCTTTTACATTCGTTGATGGCCTCCAACAGAAATTTGACACTCCGACAGTTTTTGCTGGCGGGATTGTTAACCCGCTTTCCTAAACTGGAGACAAGAGCTTCAGCTTCTTGATCGGACTGTTCTGCTAAATACCGCACGAGAACAATAGCACCTGTGTCATGTCAAAGAAATATCTGTCATCTGAAACTAACTCCTTAGGTGTAGTTTGTTTATCTTGAATCTCACAACAGAGATAGAATGCTGCGAAGCATTCTTGAAAGCTTTTGTGTAGAAATGCATAACGCAGACTCTGCCTCAGTTTACTTCCTCCGGGATCAACTGACAGAAATCCAAAGGCAGCCAAGTCGCTGGCGTGCTCTCCTAATTCATTCTCTTCAAAATCCAACTTGTCTAGTTTTAAACCATTTAGCGCTATAAATCCAAGGGTTTTCAACTGCGGTTTGTAAAAGTTAGTAAGATCTTCCTTCGTATCTGGTAGTTCTGTCTTTTTCCTATATCTTCTCAAGACACATTCAATCATATTCAAGAACAGCGTGGTTCTTTTTTCCGGAAGGATACCACCGAATTCTTCGCACAAAAGGCAAAGTAGGGCCGTGTTCAATGGATTGGCACACATTTCTCTAAGGTTTCCATCGCGTGATATTCGTGCCGATAGCTTTTCAGCTAACTCTGACTTTTCCTTGAAATACTTAGCGATGAATTCTCTGGCTTGTGCTTCAGTAAAACCTTCGACCTCAAGCAGGGTGTCACAGAATTTTCTTACCTCTAGTCCAGCTTCGTGTCGTGCTGTTGTCACCACCTTACAATTCGGAAGCACTCTTCCGGCAAGTATATCCGAAACTATCGGCACTCTACTGGAAGGTAACTCATCCAGTCCATCTAATATCAATAAAATGCTGGATTGGTTAGTACGAATAAATTGAAAGAACTGCTTTTGACGTGTTTGTCGACATCTCGGGGCAGAAGCTGATCATCAATGGCTTCCCAAATATCGGACTTGATATCACGACATTTAAGGAACAACACTGCTTTTATGTCTATGACACAATCATGGGTGTTCTGCTTTTTTGTAGCCCAGTCATAAACGTACTTTTTACAGTAGGTAGTTTTACCTATTCCTGGTTTTCCTTCAATCAGCACCTTTTTCGGTTCTGAACACTCTTCGTGTGGATTCAAGAGAGACGACATGGTAATGATCTTGTCAGTGACTTCTCCTCTAGTTTTCTTTCTTCTGACCACTTTGAGCCTTGTAAAAATATCACCGACAAAATACTGAAACTGTTCACACCATGGAAACGGTGAAAGCCATCCCTCGCGACTCTCGTACAGTTGGCGAATTCCATCGATTAGCTCAGTTGGATCAAAAGCACCTGAAATAAACCAAAGTGACACTGGAAAACTCGTAAATATACTGTACAGAATATAATTAAAATACACAGCAATTTTTATAACAGCCGAGGATCCTTTTGAACAAGTCGCAACGAGGAAAAATATCGTGCGAAAAGAACTAATTTACGGAAATAAGTTCAACTTCTCTGAGAAGTAACTTACCAGTAAAGGTCGAAAAGAATGTCTATTTACAGAAACAAAAAAAAAGATGTTCAACTGCACAAAGGCGATATGTACAAGTAACTTTTACCAGTAATCTTTTTAAAAAGCATTAAAAAAAGCTCAATGTCTTAAAAATTGAGAGAAAACGAAGACATTAATAAGTTCAAACACACACGGAAAATCACTAAATTTTCCTGTAACAAAACAAACTAAGCAAAGAATCTTTCCTCTGCGGATCGGAAATCTTATCAAACTTGTCATTTAGAATCATATAAATTTCACGGTAGTTATAAGGACTGTCGATGATAGGCACTAAATTGGTAATAGATGAATCGGTATGTTTTGAAGAATCCCAAGTTTTGGTGGAGAAATTGAACTATTTCAGTTGCACTCTATCAGTATACAATTTTTCAACAAAAATTCGATTTAAGACTTTTTCCTGTTTGTTTGGACGTCCCTCAGCTGAGACTGCCTGGTTACCCAGGTTTTCATTCAAACTCGACTACATTTCAATTCACCATCCTGGTAAAAGTTTGGTGTCCATTAATTTCATCCTGAATTCCTGTGAGACTGCCTGGTTACCCAGCTTTTCATTCAACTCCTTCATTTCAATCTCCATCCTGGTAAGTTTGGTGTCCGTTAATTTACTGAATTCCTGTAACTGTTTTATGCTCTCTACAAATTGAAATGTAAATGTCAAAACGTCAAATCAAACAAATCTTTAAAACTTCAAAACACTTCAAACCAGTTGCCAAATATATGTAACATATCGCCATATGGCAGCCAAACAGATACGCGAAAATTAACTTGGAAGCAAGAATTAAAATCGCTCACGTGGTGCGACAAAATATTTCCTTATCTATCGTTGACGCTGTTGTCATCGTCGATTTTGACGAGGTCTCTAAAGGTGTGCTTTGATCAAGAATGGAGCAAAAAATTAAACGGAAATACCACCTTGATGATTTTAGCGTACATTCCGACAAAATATTTCCATATGGTTTCTTAGTATGTTTTAATGGTCGATTTCGAAACTTTGAAGTCTTTTTCTTTCTAAGTGAGTATTCTTAAGCGCATTTCCTCTTCGTTTTTAACCTCTTTTCGGGTGTATTTTGATCAAGGATGGGGTGAAAAGAAGAATGCAATTGCCTTTGGCAGACATTCAGGCGCAAAAAGCCTTTGGCAGGCTTTAGCATTTGATATGGCGACCTTTAAAAACTAGCGGTTAGATGTGGGATAAAACGAAAACAAATCCACTAACAATAACATGCATGGCCTTCGTTTCCTACCTCCACCCTGACAAGTTAATGAGCAAGGGCAATATTCCTTGTGGAGGAAGGGGCGCAAATTCTCGACCAACAAAAACCAACTGGTGCACGGTTCGCCGCTAATATTACAGATCTATGATTATTTTTTTTCTACTGCAAGAAAACGTCGCGAGAACAATAGGCATTCTGGACGATGAAAATACCAGCCAGATCATTTTAGCAAACGGCCTACAGCGAAACGCCATCACATCATACTTTCGAGTTTTTAAGGTACACATCTTAGTAACGCAAGTGTCGCGTTTTTAAGGTACAAAAATAGGATGCATTTATCAACGAATACCCGATGACTTCCTAACAGGTTGCCCTTCTTGAACAAATTAGAAAGAGCACATTCTAGGACACTGCTCCATGTAAAAGGCATTGAAAACAGGTCATCTTACCTTCAATCTCTTCAAGTTTGTTCTTGATGCTATCGTCGTCTTTCTTCCATTGCTTCATCAGTTCACGATAATGTTCCTCGATATCCGGATCCATGCAGTCGTGCTCAAGATTGTCGATATCAACTCGAAATTGAGCTCCTCCCAGTCTCACCAAAGCTTCTCGTATTTCCTGCCAATAAGCACTGAAACTACTATCATCCACAAAGGCTTGAGAAGCATGGGCGTATACAGCGTTCCTGTAATACTTCACCCTGGCGATGTCATCAGCGATGCTTGTGCTTGCAGGTGAGGGAAGATTATCCCAACCAGTGGCAGGAGGACTCAAACCACAGATACTTCTAAGTAGCACTGTCAGGAGTGTGATGTCAAAGGCTGCGGATGACACGGGCGAATGGGCAGGGTAAAGCTTCCCCCATTGAGTGGGATTCAGCACTTTCTTCTTCCCTCTGTACAGTTTTTGCAATGTAGGGTAGTGCACAGATTTACTTCCCAAAACTTTTTGTAGATTCGCCGGTGGATGTATTTTGTCAAAAGTGGATCGCAGTACCTGAGATCCAATACCTGCCAGGAGACGGCAAAGCCTGGCATAATTGGTTGTCTCTTTTGAAGAAGCAAATGACGAGGAGGAGGCAGCCATGAAAATAACCTCACCAAGAAAGTGTCTGTCGAGCATGCAAATTAATATTTCACAAAACTAGTAAATATCACTTACAATAAAGCTTTTGAGATGTAAAGACTGAGAATGGAAAATTTTGGTAATCATCATGGGTGTTTTATCTTTTGAAGTCCCTATCACCGACGAAGGGACTATAATTTGGACATTTTTGAAAGGGCTTTAATGAGAGACGTTAGATCTTATTACAACTTGTTAACAGTTGTCTTCCAATTTATACAATGCGAACTATAAACAAAACTAGAAAGCAATCACTAGTTTTTGGGATTTTTATGGAACTGCAATTAGATAAGTATGATCTCAATACAACCATGAATAGCTATAATCCAGTTCACCCCGAGCAAACTGTGAGCAAAAGTACCGGAGACAAACACGCCTGGAATGTTCAAAGGTAAGCAATTCACGGCAAATATCTCCTTTCCTCTCAAAAGCGTTAGAGGATTTCCCGACAGACAGGCAGCCAGCCAGGCAGCCAGGTATCAATTGCTTTAAACAGGTTACACAAGACAATTTATGAACTAAAGTAGAAATAAATGGACTAGTTTTAAGGATTTTAATAAAGCCTTTAATTTATCGAGATGCACTTGATCTCAAAACAAACATGATAAGTTTTATTCCAGTTCACCCCATACAAACTGCACACAAAAGTATTGGAGATGAAACACTACTGGAATGTCATAAGGGGAGCAATTTACTGACAAATGTTCCCTTTCCTTTCAAGTACAAGAGAGGACTTGCGAGCAGATGGTCAAGTAGGCGAACAGACAAGCAGGCAAGCAGCTGCACAGCCAGGCTGCAAGGTAGGCAGATGGTGTGTAATGTATGTGGAACAGTGCTACCTAACCACACAATCAATAATAGTACGACCATCACTAACCTCTATTTAATATCATTATCAATACTGGAAGTAGCATAATCAGCACTATCAAGCAGCTCTGGTCACAAATCATGTCATAACTCATAATCTCATCAGCACCAATGCAAGCTTCTCACAATTTATTAGTTCTGGATGAATCCATCAACAGCTAAAATCTAAACAGCTGCCTTGGAAGCACTAATTCACATCTGTTGCCAAGCTTTTCCCCCAATAAATAGAACAACTTCCATAACTTCCTCATTTAGTTAAAAATAAGTTTATCAATTTGCATCACACCAAGCAGATGCAACCTCTGCTGGTGACTCCTTCATGACACATTGTGGAACATGACTTCCATTGTGGAACATGACTTCCATTGTGGTACCTACATTGTGGTGACATGATTACCATCATGGTACCAAGACTGTGGTGACATGACTACCATTGTAATACCTACACTGTGGGGACATGACTTCTTTTATGGTACTTACATTGTGATGACATGGTAACTAAACTGTGGTGGTATGACTATCATCATAGGACCTACACTGTGGTGACACCACCACCATTGTTGTACTTACACAGTAGTAACATGACTACCATCATGGTACCAACACTGTTGTGGCATGACTACCATCATGAGACCCACTATACTGTGGGGACATGATTACCATTGTGATATTTACACTGTGGTGGCATGACAACCATTGTGGTACCTACACTGCCGGGACTTGATTTCCATGTTGGTACCTACATTGTGGTGATTTAACTACCATCATTGTACCTACACCATGGTGACATGACTACCATCATGGTACCTACATTGTGATGACTTGACAACCATTGTTGTCCCTACACTGTGGTGACATGACTTCTAACCAGGTTACCATCATGGTACCTACACTGTGGTGACATGACTATCTGACTGACTGAATGACTGCGGGAACATTACTTCCATTGCGGTACCTACATTGTGGTGACATGACAACCATCTTGGTACCTACACTGTAGTGACACAACTACCATTGTAATACCTACACTGCTGGGACATGACTTCTTTTGTCGTACTTACATTGTGGTGATATAGCTACTAACATGGTAATTAAACTGTGGTGGCATGACTACCATCATGGGAGCTACACTATGCTGATATGAGGATAGTGGGGATATGACTCCCATTGTGTTACCTACACTGTGGGGATGTGACTTCCATTGTGTTACCTACATTGTGGTGACATAACTACTAACATGGTAACTAAAACACTGTGGTGACATGACTACTAACATGGGTACCTACACTGTGCTGGCATGACTACCATCATAGGACCTGCGACACTGTGGGGAGATGATTACCAGCATGGGTCTTACACAACTATTTCAAACTAAGGATGGGGTGAGGAGGGTTAGTCAGTCATTAGGTTTGAGATTTGTATCTTCTGTACCAGAATTTACCATGAGAAATTAAGATGTCTTCAGTATTCTTTTTCCCATGGCTCAAGGTTTTGGCAGATCTATGGATATGGGCATGTACTTTTCTTGCATATTCAAGATTCAAGTTTGTTTTATGCTACACATATTTTTTCAAAAAGGTTAAAATTATTTTACTGGAATAAAACACTAGTCAGCTGCTGTGAGATGGTGGTTTACAAATTGTAGAGCTAAGAGCATTCGTTAAAAAGTATAAATTACTTATAACAACACCTGACAAAATGTGGTTGTTTTAAATATGTAAACAAGATTTATAATCAATATCTTTCTTACAAAACACTAAGAATAAAGGGTGAAAGCCATCAAAACAAATTAAATAAACTGTATCGGTGGGAAGTTTGCTTTTATAGTATCATTAATAATTATTAACCTTTTACTTCCAAGATCTCATTGGTTATTCTTCTTACTCTCTGCTATACAATTCTCATGATGTTAGTTTGGAGAATTTGGTATTGGATCACTAATAATCCCCTGATTGATATAGTTCTTTACTCTCCTTACTTGTCTCCTTAATATTGTATTGATACTGTGAGGAAAACTTCTCCAGTGATTAGTCAGGGGAGTTCAAGAAATTGCAACTATGCCCATTAAAATGGTAGACAAAGTCATATTACTTTTCAGTTGCATTTATTTTTATCTTCATATAAATTTGGTTTAGTTTGATTATTTCAGTAATCAAGAACCCAAAAGAAGACTTGGTTGACCTTTGTTGCATACCAAACTCAGTCGCACCCAATCCAACAGCTGATTCCATTTTGTTCAATTGACTTAGCCTTTAATTCCCAAGATCTGATTGTTAATTCTCTCTTCTAGCTGCTAAACATTTCCTTATAAATTAGTTTTGAGAATTTGGTGTTAGATCAAGATAAAAAAAACTCTACCTCTTATGTGTGAGTATTCTCATTACCAGTTTGCTGGATAATGTATTGATATTAAAGGGAGAGGTTACATGTCAATCACTTCTGAGAGTAAAAGGGTTAATATATCAGTAATCAAACTCACCACATAGGAGCCATTTAGCTTCTTTGGATCAATTTAGTATTTTTATGTTAGATTTAGCTTTTAAGGCAATTCATGAATTAGCGCTACTGTATATTAGTGATTTAATTAGTGTTAGGGTGAAGTCCTCATACAATCTTAGAGCTAATGGTACCTTGTTACTGGAGCCGCTTAAAGAGAAATTGCTTTCAATGCTTGGTGCTAGATCCTTTAATGCTGTTGCACCATCTTTGTAGAATAGTTTGTGTACTGAATTACGTGCTATCCCATCATGGACAATTTTCATATGCAATCAACCTACCTTTTTGTTCAGGTGTTTCTTAGACCATTTTACAGCAGAAATTTTTATTGTATTTAAGTTTTTATGAATATTATTTAATCTCATTTATTTTATTTTATTGTAAGTCTCATATACTTAGTTGGTATACTTAGATTGTGTAGAATAGTTTTAGAGATGAATCATTGTGAAGTGCTACTTATTATTTCTATGTAATAAGGCTATAGAAATACTCAAATTATTATTGTTATCAATTGTGTTTGCATAATTTTGCTCAATTTGCCTACTCAAGCAAATTCTTCAACTGAATTTGTCTAAGTTTAATTGTCAATTTGGTTTTATCAAGGGGGTTAATTATGTAAATGACTACTGTAAAAAGTTTCTAAAGATGCAGTTTGAGCATTAGCCTTTCATCAGAGCAAATAACAATTTTGCTTGATCTACAACTGTTTGATTGTCCATCCTAAGAATATGCTACATTACAATTAAATGTCTGAAACCACAAAATAATTGCCAACTCTCCTCATGCAACAAGCTGGGTTTTAATACAAAGAATCCTTTGTCACCAAAACATAAATAGACTAAGAGAAACAATTACTAAAAATAACTTCTCCGAGATCGGCAAAGGAAAACAACCCACTTGAGTTAAGTTATTATGATTCGGCTGATTGCATTTGTGACATGTAGCCAAACAATCATTTGAAATCATAAAGGTCAGAAATAGACGCCACCAGAGATTGCAATTTCAACACGCATCAGAAAGCACATGAGTTCCCAGAGAAGATTTCATTCGTGAGAAACCGAGTGGTTATGAGATAAGGTAAGATTTCACCTTCAGTTTCGATTGCGTTCAAGAAATTGGCTTCTTTCTATCTTAAAGCTTCCGCCTTCGACTAAAACGCAGCTCGTCTTAGAAAACTTATGTGCTATCCCTGAACTATAGCACAACAAATAATATGAAATGATACAGCCGCTCTAATTGCAAAACAGATCCATACTAACGTAGATGATTCGATTAAAATGTTTATCGATGTTCAGTGCGTTGAGTGCAGAAATTTAGATGCATATTAAAAATTGCGTCAGTGACTTACCCTAAAATGATCTTGAATGAATTGAATGATGAAACAGACTTTACCAAGAGGGTTCAATGATGGCCCTGCAATGAGGAACATGTTGTGACTGTATCAAAGAAACTGCATTCCTTACTTCAATAATTTGAGACAAACTCAAGAGATAAGACTGAGTAATTAGTCCAAGGATCGAACTGTAAAATCTGCGTCATCTTCTCTACTCTGCTTAGAGCACCTAACTAAAATTAACTACTCAAAAAACGGGAACCGTATA